CAGCCACGTTCTCCTTTTCTGTCAATCTCAAAAATAGATCTAACAAATTTCAAAACTCTATCCTGTTCGAACTACTGCACCTCGCTCTCATTACATTGCCTCTAACGCGGGATTGAAAACGTTTACTCGGGAAATGTCGGGTCCCGGTCGCGTCGAGATCTGCCCCCCAGTGGCTGGTGCGGCCCACACGGTGATCTCATTTTGTCCCTCATCTCAATGTTTCGGAGTGAATGTTGCCTGTCCATGTATACATACAGCATCTGGTGACCTCTCCGGAGTACTCAAAATACACTATACCCCCAGGTCCTACTTGAACCGAGAGTACCATCTGTATCTTCAGATTCGATCTAGATCTGGTTTCGCATATATCTCTCGTCAAAATAATCCCTGCAACGATCGACCAAGTAAACTTTATTCTTCACGCCCGGTGAAACTTTTAGTCTGTACCTCTCTGGCTTGCCTCGGTGGACTCGAACACTCCATTCTCCATTCTCTTCCAAGATACGGATACATGCTACACTCCCACACCCCGGAGTACTGCAATCCGTGCTAGTCCCGGCCTGGGGTGGAGATCGCCCATTATCCGAATCCATATCTGCGATTCACTTCTCGTGCTCGGCGGTTCTAATCCAATGACAGAACCCGGTTTCCCGTCGGTAATGTGCCCGTTCGCTGGCGCGCTGAAGATCGGAAATCACTCTGCACGGAGTGCCGACAATTTGCCTTACATTGCCTCGTAGCTTGGCCCCTGACAAGGGTCAAAGCCAACCTTAGGTCAAAGCCAGGCCTGAGGGACATCCCATCCAGGGCTCTCGGCTTCTCGCACGTTCATAGGTAACCCGCAAGGCGACCAATCATATCCCCGCCGGCCCTGGTGAATTAACATGGATTGAAAATGCTTACCCGTACCAAGTTTGGGCTATTGGATTGGCATTGGTTGGCAACCTTCCTGGCTAGTTGTATGTAAGAAGCCCTGGAGTACTACCCCTCCGACTACCCCTCCGATCGGTAAACCGACTCGGAGTTAGTAGAAGATCCATCGCGACCGCCTCCGAGTCCAGAGGCTGGTTTCGGCATTGGTGGGTTATGTAGGAACGCTTTCCGACGAGTCATTCTGTTGTACTGCTTGTTTGCAGTGACATTTTCACGAATCATGTCATCTCTGCTGTATGTTGACGTCGTTGGGTGTGGCTGATCCCCCCCGCACTCTCGATGGTGGACACGTGCACAGGCCAGTGTGGATGTCGATGTTATCAACTTTATGCTGAAGGTCAAGTTTGTAGTATAGGTATTGATGCCAAAGGAGAGTTATATTTATTCAGACAGATATGTCTGTCATGCAGTTAGATAGTATATTTTTGAGATTTCAAATCATTCAAGTTAAATGTAATGGCGACCTTTTGAAAATGTGGTGGTGCTATATATATGGAAGTAGGTACTGGTACTAGTATCATGATCGCCTTAAATCACGAGTTGACCTTGGTTGAACCTAGGGGGCATGGAGTTGATATATGAGTACCTCCAGGACTTCTCTAACACTAGCAGTACTTCAAATTCAGATTTTGAACTTGAATACTAGGACTAGTAGGTAGTAGTAACTATAATGTGTAGTATTAACGTCTCCCGGATGGTCATATCACGTGACCACCCACAAGATCAGTAGACAGTGACCATCCCTTTCCGGATATGTGGGGAGAATGGAATAGATAGCTCCAGACTATATAGGGGATCCCGGTCTAATTGTACCTAGCTGAATGATCTCACATTGCAACCATTCGAGACTGACTGGATATGCCTTTGTTTTTCCCACGATGACTCCGCACACGTGACATCCGCGGGGTGCGGGCAACTTTCTTTGGCCCACACTTGAATGTGTCACCGTCAGCTTCAAAGTTCAGTCACTGTCACTCTGCGTTCTTGTGCTTTCTGTCTGGTCAGCACAGCTGTGGTTGTGTTTCAAAATGGCCCCCCTCGTTACCCTGGCCACATGTGCGCTGAACCAATGGGCCCTCGACTTTGAAGGGAACCTTCAGCGCATCAAGAAAAGTATCATCAAGGCCAAAGAGGCCGGCGCAACTTTGCGTGTCGGCCCGGAGCTGGAAATTCCTGGATATGGTACGTCTCTGAAGCTTACTGCTTGGATGAATGGCTCTGATTGATCTCGTTAGGCTGTCTGGATCACTTCCTCGAGAATGAGATCTACGATAACTCATGGGAGTCGCTGTACTCTATCTTGACCGATCCTGAACTGCACGATATTGTTATCGATGTTGGGTACGTCCATACCATGCTTCCGAGCCCAATCGGCTATCTACAATTAAACATCCATCTAATTCCTCCTCCTAGTCTTCCCATCCTCCACCGTAACTGCAGATACAATGCCCGCGCCATCGTCTTGAACGGCAAGATCCTGTGCCTGCGTCCTAAGCTCTATCTCGCCAACGATGGAAACTTCCGCGAAATGCGCTTTTTCACTCCGTGGAACCGCCCCAGACACGTGGAGGATTACTACCTTCCCCCGCATATCCAGAAGCACCAGGGCTCCCGCCATGTTCCCATCGGAGATGTTGTCCTGTCCACCTTCGACACGACCCTGGCCGCAGAGACTTGCGAGGAGCTTTTCACACCCAACAGCCCTCATATAACAATGTGCGCCACTACCTCTTTCCATACTGTCGCTATGCTAACCCACCTACAGGGGCCTCAATGGCGTGGAAATCTTCACCAACAGCAGTGGAAGTCATCACTCCCTCCGAAAGTTGGATGAGCGTGTCGCTCTGATCTCAGAAGCAACTCGAAAGAATGGCGGTGTCTACTTATACTCCAATCAGATTGGTTGTGACGGTGACCGACTGTATGATTACCCCTGGCGACATGGGAAGCATCTACTAATATCAGCACAGGTACTATGATGGCAGCGCGATGATCTTCGTCAACGGAGATATTGTCGGACAGTCCAGCCAATTCGGCCTGAACGAGGTCGAAGTAGTCGTTGCCACCGTCGATCTGGAAGCCGTGCGATCTTATCGATTCGCGCCCTCGCGCGGCATGCAGGCCGTCGCAGCACCGGAGTACAAGCGCATCGAGGTGGACTTCTCTTTGTCTCACGAGAATCTTGACCTGGACGAGATGCACTCTGCTACAGCCCGCAGACCGCCGCACTACCACATCCCCGAAGAAGAAATTGCTTACGGACCTGCTTGCTGGCTTTGGGATTACCTTCGTCGATCCAAGGCCGCTGGTTTCTTCATTCCTCTCTCTGGTGGTATTGACAGCTGTGCCACCGCCACACTTGTCTACTCCATGTGTCGCCAAGTCATCAAAGCGATGAAAGAAGGTAACGAGGTGGTCATTGCGGATGTTAAGCGTATCGCTGCTTACTCCGACAAGCTGCCCGAGACTGCGGAGGAGCTTTGTAACCAGGTGCTGTGCACTTCTTTCCTCGGTATGAAGGACCAGAGTAGTAAGGAAACGAGGGAGCGGGCTCAAGCGCTGGCTGACCGCATCGGTGCCTACCATACGGATACTAATATCGACGATGTATTCCAATCGACGAAGAATATTCTTACTAGTGCTACTGGGTTTGAACCGAAGTTCAAGGGTCCGTCTCCATCCCTCCCTCCAGCTCCGAGAAATTTGCTCATTTCTAATCTATGAATAGTTCACGGTGGTTCGACTACGCAAAATCTTGCTTTGCAGAATATCCAGGCTCGATCTCGGATGGTCATCTCTTATTACCTTGCTCAGGAACTGTGTGAGGTTCGCGGCCGACCGGGTGGCGGTTCCCTTCTGGTCCTTGGAAGCTCTAACGTCGATGAATGTCTGCGTGGATGTGAGTATGCGTCCTGAAACTTGTAGAAATTAAACTAACTCCCGGTGCAGACCTGACAAAATATGACTGCTCCTCTGCGGATATCAACCCGATCGGATCTATCAGTAAGGTCGACCTGAAGCGTTTCATCGCCTGGGCAGCTGAAGATTTCGACATGCCCATCCTCAAAGACTTCATCGAGGCGACCCCAACAGCCGAGCTGGAACCCATCACCGCCGAACACGTAAGATCACCCCTTCTAACCGGTTGCAGCAAAGGCTAATTCACAATATAGACACAATCCGACGAGGTCGACATGCAAATGACCTACAAAGAACTATCCCGCTTCGGCACCCTGCGAAAGGTAAACCACCTCGGACCTTTCGGGATGTTCCTCGTCCTCCTGGAAGAATGGGGCGGCGAAGGAGAGGACAGACTGAGCCCGCGCGAAGTTGCCGATAAAGTGAAGAAATTCTTCCACTTCTACCAGATCAACCGTCACAAGCAGACCGTCGCCACACCGTCGTACCATGCGGAAAGCTACAGTCCCGACGATCACAGATTCGATCTCCGACCTTTCCTGTATCCTTCTGCTTTCCAGAGTTGGTCTTTTGGAAAGATTGATCGTCGGGTTGAGGCGTTGGAGCAGAGGATTCAGAAGAAGAAGGATGAGGCTAAGGCTTCCAGGTAGAAAGAGTATAGCTAGAATATTCTGCCGTGGATATTATCTTGCAGCTCCTATTTTGAGTGGATGGAATCATCTAGATCGTTTATCAATAGAGATTACTTGAGCGATGGTGTTTTTCTTTCTTCACTCGAGACTCCTCGTAGCGTCCTTGGAACTATTACAATTTGAGATTGAAATTGTGCCAAATGGCGATCGATGTATTAGTTCTATTTCTGGAAATAATGACATGATACTCTATGCGCCGTAGATACCTATAAAGCAGCCCCCATCGCATTCCATCCCTATTAACCCCATTAAAACCCTAATAGTATCCAAAGAAAGGATTGTTGTTCGTAAATCGTATCCGTGTCACACAAGCCGGTGACCTTAAGTTCCGAAGAATGTGTGGAGCTTCAAGTTGTCTAGCTAGAAAAGAGGTATATTGAATTAGAAAAAAAAGTCTTGCGAAAAGGGACCTCACTTGAATAATGTACTCACCATTGTGTCTCTTGTTCAAAAATTTCAAATACCCTGTCCAGCGTAACGACCAGGAGGAAAAGTGTATTCATCATCCAAGTGCACCTTGGCCGCCATCAAAGGTCCCCATTTCTTGCGAATGTCTTGCCAACGACGCTTAAAGCCAGAGGGGCTAGTAGTCTCCTTTTTCTCGACAGCGATGGAATGGACGTCGGAGTCCTTAACAATGCCAGAGGGCGATTGTATGGAGTTTTGGCGGCTTGATGTGTTGCTCGACATATTGCAGAATTCGATTCAAGAGCGAATGGGTAAAAATGGTTGATTCTAGTTGGGGTCGCGACTTAAAGAGGGGGAATTTTATTCAAGTTTGATGAGTTCTTTTAATTCTTGATGGGAAAAAAGCCAGCTCCTTTATAAGGATTCTTTCGACCCCTGCAAAAAGATTTTCATCGCTTGTCTAGGCAGGTAGGCGCTTACCTGCTATTCGTTCAGCCCTACGGTATCTCTGGCGTGCCGAAAATACCTCACCGAGCCAGGCCGAGATATTTCCGCCCCTGCTTGCTTCACCTTGGGCGCTCGCTTGGGACCTCAGGTGGAGCAGCGGTAAGAAGTGCAGAGAAGGTAACTGTAAAAATGTAGAAGGATTCTAGAGCGATTGGTTGTCGTTCATCCCACCTTGGGTATTAAGCTTGTTCTGGGCATTGCTTTTTTGCCCCGTTGTTGTGTTTGCCGAGTTGAGGGCTCGGAGATCGGTCGGTTGAAAATCGGGAATGTGTTTGATATGGATCGTACATCGGGAAGAGTCGCCGTTAGCTATGCACGTTCCAGAAAAGAAAATCGATAGACAAACAAAAGCCAAAAAGACTTCTCTTCACATACTATTAGTTCGCGATTTCAGTATACTAGTCCAAATGTTTTCAACACAATGTTGGCGGGTTTCTTGATTGATGGGTTATACGAGTATCCGCCCGGTGCTCATCAAGCCTTTTTCAAGCAAGCTAAAGATGAAATGCCGAAGAGTGTGGATCATCTCTGGTTACTTTAAAGACCCATAAAATATGTGTGACTAGTAGTTGCTAGCTTTGGTTGAATTGTGACCGAACTATCATCTGAAAGGGAAGTTGTTTGCCACACTCCTCTGCTGTACCTGGAATCCACCTGTCTACCATGGGCACGGCCAAACGCGAAGCTCTCTCAAAAACCAAAGTGGAGACCATATCCATTCCAAATAGTATGTACATACAGATTTAATTTTTAGAGGTGGGCGATGGGTCATGTCAGTTGATAGATTTCTGTCTAGCCGTTTAGCGGCACTTTCAATTCATACCCACTCGCTTCGGCTGGAAACCTCAGCAAGCGCAATACCAAAGGGTCGGTACTGTGTTCTAGAAACATGCAAATAGCAATACATTCCGACCTGATTCTCCCTTCTACCCACGGTTGCCATTCTGCCGCGGCACACATGAGTCCCATCCACTGCACCAGCATGGCCAGGGCCGGGACATCTCTCTTCCTGCAGAGCGCGAGAAAGTCACATTCTAGCCGGCCCATGAAGGAAGAAACGTGAGCGGAGTTAGGCCTGTTTCTTTCAAGTTTCAGGAGAGCGGAGAGAATTCTAAGGGGGTCGTAATATATGCTATTGTTCTCCGTGGTATACTCATCGATTTGACAGAGATCGGCTAGATCCGGGTCCAGTCCCTCTCGTCCTGTTTGTGGCTTTTTATCGAAGATTGTACCTTCTTCTTTCACGATCGCGTCGAAGGATACGGCCCAGATGCTGTCTGGGATGTAAGGTGCGGCGAGGGCTATGATTGTTCGAAGGCCACTTTGTAGACAAAGCCAGTTCATCGCCTCCGGCCTGTTTGTGAGAACCCACGAGTCTGTGGGGCTGAAATTCTCGGGGCAGATTGTCATTACACCCATCATCATGCAGGAAGATAGGAGGGCGTCCACGTTATCTGGTCGTACTGATGAATAAAGTGCCGTTTGGTACTGTCGGAGGGCTTGTTGCCAGAAGTATGCCTCGGCAAACGACCTCTCTTTGTTGGGTGATATGCGGTTGAGATGGAGGATGCCGACCGCGAGAACAGTATACATTAAATGGGGATTCTGTGGAAATTCGTTGAGTGAACTGGCCAGCTGAGGGGAAATCATCAGGGAAAGCTTACAGCAAATGAGACTGGTATCATATCGGATCCCATTACCTTGCGTATTGCGGGGCTAGCAATGGTGCCAACCGTGCTGTTCATGAAATGCTGAAAGGCCACCGTGGGTAAAGCATGGCCCGAGTTCTTGCCTATCAAGAAATTCGGTATCTGATTCGAATCAAAACCCAGCACTGTTTCGATTTTATTCGTAAGGTCGTTAAGTGAAAGGGTGAATATTATGGCCGTTGGATCATCAGGTCCAAATGGACTCTCGGTGCTCTTTTGACGAACAACTTCATTCTCCGGTAAATAGGAACATTCTATGCCCTTGTATTTGCACTTTTGACAATTTGGCTTTTGTTCATCGCACTGTACGAGGCATCAGCTTGACTGACCAACACATAGAGCATTCTAGCCCGCCTACCTTCACCCTCCTTTTTTTACACGTCAAACAGCCCCCTCTAGACTTTTTATGAGATCGTCGCGCATGAAATGTCTTGTCTCTTTTTTTCTCGTGGGGATACGCGAAACACGGTCTGGAGTTGTTTCGCGTCAGGGGTGCTTTCTTCGGATGTATAATCAGATACCCTCTGACTATCAGGAATGATGACTTTCGGCATATTTGCTTATCAAAATCCTCGCCTCCATGACCCGTGAGGGAATAATAGAATAGGTGGCAGGCAAGGCAGATGAAGTTGAAGCATCGCCACACTGACTTGAATCACGTGCGGCTATCAATACGAGCCAGGTCAGGTGATGAGGCTCGAGCCATAGAAATCAGCCCGGGGAATATTTATAGAGTAATGCGAAAGGAAGTGTGCCTTGCAAAAACTTCGAGTAATTATGCTCCAATATTATCCCCTGGGGGTCGTTGAAAGGGATTAAGGAATTTGTAACGCGAAAGAACTGCTTATAATGTTAGAACTTGTCATTGCAGTATTCAATTTCGGCCACTTCCAGGTTCGAACGAGACCAAATACGCTGATTGGTTAAATTTCCATCGCATTTGAAACATTCTACAGCAGTAGGAATTTGCATGTCTGTCTATCGAAGATGAAAAAAAGGATGCGAAGAGAGGAGCGCGATCTGGATGCCTCAATACATCAACAGGAGCTTTGGGGGAAAACCTTGCATATAGTTTCAGGCCTTGTTCCTACATAGGAGGGTTATTTGAGGAAAATAGTGGTAGCTGGAAATACCTGCCCAGCTCCTCTCACTTCCTTTGTGTCTACTTTCCGCTTCCATCTCCTTCTTCCTTGCCTTCCTAGTCCAGACAATCAGTGCACGACATTCCTTCTCTACAGCTACGTTCAAACAAGGACAAGAGCAATCATGAATTTGGTCGTGACATCCAAAACAAACTGTTTTATACATCATGGGCTAATGTCACTCACATTAGTGAACTGCGCCCTCTATGATAACCTGTTGCTGTGCGGAAGAGCCCTCGGGTTTCCAGAAGCCACTGAGCTTCAGCCCAGCCTTGTTTAGCAATATTTCCCACTCGTTCTTGGTTCGTTCTGCCGCTGCAAAGGCAGTCATCATAGTCATATCACCGATGGCAGCCATCCACGGAATATTGGTCTCCGGCATAGCCTTTTCATGAATCAGGAGTAAAGAACCGGGTGCCATCGCTTCACGAAGCCTCGAAAGGATCTCCACGGCCTGCTTGTCTGGCCAGTCGTGGAGAACAGTGCGGAGGTAATATGCCTTTGCGCCTTTTACAGGCTGTTCATCAAAGAAGTTATGGACTTGGCTTTCGATCTCGTTTGGAAGATCCGCTGTCTCGGTCACATAAGATAAATCCTGGAGAACAAGTCTTCCTGGCAAATTCGGGAATCTCTCGCGGAAAGCCTGCAGATCTTTACCACGACCACCTCCAACATCCACAAGTACAACCTCGGAAGGGCTCTGCACCTGTAGCTTCTCCTGAACCGGGAAGAAATCCAGCCAGCTCTTCTCGTCGCGCCGATAGGGCGAAGCCATAACCGTGTCAAAAGCGTCTTGGTAATACGGTTTCGATGACATGTAATCAAAGTATCCACGCTTGGACTTGAGTACAAAGTTGAATGGAGAGTCTTCGATGTCATCTGGATTTTTCCACCCCTTTTGTTCAAAGTATGCTGGAAGCTGAGCAACAAAAAGAAACATATGAGTGCTGTATATGTTAGTTGCATATTGAGTCTCAATTTATAGATTGGGATGCTGACAAGAATATGACTGCACCAGACATCCAGGACGTTGAAACATAGGATGCGGTAAATTGCGTAGTTGAGAAGGTGTCAGAGGCATCTTGTTTGAGAATATTCAGTGGTACAAGAGCCTTCATGATTCTTCCTATTTCACATTACCATCAGAGTGGAATTCAAACAAAGGATAGGAACAGATATTTACCAACTAGCTTGGGATCGGCTTTGACATCCTCAGCAAGCTGATGCACGCGCGCTTTGCCATCTTCACTTTCAGAGGTGCGCTTGACGATTGCATCGAAGAGTTTGAGATCTACAGCGAGACGAACTGTGATGGCTTGGTGACACTTGGAGGCTCATTAGTGCAGTCCACTTACACAAAAGTTCATGGGAGGTCAGAAATTACAGTATAAAGAAGACGAAGTGTTTTGTCCACGGGCGTTTCACATTGGCTCCTCAATCGATCGCATGCTTCATAAAGCCGAGCTCGCTGCTGCGGGTCCACACCTGTGAGGTTTTCGGAGGAACCTACCGACTCAATAGACTCGATGAGCTGAGAAATGTCCATGGCCAAGGGTTCGAGGTAAAGTGTGTAGGGTTATCGTCAGTCTGAAGAGCCGCCCTCGAATGATCTCCCAGAGAAACTATCCAAGTAGGCAAGAAAAAAGATTTCGAAGAGAAGATCGGAGAAAAAATAAAGTCAAATAAAACGAGGGATGAATCAATCAGTACCAATTGACGTGTCTCAAAGGCCCTGGAAGCACAGCGAAAGCCTGCAGTTAAATAGAACAAGGTTTTGTAAATTTGGAAATGTGGGAGTATAACTCTGAAAGAATAGAAAGTGGATATATGCACTCCGTAATGGTGCGAGGGAATTACTCTACGTTCACATACATAGAGCTATGGAGATCGTTGAAGATAACTATCATACACATCTACTCCGTATAATCTATTGAAACTGGTGCGGGGTAAACTGTAGGTATTCAGGTGCGCCACAAAATTACAAATTGCTTTTGTCCATGCAACCGAGCTCGCCCGGGCGTACAGCAGTATCCGTAATTGACGCTCTTACTAAGTACTGCTTCTCCGTATTATCCAGAGTCCAATGTATCTTTCATGTACGGAAGAAGTAGACGCCGAGGGTAAAAGCTCGTCCAATTTGATTACATAGCTATCGAACTTCTTGCATAATTGAAAGCACGCCAACCCTTGGCAGCCTCTGATTGTTTCGGCCCTTGGACGAGACTTTCGGTCGATGCATGTACTTGAGCTGAGCCTGCAATGTAGCAGGGTTCCCCGGGCGGTTGATTGACGCATTACGATTCCTTTCCTTAAGCTCGGTACATGAAATGTACAGGTAGCATCGTCATTCTACAGATGATAATTTCCGGGTGGGCGCGTATGCACGTTTAGGCATATTGAATAGACGTACCAAGGAATTCAACGTCTCTACATGATACTCGCTTCGCTAATCAAGATATCTAATCTCTGCAGCACAAATGTGGTCCTAGAAATTTCGTATTTTTCAATTGAAACATACTATTCAAATCCAACAAAAGAGAAGATAAACTTAAGTTATAGACCTAACAGAATATTGTAGTTAAGATAATTTGACGTTAAAATTGTGTTCTTTGGTACGACACTGTTGTTTGGGGGTCAATTATTGTACCGATATCGGACCCACGGTAATGAGGGTCCAATTAATACTGGTAAATTTGATGTGGGGCCGATTAATTGCTGGCTCGGTGAAGCTACATACTGCAATCCCGGCTGCGTGAGACTGCAGATCTAGACTGCGTAAGTACACTACTTCAAGTTGTGTAACCCGCGGACCCGTTTTCCAGCAGATACCTAGGTCCATGCGCCCTAGCATTGCATGAGAGTCTGGTGCTAGGAAGACGAATTAATATTATTGAGTCTATGGTAATATGAAACTTGGATACACAATCGTGTTTCGGTGATTTGGAGTTTTAGTATTTTTGAGTATTAAGAGAACATTTCAAAATCTATTAGTTTCAAAGAAGACTATATTACACGTCTTCTTTACTTTGCATGTATTTTACGAGTTTGAAATACACACCGACTTAAGAAGCATTCGTATTTTTAAGATTCAGAGTGCGACCTAGATATGAGAAATGCTCCAGTGCATCGATGGTTATTTATAAGCACTTATTCAGGCTATCCAGGGTCCAATTTCGTGCTCAAATATCAAAATTTACCGCTGGTACTTGTGGTAAGCATCCAAGCCATACCTGATTGCTAAGAATCGCTTTGAAATGTCTTTCAATCTGGAAGAAATAATTTCAAAATATCGCGAATTTGAAATCGGGTCGCCCTATCCTATTTATGTTCTTTTTGTCTTTGTTTTATGCTACTGGTGGAGGTCTACAAAGCTGAAAAATCCGTCTGGGCTTCCAGTGATTGGTAGAAGGTGGTATGAGCTGGGAAATGGCAAAGCTAGGCAGCGGATTCGGGATGATTGCCTCGGCATTGTCAGATCCTGCCTGGCGAAGGTGAGTAATATCCCGGTTCGGATCTCATGCCGACCCTAACAGTTGCCTTGCGAGCAGTACGGAGATGCATTCTACCTCTATACTGATTCTAGGTATCGCCTGATTCTTTCTGGTAAATATGTCGATATGCTCCGCAATGAAAAGCGCCTGGATTTCATTACAGCGCTGGCAGATGTAAGAAAAATACCAACACGGAACCAAAACCAAATTTTGACACCAAAACAGAAACTTGTCAATGGTGTGCATGGTTTCGAGCCAATGCTTTCAATGACAAGCGATAAAAAGATTTTACACGCCGTGACCAAGCACTCGCTTAATCGACATTTGGGTAAGCCATTTCTATCTCATTTTCTGTTGCTTGCGATGGATAAAGTCTACTGTGAAAAAAAAATAGATCTAATATTTTCCAAGGAACCTTTGTGGAGCCATTGAATGAAGAATCTGACTATACAGTTCGTCAGGTTTGGACTGATGAGCCTGGTACGATTCCTTAATCCCATCGTTGACTATTCATGACTGAAGCTGAGTAATGCACTAGAATATCACGAAGTTATGTTGAAAGACTCCGTGTGGAAGATGTTTGGACAGATAATGTCTAGGACATTCATTAACGACAAGGACTTTTACCGCAATCCCGAGTGGGTAAATGCGAGCTCAGAGTATGTCGAGCTGTCAGCTCTAGCTGGATATGAGCTACGAGCCTTTCCAAGATGGGCAAAGCGTTGGGTCGCACCATTCCTTCCTAATTGTCGGAAGCTTCAGTCCCTTTTCAAACATATCAACACTCTCTTGGAACCCTTAAAGGAAAAGTTAGATGGGAAAAAATTAGAAATTGACTCTAAAAGCCCACTGAGCTTCTTGCATCAAAAGCTGGACGGTCAACCAGATGCGCTAGCATCTATGCTAATCGCTCTCTGTTTGGTGTCATATGATGGGGGAGGAGAGTTGTTTACCCATGTTCTTCACTCGGTCTTCACAAATGATCAACTGATACGTGACCTCCGTTCTGAGATTGTGAATGTTGTTGGGGATAAAGGCTTTAACAAGAATACCTTACAAGGTCTCGTACTCATGGACAGTGTTTTGAAGGAGGCTATGCGTATGCATCCTGAGTCTGTTCGTAAGTCTCTCTCATCTAGACTCCAGAAACTCCTCGCTGACTGTTTATCTTAGTCCTGATGCAACGAATCGCTTTAGAAGAAGTCGTATTACCCGATGGTCTTATTATACCCAAAGGAACGCCCCTTTTGGTGTCTGGCTGCCATATCATTGACGGTTCCATTTGGCCTGATGGCGACAAATTCGACGGCTACCGATTTTTTAACCTACGCCAGAAGGCGGATTCCTCTACAAATCAGGCGGCTTACAACTTCACATCAACATCTCCAGACCATTTTGGCTTTGGCCATGGATCTCAAGCATGCCCTGGAAGGTTCTTTGCATCGTATATGCAGAAGATTTTGCTGTGCCATGTGCTGATGAAGTACGACATTTCAGTCACTATCCCAAAGGAGGGCGCATGGTTTCAACGTGGATACACACATGTGGCTCATCCAGGACTAAAGGCTCACGTCAGGCGACGAAAAGAGGAGATCCCATTGTGAAAAATGATTCTTTAATGGAAGAGGGTTATATGTCGACTCATTCTGAAATTCTGAAAGGGTCGCCCTTTTTGATTCTCACGACATACCTAGATATTTCATAGATTTCGGCTTGACACTTGTAATGCTTCTGGGCTTGTAATGCTTCTTGAACATTGCCAACTATCTGCCCATGTCTGCTGTTATAATATATCAAAATTGACACGAATACCCCTTTTCTCCGTAGTCCTGGCGTGCTTTTTGAGAGCATTGACTAGGTATCGTAGTAAATATGTGCGGGACCTGCTGGATCTCTACTAACATGACCAACGCCAGGGCTTTTATTATTCACTTTAATTTCGGCTTGGTTGTTTGCTCCAAGAGTGATGCACATTCGCAATCTGTCACAGGTAGTTTACGATTTCAGATGCGTCCACGTAGACCCATCATCCTTGAAGAGCTAGATCCCTATTGCTATATAAATTTAGTAGCAGTTTTCTGCAGTGGCATGGCAAGGTGGGTTGAAAGGCTTTACCAACTCTAACTTGAATGGAGATTATCATGAAGTACAATGGGACGAAAATAAAGCCTAAATGATATATGCCTATATTGAAAGATCAAGCTTCTGAACTGTTTACATGAACCTATTGTTATAAGAGCGACTGGCATCTCGATTTCTAAGAGCTTAGAACCCTACTGAATTCTACTGCAGTTCGGCTTCGATGATTCCCTTGTGGGACCCATGAGGCAGCCAGAAATTGTTGATCTTCAATCCTACCGACTCCAGAAGTTCAGTCCATCTTTGACGTGTCCGTTCGATCCCCGGACACCATACCATGACAATCATATCGGTCATGGTTTCCTTTGACCCGGCATTCTGACTGGGAATGATGTAATCCTCGATCAAGATCTTTGAGAACCCTCTCTCCATGACAGCGGTAATGTGCTTCAAAATTATGCTGCAGTTTTCATCCGACCAGTCATGCATGATGTGCTTGAAGTAGTATGCACGAGCTCCTATAGTACCTGTTAGACAATAGACCGACAGAATCGTGGAATTACAGACCCTTGATTGGTTGAGGTTCGAAAAAACTATGCTTGATTCTCTGAATGTCACTGTCGAGGATTTTAATGTCCTCAATAACCGAGGGCAAATCCTCGAGAACAAGCCTCCCGGCCCCGCATGGGAACTTTTGCTTAAATCCGGCGATGTCATGGCCGCGACCGCCACCTACATCAACTAGCAGAGGATGATCAGCTGACGCTCCGTTCAGTAGCTGCTCTTGGACGGGAAACCAGTCAGCCCAGTGAGAGGTGTCGTCCCGAGATCCTTCCATGAAGGTATTAAAGCGGCGAAGTGCCTCTGGATTCTTGGCTAACCACTCCCAGCAGTCACCGGTTGTATTATAAGCATGTTGAAATGGCCCATCCTTGGGGTCTCCAGGATTTCTGTAGTTGGACTTTTGGAAATACTCTGGTGTTTTTTGGATAATAGGCAAAAAGTCGACGAAGCTGAATTTCTCGTATTAGATCAAAGTCGGACAATGTTTTCAGTGATGAAAAATGAAGCAAAATACTCACAGTGAGTCCATTGTTCCAATCACTTTTCTCTCCGTCATCTTGATTGACCACTCAGTAGGTCCATATTGACCAGGACCCGATTCGGTAGCAAAGCCATTGGCAACGATAACACGCATGATACGTTCTACCAAAATGGTCAGTATATACAAGCTCCCAAAGATCGATACCTTATTTCTAGGTAGTACTTACCAACAAGTTGAACATCTGCATTCTTCTGAGTAGCCAGCTCTTCACATGTGACAAAGGAAGTCGTTTGAGATAAGAGATCAAAGATACCCAGGTCATTGGCAGTCTTAACAGCCATAAGAACGGCAGGCTTTTGGTTGCAACCATTAGTGCCAGTTAGTCAAATCATAAAAGTGTGGTTCATACCGAAGCGAATAACTTGTAAATAGCATCTGCGGGACTTTCCAAGGCTCTCAGTAGACGCGTAACACTTTCGAGTGCATCATGCCGGGCCTGTTCAGTCTTGTCCACTTGGAACTCATCGATTGATCTCACGGCCCTGGTGGTCAGACCGGAAATATCGGGAAGTTCCTGCTTCGTCATACTTGATACGATTCCGGTGGTCCAGAAAGCTTGAAGTGGCTCGATCGCGATTCTTTCTGCTCGAAAGTGAGGGGCCAATGGTGTACTTGGCAGAGTTCAGACACAATTTATCAGCCTCTATGCAAAAGCTATTGTGCTTTCACTTTAAACAAAGAGAAAAGAGGAAAAGAAGAAATTTCGAGTTAGTAGCCATGCTACAGTGTTACGGTCTTAATACGTAGTAATTAAACACGATAAACACGATTATCAAATCCCTTTTCCCAGAGGTCGCTTGCATGCAATAGCGCCCATCGAGGTAATAGTACGCATACATATGTGCATGATATTAGACTGAAGGAGAGAGTAAATCCCCGAGAACATGCATTGCGTCACGTTTGACGCATTTCGGAATATCCAGTCCAAAGAAAAAGAGAATCTTTCAGTTAGCGCATTTGTGGCGCCTAATTTCACGATAATACGCAGAGTTTTATCACGATCTTGTGGAGAGACTGAACTGTCTAATGGCACCTGTCACCTGCGAACATTGCGTTTTGTCATCAACTCACGGGCGCATCGGCTTTGCATGGAGGGGTGCATGCATGACCGTGGCTGGCTGAGCCTGTGGAGATCCGCAGCACCCACCTGCAACTTGAAGATGTCTGGCAAACCGAAACTCATAAGAGTCACCTATGGGATATTGGAGTGGGGATCCTGTGTTGTATTGTTGCACAAGGAACTGGGCTGGCCAGGCGATGGTCACGATGCAGATGCATCACAAATTCCACATAGGCTATTGTTACAGTACATGTTCTAGATCTACCCCCGGGACTGCCCCATCGAAAGATTATGCAGTTATCTGTTACACCAAAGTCACTAATCGCCGATCGATCAAACTTCCATACACCCGATTTATTTTACCTCGTTGTTGTAATGGTATGCAGGCGCTTTGTCCACCGGACGCAAGAACTTGGTGCCAGCACCAATGAATTATCAGTGAGCACTCTTCTGGACATTTGAATCGAGTCCAAACCACCTCCACCACAGCTGGTTCAGAGACCCTTCCTCCCGTTCCTCGGCATCCCCCTTCACTGGTTGAGGGCCCGATGTCGGCTTTCCACCTCAGCTCCATTTCCAATTAGCCGTAGCTCGCCCTGGTCTTCGCTGTTCCTTTGTTCATGCCTTTCCCCATCTCACTCTAATGCCTGGTCTCTAAAAGAGTTCCGACAGGTCTGCCAGAGAATGACAGCCGAGGTGAAGCAACCCTTGGACCTCGGGAGCCCTCAAGACTTACTAGTAGCACATATAAATGCTTTTCGGGCTGCCGCTAACTTTTAAGGCCTCAGTATTTCAGCCATCGGAAATCAGCAACCACCCCCGAACTCACTAAAATAATGCCCTTCTATCCAGCTTCTCTTAATTCACCTATTGCACAGACAGGGTCTATCTATCTCGTTCTAAACAGAGATCTCTGTCCTAATGTGTAGTTCTTTGTAATATTTATACTACAGATTCGATATCTGTTGAAATGAGGACTGGAAATACCTCCGGTAAAGATTTCCAAGCATTTTATCACCCGGGGACGCTGATGGAGTACTAGCGTGGATAATTTTTCTTCGATTGGGTAAAGGTATGTGCAATAAAATACAAAGTTTAAAAACGGCTAGGAACATTATTGGGCTGTTCGAAAATTGGAGAAATATCAGTATTCAGCTTTCGCAGGGTTTCATGTGAGAATCCGTGGATATTGCAAGATTTTAATTCTTGTAAGTATTGCTTCTCCCCTATGTGAATAGAGCGAAGACTCCGGTAATTATTGTGAGGATCGTCGATAGTGCTAGGGTAGTTAGCTTTCACCCTTTGAGATGTACCAGACCAGATAGGGGATTGACATACCTGGAACCAAACGGAAAGCCTCAATGTAGCTTAATTGTACAACTTTTTGCATGATTTCAGGTAACCTTGCAATGGCTCCATAGTTTTGGAGAATTTCATGGATGATCTATAGACACTGTGAGTATATTGTGACTTACTGCTGCCCTGGTTGGATGACATATCATACCTTTGCCTTATCAGATAGGGCAGTGCCATCCAGGTTGGCATTTAGTCGAAGGCGAAAGAGTTGATGGAGAGCCGCGGTACTACCACTGGTACCCACAATCTGACTAATCTGCTGTACCAGGCAATAAATTGCTGTGGCATTGGCGAATTGCTCCGCAGACCGAACGGTCAACGCAAGAAATTGGGCTGAGAGGAAGATTCCACATCCCACCGACATGGGCAAACCGTAATACACCTCGACTCCTTGAATGCCGTCGTTCCACCGTATGATAATCACAATCAGCGATGCGACAGCAATTCCGATTCCGATGAGGGACAATTGGCGATATTTGATAGTTCTGGAATTGTTAGCCAAGTTCGTTTTCTTGGTCATTATCACTCACGTCCTCATGGCTTTCCCCGCTATCATAGTGCCAATAACCAAGCCGATGCAGGATGGCCAGATGCGGAGAGCAATCTCTGAGCTGTTGAGGTGGTCGATTTGGGACAGGTAGGGCGGAAGATTGGTCAGAAACTGCGCTGTGTTAACTGGGACTCCGTCAAGATCACCGCTGCTTCTCGGGACAGAACCTCCACTCACTGTGCTAACAAATACGAAGAACGTAAACTGTCCCAGGAAAATATGCCGTAGACCCGGCGCCGTGATAATAGAAGAAGGGATCATGGGTCTGGGCGTCACTTTCTCGATACAGAACAGGATTCCTAAAAAGATGGCCGATATTGTAAATAGAGCAGGCTTGTTGCCATCTAGGATCGGGCTCCCGTTGGTCGTCCCCAAAACGAATGAAGTAGCTGAAATGACGAAAGCCCCAAGTCCCAAATAATCGAAGCTCCATAAATCCAGCCCAGGCTTCACATCGTGCTTCTTAGACTCTTGCGGAAGTTGGAAATAGGCTAGGATCAAACAGAGAAAACCGATTGGTGCTTGACCGAGTAAGGCCCTAGGAACAAATTTCAGGTTAACGAAGAATTACCCCAGAACGCAGCATGATATGAATGAAAACTCACCACCTCCAGCCAATGGTGTCAGTAATGAGGCCCCCAATTGGTCCTCCACAACCCTGACCAAAGATCTCAGCAGCCATGATGTAGCTTCGCACCGACGCAATTTCCGAGATGTCGTAAACCTCTGGTAGCAAAATAACCCGTCAGTCTTGTGTTTGTTGAAAGTGATCGGAAAAGGCTCACCATTGATAAGTACAAAGAGCAGATCGGTCATTCCAGCACCCCCTATACCTGACAAGAATCGACCAAAAACAAATGGCCATAATGAGTCGACAGAGCCGCTAAGATAAGGTGTGAGAAGGAAGTCTTAAAAGTATATGAACGGAATATGGTCAGGGACTTCATTTTGAACTCACGATATAGCGCATCCAATGGCGAACAGAGCATAGGAAATCAAGAGAAACTTGCGACTGCCGTGTAGATGACTCAGGAAACCATACTAGAGTTTGATTATTAGCGGGTACCAAGCGACTAGAAAGAATAAGCGCTCGAAGTGATACTTACCACGGGAAGCGCAACGCAGTAACCGAGATTGTATGACACCAACAACAATGACGCGCTAGATGGAGACTGCAGCGAAAGCGCAATTTTGGTTTGAGTCGTTAGCAGGACATATTTGTCTGCACTGGCCAGGAAAACGCCTGAATAAAAGAGGAAGAAAGGTCAGCCGAGCAAGTAAATGAACCAAGAAACAGATCCCGCACCAACTAGCCCAGCTAGAAGCTTTGTAATCCCTTGTGGCTGGGGCTTCTGGCATTCCGTGTCTTTGAGCAAAGGAGACTGCTCATCTGGGATTTTGACTTGCATCATGAAGGTGCTTTCAACAGCCTGGCTGAAGCGAGAGGGGGAATATGGTCTCGTTGAACGGGGCTATCGCCCTGAAATAGTTTCAAGGCAGTAGTCAGCAGGAATCACGTTGCCAGTGAGGATTTCCAAGGTTTTTGTGCGGCTGAGACAACCAATTTTAAGTCGTGCAAATGATTTGAACTACGGTACGGAGTACTCCCTTGCCTATTGAAAAGTTTCCAGCTGAAATGACCCACTTGGACACTCAAGTATTCGCCTCCGCTGTGTAGATAAAAAGTAAAAAAAAAGCAAAAAACAATAATCGACTGTAAGGATAAGGCGATTAGGTGAGGGATCGCCTGTTGAGAGCGTACGAGATCTTCGCCAAGCTCCCAATGAAACTTGAAATCGTCGCGACGCCACCACAGCCATCGCATCGGTATTACGATATCATAATATGATCAGTATGTGATGTTCAAAGCAAATATAATTTGTTGCCCCCCACCCCCTCCTCGAACAGGGATGGGGGTTGACCAGGCGTCCCGGTCACTGAGTCGCCGAGTCGCCGAACTGAGGTCACTGAATGAGGGTTGGTGTAACGAACTGAAGCTTCTCGGGATCTCGGAATCTCGGCAAAGGGATTTGTTTATATACCACGTGATGAGACGACCAATCACCACCACGTGACATAGGCCCAGTCGCCAGTTGGCAATACTTACAATACTTCCCCCAATCTGTTCTCACTTCTCTCCAAGTTCTCTCATTATTCAAGGTAGGAAAATCTGTCTCGAGCGTTCAAGAAAATGAAAATATTTTTTTTCTCTATCAGATGACCGAAGTTTCGCAACTCCACTACCACTAAATTGGAAGTGGAGTCTTTGTTTACCCTCGAAGATATCAACAGAAATTGGTCAAGGCACGAACATCAAAACTTGTGATGAAGTTATTTTCAATATCTCACCGATACGCCCCAGTTCTTCAACCTGAACCATTAGGCGTAGACTTCATTTCTCGCACCCACTTGTCAATTGTCTTCTCCATCAAACCCTTTGTCAAAACCACCTATAAATGCATGGTCAGTCGATCAAGTTGGGGAGTACAGGTTGCAGGTAAGGGGCAGATGGCGTGAGACGTACCAGTTCTTCTGACTCGATAAGCGTGTCATGATCTGCGTCCTCAACAATACCCCACTCCACATTCTCTGGTCCAACCATCTCATCCCAGCCACCAGCATCAAAAGACTCACGCGGAATCTGAAGCCAGTCATGGCTGATTTGCATCTTTGTCCCCGGTCCTTCTTTCTTCAATAGATTCGTCGCTTCGAGAACCATGTCTGCCATTCTGTCATGATCGCCATGCCCAGCCCAAATGACAAATATCCGCGGTCGGCTTGCATCGCTTGCGTCGAAGGGACGAGGGACATATTTCATTTTCGCATGATAAGCTGCGACTCGATGCTTCTTGCGAAAAGCTGGAATCTCCACGTCAGGCTTGCCTTTCTGACGAATTGGGGGGAATACGCCCATCATCTCAAAAAGATCCACAGTTGCGTCCGGGATCTTGGCGGGTGGCCGAGGCAGACCCAAGTCAAGCATGATTATCCCCAGAACTTTCTTTCCCCGTTCGTGGAGGTGGTATGCGGTTTCGTATGCAGTTGAAGTCCCCATTGACCAGCCGCATAGAATATATGGACCTTCGGGATCAATGCTGAGAATGGTGTTTGCGTATATCGTGGCGGTTTGTTCTATCGTCCAAGAGGATTCCGATTTGGTCATCAGGAACGGCGAGCTGAAGCTATAGACTGCATAATCATTGGTAAACTTGGGCAGAGTTCTGTACACGAAAGCATTTCCCGAGCCTGGAGGGGCAAGGAAGAGGGATGGAACGCCTGGTCGAGGGGTCCCCTGGAGCAGGATTGAATGACATATATCGCTAGGTGTGTCTTCCATGATGGGCGAGAAATTCAAGAAATCTGCTGTGTCTGAAACTGAACTGATCTGCTGGCAGATTGCACCAGCTGTCACCTGGGTGAAGAACAGAGATGATGGTAACGATACTCCTGTTTCCATCTGGACGCGCTTGAGAATCGCGATCGACGAGATTGAATCCACTCCAAGCTCAACCATTCGAGTAGAGAGATCAATTTGATGTCTTTTTTCTCTTTCGATGGCCTTGCACAATGACTGCATCACTTGAGGACCTGAAATGGGTCCATCGATGCTGGACTCATCCGGTGCATTTTGGCGCTCCCAGTATGCCCGAACCAGATCTTCCAGTTTTGCCTTCTGCACCTTCCCCGCCATGGTTCTCGGATATTCGTCTTGCCCCAGTGCCTGTATAGATATGACATCTGCCGGAACATAAAGTTCTCCCATCCGGTCCATGACGCAGTCTTGAAGTTTTTTTGCCATGAAGTCATCGACTTCCCGGTTCACAACAACAACAGGAACATCTCCGGCAACATTGTCCGGTGCGCGAACAATCTGAGGTTGAAAGATACTGATTTCGGGAATCTGACCCAAAACCGCTTCGATTGCTGATGGTTCAATATTTTCGCCCCCGCGGATAATTGTGTCTTTGTACCTACCGATCAGGTACAGACGATTGTCATTACCAATGAAAGCTTTGTCCCCAGTTCGGAACCAGACACGGCCATCCTCCGCATTGTAGAAGTTACCATCAGCTCCTCCAATATATCCATCAATCAGACTTGGGCCTGAGAAGTGCATCTCACCAGCCTCTCCAGGCCGAGTTGGCACCATGCTGCTATTGTTGTACACACGGACAGACATCCCGGGGAGTGGCGTGCCAATAGAAACATTCCCGTCTTTGATTATTTCATTGATTTGGCTGACGATGCCGGAAGAAACAAGGATGCCCTCGGTCATACCATAAAGATTCTCCACTCCCGATGCACCCAAGGTGTTCAGGCAGATCCGGAAGACCTCTTCGGTTGGGATAGAGCCTCCCATCACAATTCGCTTAAGAGAGCTCAGCTTCCCAGATGCAAGCGATACATTGCTCAGAGCATGCAGCATGGTTGGCACCAATCCAGCGTGGCTCACTTGCTCCTCTCGGATGGCTTTTGTTACAGCCTCCGGAATGAACCTCGGTCCTGGGAGCACAACTGTGGCTGCGTTAAGAAATGGGCCTATAATACAAAGCCAGCCAAAGCCGTGGTTATTTGGCAATGTAAATAATGCCCGGTCCCCAGGTAGCATAGGAGAACTGCTTTGTCGCCAGCGTAAGGCGGCCGCGAAGCCATATGCTGATGGCATAATGCAACCTTTCGGGAGAGATGTCGTTCCGCTCGTGAAGAAAATTGTCCGATCGGAATTTTCTGAATGGTTGTCTCGACATAGACTTTGCTGAAAGTCTGGTGCTGCATTCTTCATCAAGTCCTTGAAATTTGTCCACCCATCCATATCTCCTTCAACCAATATCTTAACGCAGTTCAACCCAGACGTCAACTTTTCAATGTGCGCACACATATCAAATGATCCAGCAATCATTCCCATCAATTCTGACTGACACCCTTTTGTCACGGTCTCCAACATGTGTCGCAGCTCTCTCGGATTGGATAGAGCCTTGGGGTTGATCGGGACGTAGGAACAGCCGATTTGGTAGGTGGCCCAGGTGGCAATAACATATTCGGCGGTGTTTGGCATAAACATTACCAATGGGTCACCTCTCTTCAAACCTAGACTTCGTAAACTGATGACAAGTTGCTGAATAGCACGATCAAGGTCCCTGTACGTCCATCGTAGATATTCCGGTTCGGGGTCGGCGCTGCGGATGGGGACACTGTGAATCCCATAGAGAGTAGGTGCCTGATGGGTACTGACTAAGGCCACAGCATCCGGGTATTTGACAACATTCTCATAAAAGACCTCGTGAAGAGTTTTCTCGGGGTTTGGTAGAGGAGGTCCATGAAGTTCGTTGGAGACTGTCATAGTGGGTGATTGCTCGCAATGGACAACTGACAAGATTTTTTGATAACACAGGCAAAGGAAAAGCCATCATAGATTAAGACCCCATGGAAAGAAAAAAACCGGAAATAATTAATACGTGAAAAGTTGCACATGTATAATGCAAGTTACGGTACATTACCAGGTACGAGGCTTGAGCCTTCTCTGCAATCCTGCAAAGATAATAATGGATCACAATACATATGGACTGACTTGAAAAACATACGAACCATTTTTTTGAATGGTGACAGGCAACAAAAACAGTGTTATTCTCGTCACGATCTAAACTGCGGGGTATCTGCAGAAGGGCCCATCTGTGTACAGATCCTGAGGTGACACAAACCTTGGCATACAGATGCAATACATAGATCACATCATGCCTGCAAATCTGACACTCGTATTGTACTTGTATTGCAGCTGTATACATAGACAGATTTGTGGCTTGCAGATGTACAACGCATCACATTTTGATAATCGCGGTCCTTGGATTGATACTCGAGACCCGAGTCTAGATTTCACAAATGCAGCTAACAAATGGACAAGCTATGCATTTTACTGACGGTGAGACCCCTCGACGAGAACAATTCATGCGCCTCGGGCTTTTGTTACGGTGATGACATTGTGCAGGATTCCTCGGCTGCAGATCAATACCGATAATGGCCACTCATGTGTTACAGGCAAGTCGGCGTGTCGTTTGAGTAGGTACCTTAAGGAAGACTCGCTACTAGTACTTACCTTTCATATGAAGCGGACATCACTCATCTAGAAATCGGAAAGCATCTTGATCGAATTTTAACCGCAATTGCATCTCACGATGTCTCAAACTATGACTTCCACCCCCGTTAAGACGACCATGATTGTGGGAAACCAATCATTGGACGTCGCTGAGCTCGATGAAATTAGGCTAGAACGCCTTATCGCGAAAGATGAAGAAGAGACGGCCAAGCTTATGAAGGCGGCAGAGTCTCGGGGGTTCTTTTACATCACTTTCAATGATAGCCTCTCTGAGAAAGTCTCAAGTCATCTTCGGACCTGTTACCTGAACTCTCATGAGTTTTTCTCTAAGGCCTCAGATGAAAAGATGAAGGAGTTTAGGGAAGATATGACCCACGGGTATGTCGGCCACCCATTGTGACTCAAATCAAATTAACGGATATTCACACATCGATAGCTACAAACGCGCTGGCATTGAATCATTCGAAGTAGGTATATCCATAAATTGTAACTAATGATGACTTGTCTCTAATAATCATCAGATTACTCGAGACGAACAGAACCGCATCCCCTTACCAAGTCCCTTCGCCGAACACGCTGAGGCAACACTAGATCTTGCCAACATCTGCGATACCACGGTACGCACAGTTCTCCACAGCATTTCCGATATCCTTGATCCCAGCGAATCCTTGGGTCTGGAAAATGCTCATCGGCCTGATGGAAGAAGCGACTCGGGAATAAAATTTGTTTCCGGTCCAACTAAAGCATCCGTTGCTGATGTACCCGATACTACCCACACCGACGGTGGCTCGATCACTTTGCTCTGGTGCGATAAATGGGCCAGTCAGATGCAAACTAAGGAGACGAAGGAGTGGCTATGGATAGATCCTAAGCCTGGCTGTGTCTTGGTCAACTTCGCGAATTATCTACAAACCCAGACTGGCGGTCGCCTGCATTCCCCTGTCCATAGAGTGAGCCAGCCTTCAGATGGTGCGGAGGACCGGTATTTTGTTTCCTATTTCTTGCGACCAAATCATTAGACAGGTAATATTCTCGAGAGAAATATCTACATACAGAGTGCGGACTGACAAACTTGGCAACTCAGGTTTTAGCAACAGAGGAGCTCTGTCACTTTTGCACCTAGGTTAGTATCATTTCTCTTTCGCAGTTTTAAATCTATGATGAGCCTTGAACTGAGAGAAGGGGACTTTGGGAGACTTGCTCTCCACTAGTATTCAGCCTGTACCACCTGGGCAGTAGATTACTTAGATATAAATACTTGCTAAACTCCTAGGTTGTGAACAAAAGAACTTTGGAACCTTGGAAGATATTTACACCTCGGCACTTGAATCTGACTCAGCCCCTTAGACAGAAGCCTCATTTACCCCTTGTAATATATCATGGAGTAGGCCTATTGATAATCACATCTTTCATTATGGCCATCGGGTTCTGAATAGGTCCTTAAAATGGCCAATTTAAGAGCTCGTCCACACCGATTCAAAAGGTACTAACACTGGAACATGTTTCCAATAGGGAAAAAGTCTGCAACTTGCTAGTGCAGATGTTCGAATTTTGCACGATTACAAACCCTTTCTCGTCGGTGTGGCGGCGTGGCAAATGTTCATTCTTCATATGATAGAAAGTCTAGTACTCCCACTTGCCGAGGGGAGATCATCCGCCCAATTCCATCAAAGGTGCTCCTGGAAACACTAGAGGGCTGGTGTCATCAATTTCATTTGCATGCTTGGCTCCTTATTAAAATACACATACGGTGGGTTTGTACTATAGGTGTTCCATACTGTAAACGTGTGAATCTCAATATACGCCCGAATACATAGTATTGCATCGGTGGGCTGCTAGCCAGAAATTGCCGTAAGTACCAGAATTCATTCGATCCCGGGTAAAGTCTCCATCCCAGACCGCCGATTCTGAAAGCAATGTAGATATTTGCGAAACTTCAGCCAGCCACCAGGTACACACCGATATTTTTCGCTAGTTCCTTGAACCTGCACATACAATCAAGTTGTGTGACCATCCTGCATATTCCGTCCGGACAGATCTATTTGTACCTTGTGGCTATGTAATAAAGTGGATGCTTGCAAGCCAGGATGCAGGACAGGGTGGAGGCTCATGCTTGCTTTTAAAATGCTTTTTGCATCTTCACGAATTCCTTTTTCGGATAGCCCCTACGATCCAACCGCCAGATGCTCGCGTGGATACTACTCAATACTGTACCTGAGTGCTGCGCATCTAATGTAAGAACGGATATGAAATCTTGGAGGCAAGTGAAATATGCGGCCATTATGCAATATCTGGTACTTGAGTAACCTGTAAATGCAAACCGTCGTATAATACCTGTATTCTGACGGCTCTCTAGATAATTTCAAGCGAGCTCAGCGTAAATGGAAAGCTTCCATAGTCATATCCTCCCCTTGCACCAAGTCAAAACTTCACAATGTCTCTTGGAATTGATTTTAGCTCTGAGAATCACCAACTCATATTCTGCGGTATTTTTGTTATTATATGCACTTGCACCGTTCTTCATTTATCTCTGCGCAGTTTTCAAACTCACTCAAAGCTTGACGGATCCAATGAGTTCATTGAGATGGGACGCAAGCGGCCCAAAAGGCCCAAAACAGCACCAACGTCGAATTGCGAGTGGGCATCAATGCGAGAGTTAGAATTCTACAAAAAGCTCTATTTCAAGCTTCAAAATCTGGAGGAACACCCCGAGATAATACCGATAGCACGACAAGTCTTCCTAGCTTTGCTTTCAGAAGCATTGGAAGACTATAGCAAAGCACCAGACACAAATATACTGTCGATGAAGCACTTCGACAAAGGCGCGCTTTCCCTCTTTCTTCAAAGTCACCAAGACAATGTCACGGATCAATATCACCGCTATATTAGTCGTCGACAATCGGGGGGTCCGCGGGCGCTGTTTCAAGACCACCAAGAAGCCGAAGACTGGCTGAGAAAGATTGCACCGCTGAAGCTTGTTGACGGCGCCTGGCTAGGGCACTTAAACAAAATTACTATGCCTTTCTCGCTAAGGCCTATTGTAAAGGAGACATGGCAGGTGTTCACAGAAGAGCTAGGGAACGGCAACCGGGACCAGCACCACGTCAAAATATTTGAGGATCTTCTGAGAGAATTTGAGCCGGATCTGCCATCGCCAACCACCAAGTCTATTCTGCATCCTCGATACAAACTGGGCAATCTCAAATATTGGAGAGCGGCGGTGGCCCAGCTTATAGTTTCTCTCTTCCCGCACGAGTTTTTGCCTGAAATGCTTGGATTCAATATGCATTTCGAGTCCCTCCAATTGGATACCATGCAAGCAGCGAAAGAGCTGCCGGAAGTTCATCTCGACGCATACTATTTCTTGCTCCATGTTTCGATCGATAATGGCCACTCTGGACATGCTGCAATGGCCATGGAAAGCGCTGCACACTATATTCAGCACATGTCTGAGACGGAGGGCGAGGTAGCTGCCGAGACTGCTTGGAGGAGAATTCAGGCTGGTTACGTTTTCAGTGAATGGCAGTTTCGAAATTACAGCCAGGCAACCCACATTTTCGCACGATTAAATGACAATGCTCATGATAAACTGGAGCAAAATGTTCTTGCGATATTCAGCTCAAAGATCCAGGCCGCCCATAGACTGCATTGCGGTAGCCGGGTGAAGATTGGAAAACGCTCACTGGCTGAGTGGCTTGAGCCTGAATCATTCCTGGCCAAGGAATGGCAACAGGAGTTTATCCAATCTCTGAGTACATGCAAGCCTTGGGTCTACCCAGGAATAGCCAAAGGAGCAAACTCGCCCAAGAGCTTCGATGGGGTGGGAAAATGTACGGAGCATTCACGAAGAGCGAGCTTGAAACATTTGAGCTCTGGATCAACTCCATGGGATCTGACCAATCCCACTTTTACTACTCCTTCATTGATTCCAATCCACATCCACAGTTTCAAATATCCAGGATACCGAATCTCGATAAGAGCGAGAGTAAATTCCTCACGGCAAAGGATGAGAACTTTGAAACAGCAGCCTCAATTCCCAGCGGCCTGGTAGGAAAGTCTTCGGGAGACAGTCCAACAAATCCCAATCTTTCTTTATTATTGCCACTCTGGTTTACGCAGTGCTGCCTTTTAGAATCATTTGTGTACTCCCCAGGGAGAACAACCGATACTATTGGCTGCGCTGTGGTACGATTTTTGCGGGCTCAGTCTGGCTTCGAGGAGGAGGACTCTAATGTGACAGGAATAGATGAGCCTCGCACGGCGGAAAATGGAGGAATTGTTGAGTTTGGTCTGGAAATGATTCGACAAGCGTCCCTTCCAACTCCTCAGAGTCTATGCAACCTTTTGTCTGATTGCCCGTCCGAATTTGCCACGAATATGCTCAGTCTATCTTCCAGTCCCGTTCGAAACTTTGGTATTCTGTTGGGCATGTCCATGGCATTTCTCGAACTGCAAGACATGGTATCAGAATCGTCCGATTCTTCTTTGCTTTCTCCGAAAAGCGGTGAGCGCCTTGCATCACTCGCTCGTAGGCAGTACCTGTGTTTACAGATATGCCTTCAGGAGATTCCCACAGGAGATGAACGTCGTGTTGATTTTGGCCGTGGATATGATATGGCGAAGGCGGAGATCAAGAAATGCTTCAGCCAAAAAGTGTGAAACTTAGAAAACTGTCATTTCTTTTCGGATTGTTACAATGCGCGTCCCTTCACATTTTTTGTTTTGGTCTATGATCGGAGGTTTCTATGATAGCGACTTAAATTATAACTTCTTCATGGACAATACTACTGCATGCGCCTTTATGCTGATAGATAAGAGGAAATTCTAATACATCCGGGTCCTCCATTGTGTTCAGGCCATCCACAGTATCAACTTGAACTATTCTAACGACTAGCCTTTTTTAGCGTTAGATCATTGGTGAGTCGCCTTCCAAAAGCTGATTCAAACAGCACTGTTGGTGCTCTGCCCCATCAAGATAGCGCGTGTCATATATAAAATCGCCATCTGTTCTCTCATCCTCATTCTACATACGGAAATAGTGATCAGCTCCAGAAAGGTGAACGGGGTAGAATGAGCCAGTGATAGATAGATACAACATGCAGGCATGGTCTTTGCCAATGTTCGGCTTTAGGAAAAATTGAAGACTCTTGAATTATGTTCGATATTAATGGCATCGCCTAAGACCATAACATAGCTTCACTCGTTGCCCAATTGATCGGGATTTCATTGAGGATGACCCCGAGAGACATTGTTCTACCTTGCTTCTTCATCAGCTATAACTAATGATCAGAACCAGGAGATAGCCAAGGTGCACACCTAACACCCGGTATTTCTTGGATAAAATGGGCTTTCCTGTATTCTATGAACTTTCCCGTGCCATCTTCAGCCACTTGGAAGACCTTCGTATCAATATCCAGCAACAGTTCATCGAGACCAGTCAGTCTGAGCCCAATGCTACCCTTTACCATACTAAGATCCAGGTCGACTTTGAATGGGCGGTTGGCGTATCCGTGCAAGATACCCAGGTTCATTTCATACACTTCTAATATAACCTCCATCTCCAGAGTCGCCGTGTTTATGGATCCGGACACCTATTCCGAAAGCAACGGGTCAGCAAATCTATTGTAAAACCAGAGGAATGCTTTTGCTTACAGCGAATATACCCGCAGTTGAACTGAAAGGCATTCGGTTTTTGCCCCTGTGACCACATACTGTAGGGTTCTGAACCTGTCCTATCTTGTAGACACCATCTTCGGACTCCGCCCGCTGCACTAGGAGAGCTTTCTCTTGTTAGCAAAATTGAGCATCACAGGGTTGAGGGAGTTTGCCTACCACTGTGAAACATGAGGAGAGCTAGGAAGATCACCGATATCAAGCCACGTTGAGAAAGGCGACTCACCGATTTTGTCAGTTCCATCGATTTTGCTTCATATATAATCCGTATTCAACTTGAAGCTGTGCGAGCTTACATCACCGTGCGTTGTGACCCAGAGCAATCATTTGTTGAATCTTGAATCTTTCAGCGCCACTCTGCATCGTGACCTCAGGGAAATGAGCCGCGATCGGAGAAGCTCGGTGTAATTTACAATATTTTTCTTCATGACAGCAAATATCTCGTTTTCTAGAGCCCAGGAATCTCCACTCGTTCGTAAGTGGAAGTGGCAGATGAAGAATTTGTCTTGGAATGCAAATTCGTCGAGGCCTAACGACGGAGTCGAGCAATTGACGAATCTACAACTAGTTGCCATGCCCATTTGGTCAACGTAATTTTCGTCTTTCATATTACAGGCTTTTTGTTCTATTTTTTATTGTTTTATTTTCTGTACTCCGTAGATAATGATTATTTATCTTGCGCCCCCGAGGGAAAATGCGGTCAGCAAGGCACTGTCTGGCCACTAACCCTGGAATACTATGCCCGAATACTAGTCTGTAGAAAAACTTGAATATTGATAATCGTGGAAATTTCCCGGTATTATTTGGGGGTTCAATAGTAGCCCTGGAGTACCTACATACATGGTGCATTGAAGTTGCATATTAAAACTACACACACAGCTTTTCAAGAAAATTACATTTCGAATCTTTCAATAGTCGACTCGGAGAATTATGCAACCTAATGCACCAGCGAATTGCTAGCAAAGAGTGAGGACCCTGCGCCAACTTATGTAAGAATGCGAATAAGATTGTACCATCACTCGATCAGCTTGCCTCAAGCGCAGGCCTCGCCCTGGAAGTAAAGATCCACGGTGGCACTTTCCCGCGCCTCGATCTGTGGAGAGGTTTGAGCGGATGTCGCGCTGACAACCCTTCAACATTTACACGTGCATAGCAAGAATGTATTGTCAAATTGCAATTCATACAGCGATGGAAAACCATGACATTAAAAGAAATGAAGATTTTACGTTACGGTACGAACCGATGAAAGACACCACTTTCTGTACGGAGTAGGTAACAGAGCTAGTCTATTTAGCTAGGCCGCATACGTATGCAGAAGCAGCATTCAGCTGAGCCCAACATGTTAATCTAGCTGTAGATGCCAGTGCCCTCATACAGTACATGCGAGCAGTAACTGCAGCCACATGCATCTGCGAGTACGGAATATCACCGCGGATCTCAGCGCTGCTGGTTGTGAATGCGGAATGGTCACTGATCCGCATTCTCCAATTTGGCTCTGGGCTGACTCTTCTATTTTTCAAGAATATGACAGGCGATTGTGTTGTGATTCAGACCTTCCAGCCATTTCCCTTCCAGCGGTTGAATCTTTAACTGAAGGCGGCAAACTCCGTGATATTCAGAGTTGCATGCAGGGAGTTGTTGGCACACGCACACCTGGACAGCTCAATCGACCCCGCCTGTTGTGTAACCATCGGACACCCCACTACTCCGAAGTAGATATCTTCGATACGGACCCACAGCCACGATGCACAAATAGTGGGCTATTGAAAGTCAATTCAACCATATTCCGCCATAATTATGTATGTCAGATCAATTACAGCTCACATGCAGAGTTTAAAAAAGTAAAGAAACAGGGGCTTTGACACTACCCGATATGGTTTCGAGAATTCAGGGGCGGGGAGCAAGAGAAATACCACGGTCGCTCAAAAATTAGTTAGTATGCATGTACATGATCATGTCGGTGCGCTAACTACCCGCGACTCGCAGTTGTTATACAGGTCAGAAAACGTGCGAAGCTCTTTCTCGGAAACCATCCGTTGCTTAGAGCCGATACTCCGTACTCGTAGGAGAGACCTCAAGCATCCACAGCCGTGGAATTTTCTAACAACCACTTCTCAAGCCCTCGGCAAAGCAGCACCTGAATCTGATATCACTCTGTGAATATTTCACAAGTCAAGATGTCTTTGAATCAACCAGGCATCCCATTGAAGATAACGGTCATCGGCGCTGGGATGGCTGGCCTCTCATCGGCAATAGCACTTTCAGACATAAATCCCGACCACCAGATTACAGTCTTAGAATCAAATACCTCCCTCAGCGAGCTCGGTGCCGGACTACAACTCTTCGCAAACAGTACCCGCGTTCTACACAAATGGGGCCTAACACCATCCATGGAGAAAGTCGCCTTCCAATCCTCGCATCTGTCCATTCGGCGCTGGGAGGATAACGCCGAATTGTCTTTCAACATGAACAACCCTACAAGCACATGGCTGTACGGGTGGCCCCAGTGGCAGGTCTACCGACCAGACCTGCAACAAGCGCTCTTCGAGCGCGTTAAGAAGCTGCCCAACGTTTCCGTTTTATTCGGCAAGTCCGTTGCATCCGTGGATCACGAGACCGGTACTGTCCATACAACAGACAGGGAGGTCTTCGAGGCAGATCTCACAGTCGCAGCAGACGGGATTTGGTCCCGAGCCAGACGGTGCTTGCCGGCGTCGAAGGATGTGCTCCCCACCGCATATCGAGAACATAACTACCGTGCTGTGATTCCGCGGTCACGAATGCTCTCTAATCCCATTACTGCACAATTCATGGCTTCCCCGGAGGCAAAATCGTGGGTGGGCCCCAATGTATTTGTGCTGGGGTATACAGTTGCCTCGAAGGAGTTGTATAATCTTGTTATCGGTGTCCCACGGCCTAGCGAAGGAACGCCCGTCGGGTCTTGGAATCATCCTGCCAATGTCGAGACGATGCGCGGACTTGTATCGGAGTGGTGTGAGGAGGTGCGAGCATTAGCTTCTCATGTTCAAGACGGAGAGTGTGTTTCATGGACCTTGGGTGAAGTCGCTCCTATTCCGAGTTATGTTAGTACATCCGGAAGAGTAGCGTTGGTTGGAGACGCGGCGCATGCTCTTCTTCCTCATGCTGCTCAAGGGGCGGGAATGGCGATAGAGGATGCGGCGAGTCTAGCGGAGTTTGTGGGACATTTGAGGTCCAAGGAAGATCAGCCAAAGGTGATGAGTGCTTGGAGTGGATTTAGACAGGCTCGTGTGGATCATTTGCGCAGTATCAGCCGTGGCAATGCTATTGATATGACTCTTCCGGATGGCGAACGTCAGATTGCACGAGATGCGAAATGGAATTCTATCCGCGATACGCAGCGGGCGCAGCTGGCTGAGCTGGGCGCAGAGAAGATTAGAGAGAAGATAATCCAGGAGAAGCCGATGCCTGATCCGGCTTGTAAAAGCACATTTGAGCCTGGTGGTAGAATGTGGATCAACGGATTTGATGTGAGTGAGGAAAGTAGGAAATTCTGTCGCGAACATTTATGACTTGGAGTGGCAGCTTAAGCAATCCACAGATGAGTGGATGAGGGCCTGCTCCATGTCATAACAATTTCGGGCCATACAACGTCAAGTTCCATCCAACCATATACTCTCTGTACATCTTCTCTTCTGTGATCGATGCCGGACGGATTCTGCCACTAGCTAGTCAATCGCAGAGACACAAAACATCAGCACATAGTGAGATAGCGCAGCGCATGAGATAAAGTCACGATGATCAAAGCCAAAAACAGATTCCCGTGCAAGAAGAGGTGCGTAGAATCGAAGTACACATCGCGAGGTAAAGTTCTACATAACACAAGGTGGTTCAGTATCACATGACCCGGCCACCATCTTAGGCCAAGTGCATAATAGACAAGGTGATGATCAGGTTTAGAGTATGTGAGAATCCAGCCGTTGTTTTTAAGTCTGTCAAAGCCCTAGTATCTACTAGTGATAAACGCTAAAGAAACATAAATTCATTCCTCGTCAGTGGTATGCTCCCACACCTTTTCATCCTTAATGGGTTTCTTTTGCGGATCCCGCCACTGGTAGCAAACGACCTGCTTAAAATCAGGCTGGCAATGGTCCCATATAGCTGCATGCCCTTGTGTACGCATAGAAATACTCTGGCCTGAAAAATCAATATAGTCCTTTCCATGGATTTTGTAGTAGATGTGACATAGATACGTGTCCACTTCTCCTCGAAGTTCGCGTCGTTTCTCGGTGGGTGGAGGAGGTTCGTCACCAATCGGCTGGTCAAGATCAATCATTTCGTAAACCATGTATAAATGCTTCAGCAGCAAGCTTCGATATCTTTGTTGCCGGGATGGTCGATTCAGTAGTAAGAGACTCCAGAATTGGTAGTAGCTCCGAGTAAACCGATGACGCTCTGTAGGAGTCAAATGCAACGGACGCGGTTTTCCCCCATAAAATGTATCATCAATATTTGTAGTAGGAACTTCGAAAGCTGTAATTTAGCTTGATTCTCATACAGGTATGATTATGGTGTTTATACTCACTCCGTATATGCGGTGTAATATCATGATCAAACACATTAATCGCCTTCTCCACCATACGGGAGATTCGTCGCAATCGTAAAAGGTCCCGTATAGTTACCGAAGAAGAATCAGATGGCAGACCCCCTTGATCTGCTAGGAGAACTCTCGCATATCCTTCACATTGGATATTTCTGCGTAGGCGTTTGTAGATAGTAGGCATATTTTCATCTAAGACCTGGCGGAGTCGACAGGATGTCGCAGCCAAGTGAAGCGCGTCCTGAAGAGAAAGTTCCCCGAATATTTTGATGACAACCTCGGCAGGGATGGTGTTTGGCGTGTTTGATTCGGGCATTGTGTGCATGGTGAGCATTCTGAAAGGAGCTTGAATATATGCTGGCTTGTGGGAATAGAAATTATGTTGTTATTTTGCCTTTTAGACAATGTGACAAAAAGAGTTTGCCTGGTGAATGACAAGAAAAAGAAAAAAAAAGAACATACAACAGCAGGGATTCGCATGTGGTCACCCACCATACTACTAACCTGCCGGCGTGTGGCTTAAGTACGGCTGAGCGGACGGGAAGCCCTGTTCTCCACACCCTATGGTCGTATGTACTAGGTCCCTCCGGAAAGGGGGCAATATACTGCTTCTATGGGTAAAACAGAAAACTACATTTATCTAGAAAATAATAACACAGGCTGCCATCAGTAACCTTAGGTAGTCTATTAAATTTCGAGCAGTGATTGAAATTTATTTCTTGTTGTTAAATATACTGGTATTATATGCCCACATGGATGGTTAGGTTCTAGAATACTCCAAACCCTCTTTCAAACCCTTGTCACGGTGGCTTCCTGGGCTAGGGATATATTTTGAGGTACCTAGGTCCATGGTACTACAAGTACTACTTACCACTACTACCTAGGTAGTAGGACATCCGGGGCTCTCAATTGCAGGACTCGAAGCAATTTGAAGGTTCAAGTTAAAGTTGGACTCCCAAGGCCGGAAAGGCTAAAAATCTCAGCTCTGAAATGATCGAGCTATTATTCCTGCTCTCAACATCGGTATCTCAGAGTCATGTGATTAGGGCCTCAGCAACAAGGCTGCTGTTTAGCTCAAGGAGGATAAATAGTTTCGTTCTGGATTATCAATTCAACATGCATGTTCCCCATTATGAAAATGTTCTACTGAGGCTGCTGAGGTTGCGGTATCGATATACTGCATATGAAAGGTTCTGTTATTGCTCGTTCGATCATCTCTCTATAGCGTCACGCTTTGCTCATCTCGTTCCTGCACTCTGCGAGTGTGGTGGTTTTGTCTCTTCGCGATCGACCCGTCTGCTTGACAGACTGCCAGCGAGCATTCCCATCTTACACTAGGTAGTACTAGTTAGTGGTAGTACTTGGAGTCGATACCTACCTGGGCAGGTGAACTAATACTACTAGCTGTTGTGTATATTCCCCGGCGAGTCTCCTCAGATCATGATTTGCTTCCTACTTGGCTCACCAGCCAGCCGCCATTTTGCAAGCTTTGGAATATGCCCTTAGGATCGACCTTACTTGCAACCTTTCTCAATCTTTCAAGGTTTTCCGCGCCATAACTTGAATGGGGATCCTGGTCTCGGGAGGAATAGTTCGAATATTTGAAGGTGAGGAATGTTCCATTCTTTTTCGCGGTGGTCTCAGCAACGTCGACAATTTTACGAGCAGCGTCGCGCACAGCGGCCTCGTCCTCATGATTGGACCACTCGGTCATGAGAAGAAACCCTATACACCCAGTGTTAGATCGAAAATGGACAGTCCAGTAATGGGGAAATATCCAGAGCAACTAACATTGTTGATGTTGTTCCGAAACGCCCAGGGGAGAACCAATGCCTGAATTTGTGGCTTTGATCGCATTCGACGAGATGGGCTGAATAACAAACGTAATTTTGAGGCCGGGTATGTGCTTGATTAATTCTTCTTGCTGGTAGCGACATTTATTTGCAGCTCTATAAACCTCCAGATCAGGCAAGCTTGACATAGTCCGCATGTCGTGGCTGGTAAGGAAAAGAGTGTCAGACAGCCATCCGGAGTGTGAGCCTTCCAAGGTTGAAGGGGGAGAGGTATACTTCTTCGGTTCGGTTGCAATTGAGCTTTCTAACGCGCTCATGATCTGGAAAATTGTGTATTTATTTCCTGGCAGCATCTTTGCGATCGCATCGATATTTTCAAAGGCGTCAAAGACAGCCGGTCGCTCATCCACGCTCTCGGCGTAAACAAGCACCAGCAAGGTGGCCCCGGGGACGGCATTGAAAATCAGAGACGCGTTGGGGTCCTTCTCATTTGCCTCATGGAAACGCATCATAGCGTCGAGTAATTCGTCTTCTTGAGAAGGTGCAAAAACTCGGACTTCGGCCCATACTTCGCTGGGCAGCGTCGACATTGTGAAGTTGGTTACAATGCCTTAATTAACACGATGGGTTAGCCTATAAACAATACTTTGAAAGAAAGAGAGATCGAGGTCAATATCCTTACCGAAGTTCGCGCCCCCGCCTCTCAGAGCCCAGAAAAGGTCTTTGTTTTCGGTAGCATTTGCTTTAACAATGGTCGAATCCGCAAGGACAGCCTACATAGTTAGCCATAGGAAACGTAGGGGCTTTCTATAAACCACGTACCTCATATTCCACAATTCCATTACAACTGAGGCCATACTTGCCCTTATGGAAAGAAAGTCCGCCCCCCCAGAAGCAAGCCGGGGACGCCAACTTCGGGGACACGTCCTCCAGTAACTCCCAGCCCGTGCGCGTCGAGATCGCGATAGACCTGCGACCAGGTGAGACCCGCACCAATATTAGCTGTGGACCGATCTTCCGACACGGTCACACCGTTGAAATTCTTCATAGAAATCACGACCCCTCCATCATTACTTGTGAACCCAGGGTTCTGGAGATGGCCACCACCGCGAATAGAGAACTTAATTCCCAGGGCTTGGCAGAGGGCAAGGGCTTTACCGACATCCTGGCTCGTGCGGGGAACGACGATCACTCCAGGGGAGAGCTGGCAATTGAGGGACCTATTGCGAATTGGATCATTTTAGCATTCCAAAGACTAAAGCCGCGACTAAGGATTAGGGTCGTCTAACCAGACAGTGTTGTTCCTCTTGGGGAAAGTAGAGTCGGCCCGAAGACTGGCATCATCGCTAAATACCAAGGGGAAAACAGCTTCGGCCGTGGTTAGACGGCGAACATCCTTTTCGGAATCCGTCAGAGCCTGAAATTCTTGCAGAATGGCCTCCACATCTGTGACTGTGGCAGGAGACGGCTGCAGGATTAATAGGAGGCGTGAAATTTGTTCCATGGTTGCTGGAAATCGTTTTTTTAAGCTTTTTTACTGTACCTGAGAGCAAGCTGGAATTCGTCCTTCTTATTGAACATTTGGCGAGAAAGTTATTGTGCATAGCACAAATGCATTATTTAGTGGTCCACTGAATCGTGCTGCATGAATCAGTTTTCGGACATTGTTAGACTGTTTTAGCGTGGCCCTATGAGCCTTGGTCGCGTCTCAGGAACTAGATATAGTATAGATCGTGAGGGTGTGCGCAATGGCGGCGAGAAGTCCCTCTTTCCGGACCCCATCTTCCTGACAATCGCAGCCACCCAGCCAACAAAATCCTTCACTCCTCGAAATTGTGGGCCTAGTGTGAAATTGAGTGCTTGGCAAAGGATTGGAGACGGCCGGCATTGGGTTTCATTTAATAGCCCCACGAAGGATTCAAGACGGCCATTCCGGCATCATTTGTCGCCCCCAAGGCCCCTGATTGACGGGGACCAATTCGATTTTTCAATGAACCAAGTCCCCGACGTGAAAGCGGAGAGGGCCACCTCAACCCCGATGAGTGTGCTTCATCCATCTGCAGTATCAGCATTGCTGGATGTGAATCCGAGGCATTGAGCCTTGATCATGAATGAGTCGCCTCCGAAGTCGCTTGGGGGCTCCCCTCCAATGGCTAACATAGTGCGCGCTCTTTCTCTCGCATTAGCTGCTTCGACGATTTTGGTGTGTTTGACGCGGGTAGGTGTCAAGTTCCTCTCTTTGACGCGTTCTGGACTTTCCTTGTCGTGAACTCACAACCAATTTGTTAGTTGTACATCAGGAAATTTGTACTCAACTCCTTCGGGATAGATGACTACTGTGTGATTGTTGCTTTGGTATGTGTTCATCGTTGATAAATCTGGTCTACTGAGAGACATAGCTAAATCTGACCATTGTTTAGATTCTAGTGCTGGGATTTGATATCATAGCAGTCGTGGTCACCTACTATGGAGTTGGTTATCATCAAGACTCGGTGCCACTCGAAGACCTCTCCACGGTGATGAAGGTAAGCTACGTTCACTACACCTTCTGACATCCAACGGACGACTGCTGAGATACCTAGATCAACTACATTGCAAACTCCATATACCTTGTGGTGCAATCCGCGGTGAAAGTCAGTCTGCTAGCATTTATTATGCGAGTTTTCCCTTCAAGTCGTATACGATACTTGGCATGGGGATTAATAGTATTCCTGGTACTTTTTTCAATCTCAGGCGAAATTGCTATGATCCTTCAGTGCATTCCTCCACAGGCAAGCTGGGACTCGTCAATCACAAAAAAGAAATGCATGTCAGGGAATACATTGTTTGGAGTCACAATGTACCAGTGTGTGTTGATGTTCTTGGTGGATGTGGCGATCATAGTCTTGCCTATGCCCAGTGTCTGGAAGCTCCAAATGCCCTTGAAACGTCGTTTGTCTATCTCAGCTCTTTTTGGTCTTGGTAAGCCACCTACTGAATATCGGTGAAATTAATAAACGATTAATAGCTGATTGTTTAACCTCAAAAGGTATATTGAGCTGCGGTGCAGCACTGGCTCGCCTGCCAACACTCGCATTCGAGAACGACGAAGATTTTACGTGTGCGTAATCGCAAGACTCACTCCACGTAGCAGTGTCTTATTATATTGCCATGTTGCTGACATTTTCTTGAAATAGACTCTATTGCAAAATCCCTGATATGGATGGTAGTGGAATTCAATATTGGACTGGTTGTAGGGTCACTACCAACCCTTCGAAAGCTCGCGGCATTCCAACGCATATTTGGGACTACTCAACGAAGTAACGCCGTTAGTGATGGCCATTCTGGTCCTGGAATACAAAGTTCATTTGGTCAAAGGGGTTATCCTTTGCAAAATACGGTATGGAGCTCAGGAGGGAACACAGGTAGCCCGAAGCCTAACACTATACACAAAACCCTTGAGATCAGTCGGAGTGAGAGCTGCGAGAGAATTCTTGAGACTCCCGATGGAAGCCGTTTATAGCATATTACGGCGCCGATATCGCTCAATTTCTTAATTCAAACTCCGATTTTCTATAAACACTGTCACCATATTTCCCTCAAACGAGTATTCTTTATAGGAGGTTTTATGCGTCTTCTAGTCCTCATCGCCGACGAAAATCCAAATATGCAAGTGTTCCATTAAAAAGAACTATTGGATTGAAGCTGAAAAAAGACGAGCAGCTTTCATTTGTTATTCGCAATTTATATCACAATTGCAGGTGCAACCTTTTAGGCTGAAGAAAGACATGGGAAATGGAGAAAGAGGAGTGAGGGGCTCTGTACTTGAGCTGATTCGATTAGCTCCGATATTATAGTCGCCAGAAGGTGGGAAATAGCAATAAAAAAGAAAAAGAAAGAAAGGACTGTCCTTCCGACCGGGCCGACAACGGTCTTGCTACGCAATTATCACTGTCATTACAGACGTCGCTGATTTGCAAAAAGTTTTATCTTATTTTAGCTTCAAGGATGAAGGCGCTTCTTTGCTCCACAGGAAGGATTCAAGAAAGTTGGGTCTCATAGCCCTATATTTACATGTTGATTTGAAAGGTATAATAGTATGTTTCTCTACCTTCGCTCGACGCATCTCCAAAGAGTAGTCTTGGCCAAGAAAAAGAGCGAACCGGCAAAACGGAAGAGTGAAAGCCCAACGGTACCCCATACAACAGCCAAGAGATAATTCCACATCCGTCTATCCGGTAATGTCTTGTAAAGGAATTAGAACAAAGCTCAGGCACGGGGTGGGTTTGAAGACATACCAAAAGACAGAATTGGGAAATTCCCGTGCTCATAATGCAAAGCACCATTATTAAGTTACTGAAAACCCACAAAGCCACGAGATATGTCCGGAAAGCTTTATAAATATCATCCGCGTCTTTGTCCTCTGATTCAGGTGGTTCTTCGAATGTTGCCAAAGCTCGCTTGACGGTTGCATGGAAGAGGCTGTCAATATCAACTTGCGGTCGTTCCATTTCCTCGATAAACCTCGACTTCTCATCTCTCTTTGTTTGCGCCTCCGGCAGGTTCTTGCTCTTATCGACAGGTTTTGTGCCAATGGAGACGTCATGCCAGTTGCAAAACGCGTATACCATTAAAATATTGGACCCACATGTCGTTCCCGCGAAGTAAGCCCAAAAAGAGGTTACCACATGCCAGGGGTCCAGATAAAGTAAGCTCGCCACAAAATGTACACCGTAAGTAGCAACCAACGTGATTAAAATCATGGTCGATCCCAAATTATGAGAAGCAGCAGATAGCATGTCATCCTCATCGATCACAATATCGAATGATACCTTTGTCGTGGCCTGGCTGACGAGATAAAATGCCAGAACTGCGGTGTATATCTGGATCACGGGGAAGTAGAGGAATGAGACTGTGTACGCTAGACCAGACCTGTGGCACCAAGAAATGTTAGTACGAACCAAACATGAGGATGAAATCAACTTGCCCTTTGGGGCGATTTCCAAGAGACAAAATAAATTGGATGCCCAATAGTAACACATAGCCGTATTTGAGAAAGTCATTCACGATCAGAGAAGCCTCATTGCCAAACGGCCACGCTCTATTATTATTCGATTTCATTGGTGTGCTCACGACGCCCATAATGATCGAGGTTATCAACCAGAAAGAAGCTAAAAATTGTCAGTGGGATATCGTTACGGAAGTTGTGCACGAAATAAACATACCCAATGAGAACCAAGAGAGCACAATTTGCACAAATTTGTACACCATTTGAAGATGAAGAAGAGCCATCTGAAGGATACTCTGTCCGCTTTTGGTAAGTCCGACCGAAATGGATGAATGCATACAGATTCGCAGCAAATGAGCCATTGAGCCATTGACGTCTGGAATTGATAAAACCTGCAAAATCTCTCGGCACCTCAGCCTCGCCTCTCGCCCCTTTGACGAAGGCCAAGCGCCAATTGAATCCAGCCTTGGCGACCAACTCAAATGACAAGATCCGATCACCTGCGAAGAACATATTTTTCTTAAAAATGCTCATTTCGTCGAAGCCTTTCCTGCCTAGCTTCTTCGAAAGCGTTAGGTCACCGTGAAAATATTGTTCCAACGGCCGACCCATGATGGCCCGATACCGATATGCAGAAAACTCTCCAAGAGAAACTTGGCCAAGGATGCTTTCCAGTGGTTTTTCCAGAATATTCGATTTCTTCATCTCGAAATTTTGAGCTGCAACGAATGGGTTGATAAAACTCGTCTTGCTCATGATGGGGTGCACTTCGCCGCAAGCCCCGCCTAGATTTTCGTCGTTATAGAATGACTGCCACAGCATCAAAAATGATTCCTTGCAGGGCTTTGTACCGGCATCCAGCAAAACCACAACCTCCGGATTCAGCATACGGGAAAATGAGTTGAATATCCATCGATGTGAGTTGATTTTGTTACTGCTTTGCTGTTTCAAGCAGAATATCATCTGGACTGGTGGAGAATTTGTCATTTCATCACCGTTCGGCCGAACTAGAGCCTGTTTTGACGTGACAGAAAGTTGTGTGGTATATTCGAACTAGCCGATTGTCAGTGATTCGAAAAGGAAATAGGTTTGCCGAGCTTACGATGTGAGCGGTAGTTTCTCTCCCATCAACAGATCGCTTCATGATTCCGTCTTGGTAAACCCCAATTGTCGCCAGGACATCGAGGGTGTTTTTATCGCAAGGATCAATTCCATCGAAAACCAGACAGACAACGATCTTCTGCCAAGCAGGCCCACCCTGATTCCAGAACTCTGATTTTTTGAGATTGACAATATCGCGAATATTTTGGGTCACGCCGTGCAGAGTCCTTGCCGTCAGCACTTTATTCTCGCTCCGGTAGGTGATTGCGATGAGTAATTCAGTATGGCGATTATACATCGTAGGGCGCAGATTGTATCCATTTCGCATTACAAATTCGTCCGGGTCGCATGTTGCAGCCGTGTCTGTATTGTCAGCTTTGAAATTGGTGCTCATTTCAAAACGAGTCAATACTTACATCGTAAGTGGGTGAATTCCTCGGCATTTTCTGCCGATTCCCGATACTGTTTCTGCACGGCGTTCTGGATCGCGCTTGGTACCGGGTAGTCTGCGCTTAACACATTGCCTTGGCCGAGCTTGATTTTCCTAGTTGGATGGCGACGAATGCCAGGTAAAAGTGACCGGCGTACCTGGAGAATCGTTAGCATCCTCGTTCCCGCCCGTCGCCGGGCCTTGAACTCACGGGGGCGGGTGGCCGCGATCCACCAACGTCGGACGATCCATCGGAATAGAAACTGCTGCTACTCCTTTTGTGTTGGCTGGCGGAAGAGTCGCCAGATTGACCAGAAGAGCTGGCTGATGGCGTGAGAGCCCCCATCGTGTCTTGGAACAGCCGGGTCAGGGGCGAAGTGACTCCGGGGGAGTAGACGACCAGTTACTGGTCTATGCGGCCAAAGCGGCAGTGCTAAATCGTACGAGGAAAGATCTGGGGATTTAAGAGAAAATGGGGGAACTTATGCCAATCGTCTGGGCGATCAGTATTAGACGAAGAAGCTAGTGTGACTGATCATCGCGCCCAATAAATGACCAATCTAAAAGCGACAGACGGCGCAGAGTGGACGAGATAAAATTATTGACACCCAGCAGTGAAGGGCTTTTTTTGACACCGATTTCTATCTTTACATTATCTCGTACATCGAGACATTTTGATTGGCAGTACAAGTTGCGGGCCATGGATTCGTATCGGCGGAGGTGGTCTCGCTAACAACGCTGCGCAATGGTCGTACGTCAGCGGGTCTGGATAGCGGCACACTAGCAATGGAGGGGGTGAAGATAATTCCATGATGCTATCACACCACGCTTTTCCCTGGAATTAAGCCAAAAGACAACCATCTACGAAGCATTTTGTTAGAACCGGTCAGTAATATACAGAGACAGGAGATTGCTAACGCGGGCGTAAACTCAATTGAGTTTTTCCGTGGAGCGAGGGATGATTGAGAATAAACTATCGCTTTTGGGGATCCACTCACCCCCCACTCCTCGGAACGCGTCTCTCACGCGTGTCCGTCTTCTAGGCCCTATGTAATTGAATTGGGCGAAACAGTGTGCCAAAAAAAGAAGTAGACGGGTGGATTCTCCATTGAATATTCTGTGCGAACTCTCAGCGAAGTAAAAATAAACTAGAAAATTCGCCTTATCCATATCCGTGAAGGATAATTGTGGCTGCAGGTAAGACAAGGGATGAGAACAACCATTGGAAAGACAGCTGCTAGCTTGCAGGGTCAAAAAAGGAGAACTGGAGCTGGCTTGAACATTTCATGCGAAGCGACATCTCCGAGCAATATGGCGATGAGGCCAGTGGAAAATAAAGCTGGGCCGACAAATCCAGGACGAAACATTAACAGAAAGGGCAAGATATCATTAAAATGATCTCAACCCGGCCGGTTGACCCAAGAGAATATTTTTTTGATCAAACATTGCAATCTTGCTGGTATGAAGAGCGGCTATTGAAGAGCTCTCATAAGCATGACTGCACAGGATTGGGCCCTTCGGACTGCAACGACTTTGCCAGATGTTCATAGTATAGATAATATAGATCATTACGCGCACTGGCATCATTTAGCTGGTGCTTTTCTTGGCTCATCAACGTGAAACAATAGTGAAAACCAAACAATATCAGATGTCGAAAGGATTGCTGCAAAATAATCCTTGGGGCGAGGCAGAAGAACAAGAAATTGAACAGAACTTTGAATGCATTGATCTGCCACAGGAACTATCAGTATATGATTGGCCTAGACCAATTTGAATAAACTCTACTAGTAGGTATACTATTGTCTTTCTATATCTTTCTCAAGTGCGCAAGAGTCCCCGAACACCTGGCAGTAATAGACCTCTTCGGGTTCCTTTTCTTCGAAATTTGAAGAAAAATATATCTAGGCATACCGACCTGGACGGCTGGAACGTGGCTGGCCTTATACCTCGACCTGGAAAGTGAAAGCTAACATAACGCCGCCCGTCGTAACTGCTGATATAGTCACAGGCAGCCCAACTTGATCCGCGAAGCTAAAAGGCACCAAGTTTTGGTTTTGGGGCCGCAACATCTGCGGGTAAAAGTACCAGGTTGAGGTGACCCCCAGCCATAACATGGTCCAGGCCAGCCCAAGAATTCGTTGCGATCGCGGTAGTGGTGCATCGTTTTGTGTTTTGCTTTCCTTGTTTTGATGTAAAATGAGTCGCCACAGTGCTTTAAAGGCATCTTCGATCATGAGTCCCAGTGGGGCCAAAGCGAAGAACAACATGGCACCTGATTCTTGCGAGGGGATTCCTTGCACAATATCCAACACAACGTGCAATCCACCGGAGAGGAAGAAAACAATGCAGATATTCATATACCGCCGGAGTGTAGAATTTGGTGCTAAGCCTAGGACATCGCGAGTGATGAGGCGGCTGATAGACGTCAAGGGCTGTTGTAGGAGTTGATGCCAAAACTTTCTATATGAAATGTTATTATTTTAGTTGTGGCGTTGGATGCACTAGCAGAAACTTACGACCAGAATCCTCGTAAACTGTAAGTGTCTGTTGCCTTCCCAAATAGCGGAGGCCAATCGGAAGTCGAATCGAGACCGATCCCAACAGCTATGACCGAGAAAACACGGTGGTGGAAATCGATAAGGATGCGACTGACGACAAATCCGGCCATCAGATTTGAGACGATTCGCTCGATCAATTGCTCAATTGATATATTCCAGTGGACAGTGCTCGGCAGCGTTCCGAATTTTTCTTGTTCCATTGCCTGTCGCAAGGCAAGGGTTGAAAACATATCCAGTGCTAGATACTGCCAGGAAGCGATTGAAAATTGCCGTATTAAGAATCGCTTGCGTGTAGGCACAGCCATTTTTTTTTCGTTCGTAATACGTAGGCTGGGGCGGGGTGTTGTTAATTTGCCATGGAGTATTAATCCCCCGAGGATGTGTAAAAAATTGGCTCGAGCTATAAATGCGCTTCAAGACGCCTTGGCCGATATCAGGTATGTCATGACCATCCTTTGAGTTGATGAGCAGTAGGTTCAGACTCTGACATGCGACTGTAAGAAACAGACGTGCAAGTTCGCACCAAATGAATCCAGGACCTAGCAGGGATGCGATATGTATTGCTCTATGTAAAATGCAGAGCGAGACTGGAATTGAGAGATATCGTAGAAGTGATCGCTTTGCCGTTGCCAGGAGTAGAATCGTAGGTAGTAAGACATGGGCCGTGTAGAGAAGCAAGATTTCCAGAATATTTGCCCAAGTCGACGCAACTGGTTGATCCATGATCGCACCGGGCCACCTGTGACTGACAAGATACCGTTTGACAGCAGAACCTCTGGTATGAGACGGCAATCAGCCATGTAGACACGATGAGCCCACAAAGGATTTTAGTGCATTCTTGCTTCTCAGTCCCGTCGGCGTCGCGCGCCTGGCAGAAAGGAGATTTCATTGGCTGGCCCCTCCAAGCTGCAGATCTCAGGGGGGGACCCCTTTCTTGGCCTAGCGCATATGTATTCTCGCCAGTTGAACCCGACAGCTTGGAGGCAGAAATCTTATGGTCGCAAAAATTCCGTGGTTTCATTGGAAGTTCCTTACACACACCACCGGAGCCGGTAAGGATGATGAACTGTGACCTGTGACAATAGCTCAGAACCATGAAAACGGTGATCTATGCGAATGTCTACCTAGCAGAGTTCGAGGAGGGAGCGAGGCAGCAACGTTAACTAATGCGTTGGATGCCTGAGGCAGCGAAGCGTCAAGAATCTGTGATAGTCCGGTGACTCCATCATTTAATTATCAGGGCGAACATCCTAGTTCAAACTTCACGAAGTGGATAGATCGCGCTTAAAAAGCGGGTGGTTTAAAGCACAGCATTGAATACTTGTTTTTTTTTAGGGTTAGAACTTGAAAGGTGATGAAACCTTCGAAGATAAGAATAACCAAACAGAATCATATTACTAACTAATCCTCAATGTGCGCAGTAGGCGTCTATTTATAACATTCCATCCTTATATACTTCCAGAAGAATTCGGAAATGTCTCGATTGGATTGATTCATTACCTCCAAATCACTCATGAACCCGAGCAAATGCTTGCCTTATCGCATCACCCACTTGTTCCGCCTGGAAGAGGATTAATTAATACAAACTTAAGTAATAAGGACAAATAACTTACAAAAGGCGTTTTCATCATCGTGAAGTGGTTGCCTGACGTACGGAATATCTTAATATTCTGAAAGCCTAACAAGGCATCCCATAATTGCGGTCCGAAGTCTTCTTTGTTTTCCAGAAGGAATTGCGCGTGTCCGTAAGGGTAGGGGTCTGGCCGAGGATCGTCAGGATATTTGCAGACACCATCCTCACACCAAATGATATATGTGGAGGGTGCTTTTGCTGAGTCTATGGCGCGGAAATCGTAAGTTGACAAGGCGTTTATAGATGCTTGGAAATGAGGCAACAGCCATGGCGGTGTTTTCGCAGCACTCCCATCTCCGAGAAGACCTATAGTATTGAACCACTGGTGCAAGGTGCCCGGTAACGGCTCGATGGTTAAAGGACACGGGGCATCTAATAATATCAAGCGATCAACATTTTCTCCGGACTTAATAAGTTGCCGAGTGCCCTCGAAAGCTATAACACCGCCTGCGGACCATCCCTATGATAATTTATCAGTCAGCTAGCAATTTCAAATTTTCATATGTGCACACGGGTTCGTATGCGGGTGACAAACTAACCCCAATATTGTAAGGCCCTCTTTCCTGTCTTCTTCGTATTTCCTGAATGAAGTATTGGGCCATACCTGAGACTCCACACGTATATTCCTCCGGTGTCGTCATAAACGGCGAGTTCAGACCATAGACAGCAATGTTTGTAGACAAATCAGGTATTTGCGTATATGAAGTAGCTGAGCCACCGCCATCTGGGAACAGGAATAGCATTTTTGTAGCTGTCCTTGGACTTCGCTGCAAAAGGAAAGAAGTGGCATGCTTGTCCGGGGTCAGTGTGGGTGAGATCGATGGGTGAGAAACCTTTGCCAAAGATTGCGGGAGAGAAAGGTATTTCTTTTCGTCTTGGTGATCTAGATTATTGGTCTCCCAATTCTCTATATCTTCGGTAGAGAGGATAGTATCGTCTATGACACTGAAAATACTCGATGGATTGCGTTTGCAGTGAGAGGCTGTTGTCGATGATACCGACTCGTCTGCATATTTGGGAATTTTATCATCATTTAGCGACCGTATATAGGATTTGAAAGATCCAACTGTTGGATTATTGATAAATAGAGACGATGAAATTTCGAGCAAAAGCTCTTCCCTGATTCGCGAGCTTATAGCAAGTTGCATCAGGGAATCGACTTCAAGATCAGCAAAGCTGATGAGGTCCGCTAGTTCACCTTGATCAATGCCGCATTCTTCGGCTACTATAGTAAGAACTTGAGATAGCAGCGATGGCTCATCAATATTTCTCTGACCTATTCCCAGTCCGGAAATAGCGACCGGGTCAGCTTTTTGTCGTTCATTAGCCCGCTCCTCGGGCATACTGGAGGATAGAGATGTCACAGACTGAGAACGTGGGAGTATTTGATCAAGTACGGCTCTTGGTATGCGCATGAAGGTAATTTTCCTAAAGACAGCGATGACGGAAGACCCCTCAAAGCAGTATAGGTCGCCAGTGACTAGATTCCCTCCCGGATTTTCCATCATTCGAACATATGTTCGGTAGGTCTTTCCAGGACGAGAGTCTTGGTGAATAGGAGAGACTCCCAGCCATGAGAAACGTATACGCTTTTTGGATTATGATCACTTAAATGAGCATTCAAAACAAATCCTGACAAGTGTCCGATGCTGTCGATCCAATAGGGGGGAACGGTGAAAGTTTGATCGGCATTTGGGACCTCAAGCACAACGTCTGCAGTCGCTTCCCACTGCAAGGGGTCAAAATACACCTTTTTCATGCCTTGGAAAGTCTTGTCATAATTAACAAAGGATGAGAAGAGCTTATAGGCAACTGCTTGTCGTAGAATGTGTACTTCGTGCCCAGGGATTTGCTCACGAAGCGCTTGCATTCGAGATTCGACCAGAAAGCTCGTTCGCTTCCAGTCATCCACGAATTCCGACTCTTTGCAGAATTCAACCACAAAAGATGCATGCTGACCTTCCTGTGAGCTAATCTCGATTTGAATAGTCCGCCTTGAGCTGTTGGCCTTTGCGTTAATGTTGATGATATGTGGTGTAAGGCCCCGCAATATCAGTGTTTTTTGAACAGCCATGTCTCGCACATTCATAACAGGAGTCGAGTCGGTCGTTAGATCTGGATTCATCCTACTGTGCATATAAGCTCCCAGGGTGATTCCAATGTCCCCATAAAGCGAAGAAGGACATAGTGCGACATCGTTCACCACATGCCCTTTCAGCAAGTGGCGAATAGCCGACAGTGATAAATCGGTTTCTGCGTTAACGATATTGTCGTCACCACCAAATTTCTCTTTCACCATACGGTGAACTGACGTAGTAGGAATAAATTCCGGCACTTTCGAGTGCTGGAGAGGTACCGCCTTAGTTCCCTTATTCAAACACCAGTCATTCTGATAATCGATCCAGTAATTTGACTGTACCCAACCGTAAGATGGGAGTTCAAGTAGCTCCAATTAATCTTCAAATTCCCGATGATATTCCCCCCAATCAACCTTTGCCCCTCGGTTGCTAAGCTCGCTTGCCGCAAAAGCCAAATTAACCCATGGCCTTTTTTTTGATGCAGAGAAGCACAGGTAGTGACTGAGGCACCGAGAGAGGATTTCACGAACGAATTGCAAACTGGACTAGGTCTGATTTCCAAGAAAACAGAGTCACTGGTAATGATACCGTTGGACTTAGCATCGCAGAGCGCCCCGTAGAAATTTACTGTTTGACGGGCATGTCGACATAGATATTCTGGGTCAATTGAAGAGTCCCCAAGGAGCCTTCCAAGCGTCGGAGATAAAATTTCACATTTTGGTTTTCGGAAAGTGACTTTCGAGCATATTTACCTAAAGGGTGCCAGTATCGCATCGACTTGTGAACTGTGGAATGCGTAGGGCACAGTTAAGGATGTCGCTCTATAGCAGAGACTTTCAAATCGGTGTTTCAACGTTTCAACCTCAGTAGTTGGGGCACTCAAAACAAACTCCTTGGCGCTGTTTATACATGCAAGATCAGATTGATGTAAATTCATTTGATCTGGAGACGAATATTCCCCTTGAATGGCAAGCATGGCGTGGGTTCCAATCGTACAGTTTATCTCCATTAATTTGGCTCGGGATCCCACAAGATAGATCGCATCGGCGGCTGATATAACGCCAGAAGCAAAAAGCGCAGCATATTCACCGAGGCTGTGACCAATCACAACGTCTGGTACGATTCCAAGTGAGCTCCAAAGGCGGATCAGGGCCATTTGAATCGAAAGCTGTGCCACTTGAAGAAGCACCGGAGAATGCTCTGTGACTGGTCGGTCATCGCTTCCATTAACAAAGTTCTGAATACTCGGGAACCCATAGGTGATACAAATCGAGTTGAACTCGATCAAGCTAGCCCTGTACACCTTGTTTGTTCGGAAAAGGTCCGATCCCACAAAAGGGTACATCTTGCCTTGTCCGGTAATGGTCAGTACAACTATGGGCGCCTGCGGGACTGGCAGAATATCTGACGATATTGCCCGCATCAGGACACTTTTGACCTGATCGATATTCAATGCTGCAACGGAAAATCGGTAGTTGTGAACCATTCTCCGTGATGTCGTTGTGTATGACAGATTTGGAAGAGACACGTTTGGGTGTGTAATCAAATAATCGAGTAGGTTTTTTAGGTTGGTCTTGAGGGAAGATAAAGCACGAGCCGATATCGCGACGACTTGGGTGGTTCGAGGGTCAATGCCTCTAAGAGACCTGGCCTTTCCATCTGTGATGACCATGGCAGTGTTACCACCTGCAGCACTGAAATTATTCACAAATACTTTTCGACCTTTTGACGACGTGCACTTCCAGGGGATTGGCTCCTTGGCAATATGAATATTTCTCTCAGCAAGGTCAGGGAACCCTTTATTCAATCCTTTTTTGATGCCAGAATGAGGTGGGATTGAATTGTGACACATCATCAGAAGAGTCTTGATCAATGCAGTGACTCCTGATGATGCTTCCCCATGACCGACATTTGCTTTAACAGATCCAATGTAGAGCTTCTGCTCCTTAGACCGAGAACCTGGGGGCGCAAAAACACCAGTTACAGATGAAATCTCTGTATTGTCGCCTGCTTGCGTACCGGTTCCGTGCATTTCGACATAGGATATATCTTGCGATTTTACGCCGGCCTGTGACAGAACCCGACGATAAAGATTCTCTTGCGTAGCCCCATGAGGATGTGTGATTGAAATAGCATCAGATGAATGATTTGTTGCGACAGATCGAATGATTCCTAAAATATTATCGTGATCGGCCTCAGCGTCTGCGAGTCTTTTTAATATTATGGTTGCGACTGCATCTCCACGGCAATATCCGTCTGCATCATTGTCGAAAGTTTGGCACGACCCAGTCTTTGATAAAAATTGACCCTTACTTAGACCAGAAAAGATATCAGGATTTGTCATAACATTTAGACCTCCTGTAATGGCCGTATCACAATCATGCAGCCAGAGTGCATTGCATGCCGCATGAATAGCGGCCATGCTCGATGAACACGCGGTGTCAACGCTGAAGCTTGGACCGCTGAAGCCAAAGTGGTAGTTGATGCGACCCTGTTCAATCAAATAGAAGCTAAATTAGCAAAGCCGACAAATAAATGGAATGATATCGAGGGAAGAAAGACACATACCGGACCGAACGCCCTAACCCCGCCTGTAATAAAATAGGTATCAATTTCTTGAGCCGCGTTTATCTCACGCCAGTCGTCACTTGTCTGTCCATAAAATGTGCCAATGCGATCTATCTTGGTAGAAGGTGTACGGTTAGGGACTAAACCGGCCATTTCAAGTGCCTCGTATGCAGTGATCAGAGCAAGACGTTGCATTGGATCGGTTTGTGTGGCCTCTCGAGGAGACATATTAAAGAATCGCGGATCAAATAAGCCAGGTCTGTCTATGAAGCATCCGAATGGTGTATGGCTCTTGTTATGGCCTTTCCCGGATGAATCGCAATGTGTCTCGACGTCGAAACGGTCTAATGGAACCTATAAATTTTGATCCGTTAGCTTGTGTTTGATGCTATTCGTAATTTCCTTCTAGTTGAACTGACTTCACGGTGCATATCTAACCCCTGTTGTATCACTTCCCAAAATTGGTCTAAATTTTCAGCGCCGGGAAACCTGCCTGACATTCCGACAATAGCAATGTAGTCTTTGTCCCGTATGTTTGCAGTGGCAGAATTTGTCCAGTCATGTTGATTCCAACAGATCCTGCGTAGTCTCGGGTGAGATGATCCTGCAGAGCTAGAACAATGGGCGCTTGGCTGTCAAATGAGCCAAATGATAGCACCCGGCATTTTTGCGCGCCTGAGGGCAGGATATTTCGATGGCATGCAAGCAAAGAGACGAAGTCTTGGCATGTTCTCAATATATCGATAATCACCATAGAATAGAGCTCCCGTATCGAGTCAGCGTGATATGTATTCCCCCCTTGTATGGAAAGAACCCTGTCCTGCGGCCTTTGCTTGATCGAAGCGTGGCCTGTAATAAATTCCGAATCAATAAAGTCGCCGATATTGATCGATTGATGAAGATGGAAGGCGTGGTATGGCCCAAAGGAGTGCCCTGAGACTTGATGAAAAATGACTTTGGCGTTTAAGCTGGTTTTAAGCAAGCTCAAAGTTCTCGGAGGGCCTGATATTGTGACAAAGCTAGGCCATATAGCACTAATAAAGGGATATTGAGTTTTCGGCAACGCCTTTGAGAAAGAACCCATTAGAAATTGCTCCGCTGAACTATCAATTAAGGTATCCTTACCAAACCGGCGACAAAATCCCCAAGCAAGATCTCAGCTTCCCCCTTTTGTAGTCCAGTAACATCCAAGGACCAACTTTCCACCGTTAGATCACTGTCCTCGACGAACAAGCAGTTCGCCCAACCTTTTACGTAAAAAGCGAGCCTCAGAGTAATCTTGACTGCATGAACAGCAATTTCTATACTAGCAGCGCCATGTGGGATTATTGCCGCGGTCGTACCGACAATTAGCCCATAAGATTCTGAAATAATACTCCTGGGACGGAAATTATAGTTGGAATCTGTCTCTTGAAACCTGGATAAACATAATGTTAGAGAAATACACCAGAAGCAAGGACAGGTGTTCATACGCAATATACTCAGCTAATTGTAAAATTGAAGCAAAAGTTGTTTCTATGATCGGATTTGCGGTCTGTTGTAATGTGTATTGATTGACAAATTCTTGTAAATTCGAAAAAGTAGGAAAATCGGATTTTGTCGCCCAGGGTAGGTCTGGGATTGCTTGCCGTAGCATAGAGCTAACGGATAGCAGAAACTCTGATACCAAGGGATGGTTAGATCGCGAAAATATTAGATTCTGCAGTCGAGCGGCGAGGTTTCTATCTCGAATGTTTCCAAAAACCAGAACATCCATTGTGTTGGAGATAAAAATACTTTCAGAAGATAATCAGGAAATGGTTATGACGGGCTTGAAAGGAAAATCGAAGGCTCAGCGTTGGATATTTATGCCAACCACATCTCGCTGGTCGACGAGGCTCTCTTAGAAATAATATTCTACAACTTAAGAATCGCAATTCGTTGCATGATCAGGATCCACATAGTCATATATGTTTTGGGGTCCTTATATCAGCATTAGACTATGAGATGCTTGGCTTTCAAAATTTGGTGGGAACCTTGGGGTTACACAACATCTGGTGTTTCACAGACAACGCTAGATTCTCAGGTCAGCATGACCATCATCGTTAGTACCTTACAGAGTCACTTGGGGCAAATAACAAGAGAAGACATCCAGTAGAAATCGATGACAGAGATATCTAAATCTACCACATTCAAGCCATCTTGTCTCTTCATTTCTTGTGGATTTATTGTCCCTTAAAATTAATACGGATGCCAAGATTACCTAGGTAATTAAGTCCTGGAGCCCTGGAAATTTAGGTACGACTCGGGATATCCATGGATGAAGATTATCATAATAGTGTTGTCTTCTATTTGAGCCAATATCTGTTCAAAGTGACTGAGCGACCAGGCGATATTAGCTTAACTGACAGATAAACAGTAATATAACATAACCAGCCTGCCTGGCTTGGAGTAATTCTCTCTAGAATCTTGGAAATACCTAGTAGTCTTCAATTATAGCTCATAACAAGCCACGAGGCGGGGTTGTGACGTTCAGAGTCATACGACATGGCCGACAAGATCATCCGAAGAGAAAATAAAGTAGATATATTACGAGGCTTTCTTGTAAGGATAGGGATAAAGTTACTTGTAGAGAGACTACATCAAAGGCTTTGGCTGATCACTAAGAGGGCCTGAGTGAGGAATCTGCCAAATACGCCACGGTCAGAAAGTCCACCTATACTAGATACGACGGTCACCCTACAAGCGGCGGGATGAAAATAGCACCACGACATGCCAATTATGGTATAGTACCATGCAACGGCCGTCAGCAGCGAACTTCAAGTTGATGCAGGGTCGAGATTCATGCTGGTCGAGCCACATTTTCTGTGAAACGGGAGAGTAAAAGTTGGCCTGTAGATGACTAGATGGGAATTTTGGCTTGGATCTGCAAATACCGCGTAGAGATCACCCGGATACTTTACAGCGATAATAGTCGCATTTTCCAGTTTCTGAAACATGTCAGCTGTCAAGAATAACCTACTGTTGTAGTTTTTGCATTCTAGCAATAGGTGATTCTCCCTGGATTTCGCAGAATCCTATTTTGCACTCAAATTCTGACATTACCTAGGTACGTATCGAGTTGAAGTAAGCATGGAGTTAAGTTGGCCAAGGGCTCATAATAGATGAAGATAAATGATATCAAACGGTGCCGGAGATTCTGTATTTCTCTATTGCTGTTTGGACTCTCCACCAACTATGTATGAGAATCCTACAGCAAATCTTTCCAACTTCGGATCATGATTCCTATATTTATTCCGGAATTATGCTGGCTAATGAGTAACTAGTGGCCCAAAATGATCAAATAATGTTTTTGAGAATACAAAAGTGGTCTGATTAAATATCCTTTTTATATAACCTTCTTAAAATATGCCCGCTCTTCCTTTGAGTTCCGAAGCCACCAGAGACCTATAGTAACTCCCTCGGCTTCATCAAAATTGAACTCGAGCAATGTCTGCTCAAACTTGTTCACCGAAATTCCTCTACTCATCCATCTGTCAAAATCCGGGATAAAATAGCTGTATATATCTCGAGTGAAGAACATCAAACTCGTCATTGATGCCCGTCGCCTATTAAATATGACGCAAAGGTCCCCAGAGTCCTCCATCAAAACATCCAAATTAAAAAGACCATCAAATCCCCGATATTCACCTACGTAAGATTCTGGGCTTCGCATTGAAGCATCTGGGGCTCTACCTTGTTTCCAAGGCTCCAGCATTGTCTCTTCAAAGTAGCCTTGCGCCAGCTTCGTCTCATGCCTGACCCATGGTATTAAATTAACCTTTGGTTTGAGATCAAACAACTCTTGGATCAAAATCTGTGCCACAAAGTCACTTGCATCTCCAAGGCCCCTACCATTAGTCAAGACCACAACATCACTCTCTGTTTCTGGAAACGTCCATATCGTTGCTAAAGATCCTGGCATTCCACCTGTATGACCAATTACTAGTAATGGGTCAGAAGACCTGCCCAGTACAAATTCAGGTCTTAGGTGATTCTTGGAACCTTTCTCGCGAGAAAGAACATTTCCGCTGAAGGCGCCGAGCATCGAGGAAGGAAGATCTAGTCTAACCCATCCCATGCAATAAGCCGCACTCTTGCTTGTCGAAGGGTCATCATCAGGTCGAGCCCAATATCCGCGACGAATGCGACTAATTTGCTTCAAGGGGTTGTTTGGGATGGGGAATCGCGTCTGCGGTGTTCCGTGGATATGGCATAGCTCTTCCCGCTCGGCCGAAAGGACCGCTTTGCACCACTTCAACATGTCCTTGATGCTGCTTCGAATTCCAGCTGCAGCTAGCAGCGGCGAGACATGCTCACATGGCCAATCCTCAAAGTCAAGTTTGACAAATTGACCGTTCTTGAGGGTCACACATGGAGTAGCGACGTTTGCATCAGCCCCAATTTCCGCTCTTGTCAGAATAGTCCGAGTCATTTCTAGAGGTTGCAGTATGCAATCCTTAATGAATTCATCAAATCTCTGACAGTCTATTTGCTCTATGACTTGAGCTACAATGCCATAGGCGACATTATTGTAAGCCCACTCACGATTGAATCGTTGTCCTTTTTCATCGGATGTCGACATCAAATTCAAGAGCGGGAGCAAATCAACCTCGTCGATTAAGATAGACCCGTTAGGCCCAAGACAAAGACGGCCTGCCTCACCAAGGCCGCTTGAGTGACGGAGAAGGTCGATAAAATCCGCACTCTCCCCAATTTGGGGATCTTTTGTTGGTCAAAAATTTGGAAGAAACTTCCGAATGGTATCTTCCCAATGCACCTTCTGAGAACCAACAAGAATTCCCATTGCAGCAGATGTGAACATTTTTGAGCAGGACCCGAGCATGTATATGGTGTCAGGGTCGGCCTTTTCAATCATTTGTGGATCTCGATACCCGGTAGAGTGGCAAAACATCTCTCCGTTATGAATAACACCGAGGGAAATTGATGGGACTTGACACAACTCTTTAACTAGTTCAACTTGCGGCAGGATTTCCCTTAGGCGCTTTTTAAATCCACCAGTAGGCTTGGATTCGCTCGTCATTTTTCTGTTGTCTGTTTGCAAATAGGAGAAAATGTAGCGTGAAAGTAAGATGGCTTGGTCCAACTTGAACATTTTCTGACTCAAAGATCTACACCTAGTCAGGGTTATATAGTATTCGTCACAGTCTTAGTTGTCTCTGAAGCCCTGGATGTGAGACAATTCTAGCATCCCGAGGGGTCCGTGTCTTACAACTGCAGGATTCATGTGCACGATTCAGACGGCCTGCTTTGTAATCCTTCAGTCGTCTATTCGACATAATTGAATAAAACTAAGAACTACGCTAACGTCGTGAAGTTCAAATACCATTGTGATTCGTTGATATGCTTCATACTAGTATTCTTCTACATTTTCCAGAGAATTTCAATAATAGATAAATCTTTGCCTCTGCATTTGCATTTGTAGTATAGGGAAAACCTTACGAGTGGTGTCGATAGCTCGAAAGGAAACAAAAACCTGTACCGAGGCAACTCAAGCTCGCTATCCTACTTGGGGAGAGGGATTCCTGCTCCACTTTCGCTGCCAGCGGAGCCCCAGAAAATCAACGGGATGCGCTCATCCTTCGGCTGGGCCTCACCACCTCCGGGTGTGCTGCTACCGGATCCCCAGAAAATCATAGGAATACGCTCATCTTTTGGCCGAGCCTCACCGCCACCCGACACACCACCTCCAGAACCCCACAAAAAGACCAACGTGGCAAAATTTAGACTCTATATATGTTTCAGTAGGTATGTTAGCATTATTTAACCGAAAGGAGAAAGACAAACCTGCTTCGCGAATAGTGTGGTTTTAGGTAAAGGGTGGTAGAAGCTAACTTGAAGCTTCGATGGGAATGGCTTGTATAGAAATACAAATGAGAATGAATTAGAGAAACTTCCGGAATTTATATCTTCGCCAACGTCCTATTGTAGTAAATTAACATCGAGTCAAGCATTGACCCCGGTTGGCTGGAAGAGAGATGATCTTTCTGTGTAACGAGTTAAGTTTCTACTTGTAGAAAAACCCGAGCGTCTCTAGGTTGAATTTCAGGGAGTCAAGTGTGAGACTCAGGCCTGGTGGCAATAAATTTATACAGAGCCAAAGAATGCGTTAAAGGATTATCCATGAAGCATAAAATCCCTAGTCAGATCTGTCCTACCAGTAAGTGCCCGGCACTAGAGTAGGATAATTTTGCCTAGCCGTATTCTAGTTGGGCTTTTCGAGCCCGAAATGAAACTATGAATTTATTTGCTCAGGTATTCAAGTTTTCGATGATCTACAAAGCATAGTCCTGTGAAGTACGTAAGTGTGTAAGCCATCTACATATGTAATCGGAGGGCTGTTTTGTCCAGGTGATTTAACAGACTCTCTTTGTGAAGCTAACCTTGGAGTCCGACGACTGAGCGACACTGTTACTTGTCAGCGTGCATATCTTGATATAAAACCTGGAACTATCCTTGGTAAATCAGTATTTGAACTGAAACATAAAATGGTCCCTTGTAATTCCAAAGTTCTACTACGAGGGTCTGAGGCAATATCCAATCAGCTTATTACGGAAACATGCGTATTCAACTACATTTTATTCTAGTCGGAATAGCTAAGATGATATGTTCAATTCTGAAGTCTTTCAATCTCAAGGATAGATACCATCCTCACTGGCATGATCTACCATATCAAATCATACTAATGCTGCCCTCCCTGTGTAACATCGGTCTCGTTCGGATTTGCATGTCACGGAAAAGATTGATACAATGCACAACGAATCTTAGCTAGCTGAGCAATACCAATGTGGATGATATTCTACGCACTTGAACTAGCTTCGTTCAAGAACCAAACCTTTGATAAACTAGTAAATCTATTAAGAATAATATTTAATCCCATAGCCCTAAGGATATGAATGAAAAACTCTACATTGCAAGAAATCCCGGAAATTTATTACTCAAAGAAACATTATTTAGCCTATTGGAAGCCTAGCTCTTGAACCTTGGAAGGTTACCTACCTAGGTACCGGATTTCCCATGCAAGGTCTTGGATTTCCCTTTCCGTTTTAGGGCTCAGTGAGCGCCGCTTTTGCTCACTGAGTAGATCCGGGCACGTCAGAGCACGTCACTGAGCGCGCTGAGCGGATCAGTGATCATCATATAATCTCTCTGAGCGGCTCTCTGATCACTCTGATCTGCTCAGTGAGTCTGATTTGAGCGTTCTGATTTGCTCTCTGAGGATACTTACATAAGAGCCGAGTGAGCGAAGCGGACCCAGCAGGAACGGGAATTCAAAGCAAAGAAGAAAAAAAAATACAAGAGCAAAGCAAAAACGAAACATACAACAGCAGGGATTCGCATGTGGTCACCCACCATACTACTAACCTGCCGGCGTGTGGCTTAAGTACGGCTGAGCGGACGGGAAGCCCTGTTCTCCACACCCTATGGTCGTATGTACTAGACGTCCCCGGATAGGGAATATACGCTCATTATGAATGCATTTGAGTATCATGAAAATACTGTACCTTTTTAGCTTCGCACGATCGGGTTTGAGAAGGGAAAGTGTACAATGAGCAAGGAAATACCGGGTGATCGGGTGAGAAAGGGTGATTCTCACCCTTTCTTGCGGCTGCTGTACCGATCCTCTCATGACCACAGTAGAACCTGATTGAATCACCCTGGTGCACGGGTATAGTAACAACATTGGTCATTATTCACAGAGACCTATAAGACAAAAGGCCTACTACTAATTATTCTATTTTACGATTAGTTACTCGGCGACTTCTTCCGAGCCATTGTGGACAAAGGGTTTTCGACGATTTTGGCGGTAGCTGAAGCAAGCTACAGTCCATGGGGGATCCTTGCCTCGGGGTTTCAGAAGAGGCCCCATGAGTCTCCGTTTCTTGGACCCAGCATGTACTAATGCAGAATTAGCTTGCTTAGCGTTCTACCGGAGCCGAGGAAGAGTCTCAACCAATCGATAATTGGAACTAATATCAAGGGTCCTTCAAAAAGTACCTGAACGGCCCGACCCATGTCGACACTAGGTCCCTAGTCTCGGACGTCTATAGCTAATTTCCCCTATTCTTCTTGTCTATGTCTTGGTCGGAAAAGATATCATGCAAAGCCTACCCTCGAGTTGATCTCTCGAGGCCGAAGACTGCTACCTGGCATTCTGGGTAAAGTAACCACCCTTAGTATGTTCAAATCGACCTTGCTCCTTGCGTTCGCCTTGAATGTTTTTCAAAGCAATGGTAAGTCCACTTTCTAAGGCGATCTCCTTCAGTCGGTCCTAACTTTGGCCTTTTTACCAGCTTTCCAAATCACTTATCCAAATGAAGGCGACCTTGTGAACGTTTACAATGGCCTTATTACGACTTGGTCTTACAACTCTTCCGATTCGATATCACACCCTCTCATGATTCAATTTGTCCCAGTCTCTCACATGGAGGAAGCTCCAAGTTACGTCCAGAAGGATCTCAATATCACTCTGGGTTCATGGACGATAGAAACCCAATTTCCGGTGGCCGATGATTATTACCTTCGGTTTATCTACGCCAATAAAGATTGGTCTAGCGGGAGATTTAAGATTACCATGTCTGAGAGTCCAAAAAATGCCAGCGATACGTCGAGTTCTGCTAGTTCTGACCGTCCATCGACTTCGGACCGCAGTAGCATGACCCTATTGGTAACAGAGTCCACCAGTACAGGAACCGGAACTAGCTCACTAGTGCCAGTGACAACTCGCGCATTGGGCCCCGTGCCAACTGTAACTGCAGCTACAACTCAGGTTTCAAGCAGCAGTGAGAACTCCGACAAAGGCCTCAGCACTGGCGCGAAAGCGGGGATTGGAATAGGTTGTGCTGCCGCCGCGATTATCGGGATAGTGGGCTTGTGGCTCCTTTATCGAATCAAGAAAAAGAGAAATATTTCTCCGGACCCCCAAATTTTACCAGATCCTGGTTCGACGAAGCTGGGTGAAAGCAGTACCTCTGGAGGAATATTTGAAGCGGATGGAAAACACGAGGCGGCCAATATGGCTGAGCTTCCGTCGGATACCTATACACGAGGTGAACTGCCGGGGTGATAGCGCGGTAATGAAGAAGGCAAGAAACACCTTTAGCGTGTTACAGTACACGATAACTTTATAATACTGTATTTTCTATAACTGTATATAAGAAGAACAATACTCTCTCTGTGAAGGGCTGTAGCGACAACTGTTCAATTGGGGCTAGGCCTGCAAGCTGTTAACAACAATCTTAGAAACTGGAAAAAAACCTCAAGAAAGATAGAGTTCAGTAGGCCATCAAAAAAGTATTTCACTTATACACCATTATGGGGCCAAGTGCCAGTTTTGGCACAGGCAGGGTATAGGCTGGGTGCTCAATAGAGGCCTCTGATCAGTATCTGAGTAATCACTGAGCAATCACTGAGCAGTCATTGATCACTCAGAGATGCTCAGAGCCTTAATAATATGCCACGTGAGCTGCTCTGAGCTGCTCAGCGAGTCTGAGCCCGGACTGAAATCTACTCAGTGAGGCTGATTCTGAGCGCCCTTATTAAAGCGGCGGCACCTAGAAAAAGGAAGCCCCACCTGGCATGGGAAATATGTTATGTATAGCTACCTGGGTACTAGACCTTCGAATTTGGAAATATTTCCGCAGCGGGGATATCTGTATTGCGTAGCATTGATGTCTATTCTATGGATGTGTAGTGGTTATCTAGTACTAGTAGATAAAAGAGAACATTCAAGTTAGGAAGCCATGGGGTGTCAGTGCAGAAAGGATGCATAAATTAAATGATATAGATCCACATCATATTGGTAATATTTATTGAATTCTCAAGGCTGTCCATAAGAGCATAGTGCTGTTCGACGTTCATCGGCCTAGAGCAGATTTTAAGTCGAATAGCTGGGCTGTATACAGTCAGAGATAATGAACAAAATAGCACCTCTCTTAGTAGCTATATCATTGCTTCCATTTGCCCGAGACAAGTGCGCCTCCGAGGTTGCCCGCAAATGAGCAACCGCATTGAAATTGTCCAATAACAGATCACATTCTCGTACCGGCTTTTCTCATCCCCATTTCTGAGCCTCGATATAGGATCTTAGTGCTTGGACTAGAAGCTTTCTGAGCTTCATGCATAAAATATGGGCCCTTTAATTAGTGACTATATAGTGCATACATGAAGAATAGAAACGGCGAATAAATACTTGTTAGCAAGAAATCATCATAGGAGAACGATCAACCTCAGTGTGATGCAATTTCAACTCTAGACAAATAACAAAGCCTCCACAAAACATAGAAAGTATTTCTCGGGCAACCCGGAGAGGATTCATTTTTCGTATAATGCGCCTCAGTAATTATTGGGGACTTCAGACCAGCCTCCAGTTGCTGGGCTTGACTGGGCTTGGTCGGACTGAAAGCCACCACTAGGTTGACTAGCTGGCCGAGGAATAGAGCTCCGTTGCTCAGACTACCCACCACATCCAGGCTGGTGAACTGGGTAATCCAAAGGCTGCCGCATAGTCCAATTTCAGCTGCCAGAAATGGGGGTTTGGTTACTGTTTCTGTTGTTTCTGGGATTCTTGTCAGTCCTAACCTGGGCCTCAATTGGTTGCATAGCAAACCGCAGACTATTAGCGTCATCGCTTCCTTCATGGTTTGTTTGGTCACAGTTAACTCCCGGTGAGTGAGTTAGCAGCCATTCCCATAATATTCAGTGGGAAAGTATTCAAACTCCATGAACTGACCGCTAACGGGTGATTGCAACCTTGGAAGCGTGGGGCCGGGGCTTCCCCAGGGCGTGAGACCCGTACGAAAATCTCTTTAGCTACGACTTTATTTTGAGGCTCGTACTGCTAGTAGTACAATTAGGCATGTTGTAACATAATACGAAATATACCTGCAGAGCATTAAACCGTGAATTCAAGCTTGGAAGTTCCAAGGTTCCAAGGTTGTGACTTCTAGGTATTCAATGCAACCCGAGGCAATGTCTTCGATGAATTTTTTAAAAAAGCCAAATCATATGAAATGTTCATAAATCGTCATTTGAGAAGTATATTAATGGTTATGGAAAGGGCCTACGACTGAAAAAACAGCAACTAGATCCCGAGGTCATTTCACACTGTGTGCCTAGAAAGTGGTGTGGCTGCCTGGTGGATTTGACCAATGGGCGTAAATGGGCGCTTGGCTGGGAATGGCCCAACTGAAAGACATTCGTGAACATACTACTTAACTCAACAGCATACCCGACAGTCCAGAGTAGGCATACAATGTAATAAGGTATTTTCCGCTATCACATATGACCATGAGCAACGATATCGAGGAACAAACAGACAGACTTTGTCGAGCGATCGCATCGAGCGATCTGCGTGCCGTTCAAGAATGTCTCGACCAGGAGAAGACAGACGTCAATCATCGCCACTGCACCAAGCGAACACCGCTGCAAATAGCCTGTGTGGCTTCTTCTCCAGGAACAGTCCAGTTGCTGGTCAACCATGGGGCTAGAATCACGGCGCGAACTCAGGATGGCAACACCGCGTTGCATTTGGCAGCCGCGCGGGGCAACACTGACATTATTCGTATTATTCTCGTCAAAAGCGATCAGAATAAAGAAATCGCGCAACAAAATGGGCTGTGGATATCGGATTCACCAACGCCCGTTCAATTTGGCGTTGAAAATGACGGTTACAACAACCAAGAGGCGAGCGATTCGGTTCCCCTGGTCAATGTCAAGGTCGATGATGAGAAAGATCTAGCGCCGAATGGAAACTATCTTGATCATCAGCATAATTCAGGCCTTGATGTCGTGGATCCTGATGATGTGTCTTGGGAGACCTTCATGTCACCTTTGCATGTTGCTATTTTGCACGGGCATGTGGATGTCGTAAAAAGACTGGCGTCATTTGGTGCAGACGTGAGGATGCCTATAAAGCAGTACGAGCGGGTTAGCCTCTTTGGTGCGTCCCCATCAACACGGAAGCCGCAGGGTGCTGTTCTGTGTCTGGGATTGGCGTTTTTTCTCGACCAACCCCTGGCACATAAAATGGCAAGAACATTGCTTCAACTAGGCGCATCCCCAGCCCTACCAGATTTGTACCGCACAACGCCGCTGCACTATGTTGCCGCCATGAAAGATACCATCCCCTTGGAAGTATCTCTCGAGACCAGTCGAGAGGACACGATTCGAGCCATGTCTCAATTGTCGCTTACTGGTAAATCTATGGGTGTCATAGGTGGATCTACCACTTACTCGGCACTGACAACGGCCATTTTCGCAGGGAACCCAGATAGTGCTTTGGAATTTCTGAATGCGGGTGCAAATCCTATGATTGAGCCTGTTGCTGTGGCTTCCACTCTCAATTCAGCATTTCCAGGTCGTCGGGCGATGTTTTCGACCCCGAAACTACATTACGAGAACGCAAAAGATTTCCAATTGACTCCCCAGCCACTTACGGCCGCAATTAAAAAGGAGTATCCTATCCTGGCACTTCACGTTCTGGATCAGGGAGCTGATCCGGATACTCATAAGCACTGGTCGCATGGCGGAGGCCTTTCTGTTCTTGACATCACTCGACAGAAGATATGGGATATGCGCGAATTTCTCTCACACTCTTGTACCCCAGAAAAGGACCCCCGACCCCCAACGCTATTTCCCGATCATGATGCGGACTTTTTGGATGGACTTAAAAGTGGATCATATCGATTTTGGGCTACTGATTTGACGCTGAGCAGAGCAAGACAGCATTTTAACGGGCTGTATGCCAACTACGAGGCCAAAGCGAACGAAAATGTCAATGTTGAAGGGAAAGATGAAAAGCGCCGTATTATTGAAGATCGACTCATTGAATTTGAGCTCTTGGAGCAAGAGCTGCTAAGTCGCAAAGCAAAATTATTCTGCGAGTTGCATCCCGAGGATCAGGATTTTCGGAACAAGAAAAAGCCTGCTAAATCGGAGCAAAGAAGGAGCTATGAGCCAATTTTGTTCTATAATTTTGATAGGAAGACTGGGGACCAATACATATCTTTGTAAGTACCGTATATGACAGGATCGGAAACACAATGGGGAATTTTGCTAACTAAACCCAGATTCGAAGCAGCCTGGACAGGTGACATAAATATCATCAAAGATTTGGCGCTCAATTGGCAAAATGGATCTGAGCAAGAGCCTCCTTTGAGCCTAGGTGAAAGGGACTGCCTTGGGTTTACCCCCCTTGAGTTAGCCATCCTGCGTGGTCATTGGGACATCACGAACGAAATAATTGATATTCTCCACGCCCAACACAAGCCCTTCAAGCGGCATTCACGGCATTGTGGATACAACTCGGAGGATGAGGATATGCAAGAACCACCGGAGACGGATGATGACAATGCCTCATCTAGTGGTAGCGATTGCGACGACGACTCTGACTCGGAGGGGAGAAGCGCCAAGAGACAAAAAATGGATGCAGTGAAATATGTCAAGCTACGTGCTTCCCCACTTTCAATTGCTCTATTGCAGCCATGTCCCGCATATTTATTTACCGAGAAGTCTAAGGAAATGGACAAATTCCGCGCTTGGAAACGGTGGGACGACACAGAAGTTATTTTAACTGACAATTCTCACCCCGAACAGAAAATGAATCTCATTGATCATGCAGTTATGACAAATGATATCGAACTTTTACGATCTCTTCTGAGCATGGCACGGAATATCACAGATAGAGATCACCGTCACCGCAAACTGGACTCGGTTCTGAATCCATCATTTCTCTTGGCCCTGAAGTTGGGTCGAATCGAGTGCCTTTCAATGATTGTTGAGAAGAGTGGGGCTGGACTCTTCGCGCAAGGAGACTCAGAAGAAGAGGATCCGCTTCATGGTATGCTACTATGAGGCCTATGAATAGCTATTGATCATTAAACCTAAAGGCGTTGCAGCTCCACGGACGAATCATAACAAGTCGGCCCTCCTAGTAGCTGCTATGGAGGGAAACCTCGAAGCTACTCGATGGATGATGGGCCCCGATGCAATCGAGCAGTACGTGAAGTACATCAAGGCCCACGGAGACGACCCTCGAGTGTCTGAATTCGTGAAGTCGGGGGATGAGATTGAAAAATGCGTAATGAAGTGGCTACATGGCACCGGTAAGCTGACTCGCGACATTCACTGTTCTCTCCAAAGAGTGCTAAGTATATGGAGATAACTTGGTCCTTCACTGGGCAATCAAGTCCAAACCATGCGCGGAATCGGAGCTCCTCATTCGATACTTGATCAAGCGGTATCCTGAATATATGGAAACACGGACTCAGGAACTCTATACGCCCTTGTGTCTTGCCTTTGCCTTTGGCCAAATTCGATTCGCCCGTATCCTTCTCGATGCCGGAGCAGATCTAACAGTCAAAGATAGAATTGGAAGGAATTTGCTGCATCTACTCCTCGTTCGCCCCTACATGGATAAAAACGATACCGATCAAGTTATTTGCAAAAGTTCGGCTCTGCTTCTCGGAATGCTCGAAATGCTCAATTCAAAACTCATTTCGACCATGCTAACGGAGAGAGATAAACGTCAACATCAGACGCCCTTGATGGAATGGCTCTCCAGAAGCAGCGAGGCATATCTTGGATATCCATCATTCCCAGGGACTACTACTTGGCCTGATCCAGATAGCCATGAGAGATTAGAAATTGTCAAAATTCTCCTTGACCACGGCGATCCGATAAATCAAGATCAGCTGGAGATTTCTGACAATAAAGGTGATTTCCCTGTTCATGTGGCAGTTCGTAAAAAGTTCACTGGTACTGTGAAGCTGCTATTGGAACATCGACCAGATTTATTGTCATGGGAAAATTCGTTTGGCAAGACGGCATTTGATCTTGCCAATGACCAGTGGGCACATCTTGTTCTTTGCCAACACCACAGTCCCTTGAAAATCTCAGCGTGGGTCAACCCCCCGTCTGATAGTCTGGTTGGTCGACAGCCTCTCTCATCCGTCGCCTCCGAACTCCCCTTGAAGTTTGGTCAAACTAGGTCTCACCATCAGAATATCCTTGATGTTTGTCGAAACTTGGTTATTCAAACTCCCCATAAACGGAGAGTCCACCTCGGAAAAAGCGACCCGCCTTGCTCGCGTAAAATCTGAAAATCGGGCTGGCTTTCTTCTCAGTATGGATTGGCTATTCTATGATCGCGATAGAAGCTGAACATGTGTGTGAACCCCAAGATTATCAAATATCTTTAGTTCTGCTACAATAAATGTCAGTACTACGCCTGAGGAGTTCGAAATAATTTATTCTTAGTGCTGTAGTAGCCACTTTAGAAAATGCATTTTAGCATATTCAATGCGAATATCTATGTAATGCGTAAGACATCCCCGCAAAGGTACAATCTCATGCGGATGATCCCTCCTTTTTTCTCTCTTCCTTTGCCAAATTCAGATTTCCTATAGGTATCATGCGAGGAGCGAAATTGAGCAGTTCCGTTCACGAGCTTCAGGTTTTATAAAGCTCCACTGGCAGTTGTACCATCACATATATCAATATCGCCCAGCACATGATGGAATTATTAGAATTGACGACTTCCAACCTCCAGGGCTTGGAAAGCACTGCGTCCTTGTCGGAACAAGGAATTGAGAAATCGAAAGAAGAGTAGAACTCCGGTTGTAAGCTTGGAATTGTGGGCTAATCGGAAATAAAGTTATATTTTCGTTTTGGGTTGTAGGTGTATATGCAGATTAAGCCACATGCCCTGTATGTTCGTTATGATACAATGTTGTCGTCTATCCTCTAATACTCTTGCTGGTTGTTCCAGTAGAGAGTTCCGTGGGTAACCTCTCCAAGAGGTTCAAGCTCCCATCTCAAAACCAATCTGACCCACTGTAGCAGATGGCTTGCGAGCTTGATGTGACCGACATCGGTCGGGTGGTTCTTAGGGTTGATATCGTTGTGTTGCAAGAGACCCTTGGTGCTAAAATAGTAGACGAACCCTTGGTCTTTGTAATGTTCGTGAATAGCGCGGTGTTCATCCTCATAGACCTCATTCGGGACGAAAGACAAGCCATCTTGCTTCCACGAGCCCCATTGTGACTAAATAAAAAAAAATTAGTTGATGATGATCAATATCAAGTTTCAGAGAAGGTGCAACGTACCACGAGGAGAACAGTAGCATGTGGGTGAGTTTTGTGAAGGTCATCAATCAAATCGATGTAGCCATGGTAATAATTGCGACCAGGAATTTCGTTGGGGTGTCGGTGGTCGTTTCCTCCCATCTGAATGAGGAACAGATCTGTGGCCTGGTCACCCTTCACGTCGAATTCTTCGGGCTCATCCCCATAAACTGCACGAGCTCGGCTTCCTGGATCGGATGCCCTATGCCAGTACCAGCCCTATAAATGGGTTGGTAAGTATGATATTGCGGAAAGAGGAGGGCCAAAGGAATTGGTGTGTAACATACTATGCCGTGGGATTGACCACCATAGCATTGCTTATCGACAAGGCATACGCCGGGGTAGGCCTATCCATGAAAGATGATATTAGCATTTCTCTGAGTTGCGATCGGCATTCACATTGTCCATACCGTTATAGTGTGCTCGACATTTCCCAGGCCGGCGACAAGCAACCACGACCACGACGAGAGAGTCTCGTAAGTTCCGTACTGTCCTGCAGCGACGCTTTGGAAAGTCAGTGAACCAGGTCCTCTAGGAATACGAGGCAAGATAGACGTACGATCCACCGATGACCTCAACCTTCTTCTCGAACCGTGGAGGGACGTTAAGATGCGCGTCACCCGCCGACGAGACGCTTGCAATCTGAACTGTAGAAGGGTATAAGTAGGCGCAGGGCGATCGATTGGGAAGGGAGGGACTTATCCAATGCCCCAGTTGGTCACTAGATAAAAGTCAGTTGTCTGGCAAGTGTCATGCCGCCTCAGAAGGATATCATACCTCGCATCTCAAACACCTTGCCGGTGTCCGCAGGCACCTCTCCAAGTTCTGAGGTGTCCCCCACAAATTGATAGGTAGCGTCGGCAGTGACATTCGAATACTGCCAGTCAAGGTTTCCAACACTGTTCAAGGAGTTAGGATCATGATCGAGGCGCGCGGGTCATCGAGGAGGAGTTACCGGTAGGCGACGAGGGCGCCATCGTTGGTACTGGACCCGAAGCTCACAGCAAGCTAACAAAACCATTAATTATCTCATAACGGTGGCACATTCGTCATTGTCGTGATTGGCGCATACCTTATTTCCAGTGAATTCTGTTTTAATCCCCGGCGCTCTGATGTCAGGATCGTCATTAGTGAAGGTCGCAAGGGGGAGGGGGAAGTCTGGGGAAGACGAACGACCACCCTAGGGAATTGTCAGAATGTATTGAATCATATGGGGGAAGGTCGATAGCTAGTTAACGTACAAGAAACATGTTTGCTATCCCAGCGGCCTTTAAAAGCGATCTCCGGCGCATCCGCCTCGTATGTTTTCCAGCTGTCGTCCAGCGTGATCACGGACGCCTGTCCCGGCCACGGGTCTTCCCTCTCCTGGCCATTTTGCAGAATAGTCGCTGAGGCATGTAGCGACCACGCGAGCCAACCAAGGATATGTGTTACCCGCATAGTGAGAGTCGATGTGATTTCAACAGGATGGGGGTCGCATCAAGCATCAACTGTTATTCTCCAGATCAAATTGCAGGGCTAACGCGTGGTCGGGCGGACTCCTTGTCTATCTCCGATGCGGTCAAAGAAACTATAATGGCGTGATTTGTCCTAAGTGGTCCGCACAATTTATCCCAGTCCTGAGCAAACGGGGCGGCTGATAATCCAGGAATATCAAACGCCAAGAGGTCAATTTCCAAAGAAGGGGGTTAAAGCGATAGCTGCATGGGGTACGGAGTTTGGAGTCTAGAAACAATTCACAAAAAGGAATTCCAGCGGGGCGAAAGAAACCCTGGGTTTCGGACCAACCGGGTTGGAGGACCCTCGTTCAGGGGCTCATCAGTCTATTTTGGAACCGTTCGGCTACCGCCAGAACTTTACTGGTCTCTGGATCTTGTGAACCATTTTTTTCCCATGATTGGTTAGTATAGAACGCCCAAATGTCTGGGCACACTGTCTGTTTCGACAGAAGACAGTGGGCCCCATTGCCACAGATCTTGGCAGACACGAGGAATTCCCTTGGATGTAACATTGGGCAGTATGTAATATACATGAATGACTCGCCTCTGGCATACGGGCGCAACGGATCAAGCTGAAACTGTCATTCAAATAGTCGACGTCAGCCCCAGACTACTCGCACTTCACCAGCAATAATTTGGTGAAATGTTCTCATTTTCACCACTCTGTACACACATTGGACCCTGAGACGCTAAATTCTGCTCGGGAATTTCGGAGTACGCGCGTTGCCCTGGGTGTTGCGGCTACTCATACAATTGAACGAACCCTGAACCCCCAATTACATCCGTATTACAGATTATGTACATGTAACAAATCGCTGACCTCCAACCCCGATGGGATAGTACATAGGGCTATCTCAATGGAGTTGCGATCTGAAGTTCTTGTGTGTGTGCATCGCCCAGCCTTATAACGTTTTCATGCCTATCAATTTGAAGTTTAGGGCAGGTTATCCCTGACATTCTTAAATAGCCCGCACTTTTGTCAAAAACCGCTTCGAAGCGTTGGCCCAAATTGTGCCAAGTGGTGGCGGGGATGTCTCGCACCCAGTTGGCCCCTGTGACCAAATTTCCGATAAATTCTGATCCTTCTCGGAGCGCCAAGGCTAAGACGTACTCGGAAAGCTGACATCCCCCATCAGCGTGGAGCTCGCTTTCAATAGCCCCCGTCGTTGGGATCTGGCGGGACCAAACGCGCCTGGATACTAACAGAGTACGGAGTAGTCTGCAGGACATATCTGCATTCAGGCGACGGAGAGTAGGGTACTCATTCTTGGACGATTCAAGGAGATAGAAATCTCACAATTCATTCATTTCCTCCATACCTATCCCCTCTTCTGTGTGGTTCTTATTCACGATACGAGTAATCAAGAGCTTATTTCTCCCCCTGCATTGCTGTTGTTCCCATGGTTTTCGAAGTTTGAGCGCCACAGCCAATGCCAAGCCCACCGGTGTATTATGGGTAATTGCGGTATTCGCCCTGTATTGATCGCTCAGGGTTCAGAAGATTCTCCACTCTGCCAAGTTGCAGATCCATGACGATCCAATCGCGCAGAACGTTAGCTGCGATTAGGTCAAATCGCGCCATTTGCCCGCCACTTCATGCAATACCTTCATACGTACGCTTTCTTCCCCCTTTCCGGGGCTCCGCCACGTATTCGTTCAGATTTTTGATATGTGAGACACTGGGGTAATTCAGGCACTACTCGTAGAAATGACATTAAACTCGAAGAACAAGCAATGGAAATGTCACACCGTGCTTCGAAGGCGAACCCAAAAAAAAAAACTTCCATCGCCGAAAACAACCCTGCCAAGGAAAACCTCGCCCGCTGAATCCCCAAAAACCACGCAGGCGAGCCCTGTCAATCAATCAGAGATCATGCTTCTTCCCGAACTTGCTTCTCTATAGGGCTGGTTTCAAGAAAAGTCCACTGCAGGAAGGTGATCAACGCTGAGCCCACGCAAGTTCCGTGTTCTAGGGGGTTGGAGCGGAATAGGACTCGTTTACTGCACTTGATTGGGGGTAGGGGGTTCTTCTTCTCCAGCCTTGTCAGCCTCTCATCATTAATCTCCTCCGTTCGTATTGCCGGGGGTCGCGAAGAGCTTCCCCCCTCTTCGGCACTGCTTCGGTCTTAATGTCCTTTTTTAGATTGATATGGCCTTGTGGATTGTGCCCATAGCGGAATGGCAATAAGAAGGCCCGCCAGAGGTGTCAGTCATGGAGGCATCTAGTACGTCAGTTCGGGGTTACCTGTTTCAAGGCAATAAAGCCAAGATTTGTGCAAATGAGATGGAAAATGACAGGTGTGCCGCCGGGGCTCCTGATGTTAGCCCCGAAAGAATGGATCATAAGGCAGAATGAAAATCAATCGTAATTAAGTGACTTTATCTCCCACGGGCTTCCGGGTTCTTACACGAACGGCTGCTCCATACCTCAGTCGCAAGTACTGTTTCTGGCAATTGATCACCTTGACTGTGTCGCAGCTTTTGCGTGACTGGGCCCGCTTGTCAAGCCGAGGCCTGGCGCTACGTATTGGTACCAGAGATACTTTGTACATAGTGGAGTCTGCCATTCGGCAATCTCCTATCGGCCGCCCTATGAGCAGGGGAAATGGTCCGCGCTCGAGTTATTCAAAACCCCGGTCCCCCCCTCTCCCACCTATCCCTTCCTTCTTCGTCGTTTGGATATCTTTCGGGGGCCAAATCCATCCGCCCCATCTTGGCATATGTTATATTATTTGAGAGAAGGTCGACCTCATTCTCTCGCATTCACTCGTTCATAATTTTCCGACCTTTTAACTGCAACCCAGCATTCCGTCAGGTTATTCTCTGCTGGTCAAGAGAATATTACCTAGATGAGCGGTATTTGATTCGAACACTTGGTTCTTTTTTAACATTTCCTCCACATCTACGTTATGGATTACATTCGGCAAAACTATGTGTATACCAGGGTGGTAGACAGCCTCCCCTGGAAATCCGGGGACCCTAATGTGAAGGGTGACCCAAGGAAGAGTGTGAAATGGATCGACGTGAGTTATGCCACCGCGAGCACCAGTCGACAATAATTATTTTTTTCCTGACTCTGTATGCACAGGGACTTCGAGGAATTGCATCCTTCCTTGTCGTTTTGACCCATCTGGCTCGTGCGTGGGACTATGACCTGTTTGCTCCGCGCGACGACGAAGACACCCCACCGCGCATTCTCCAGTGGCCAATCTTGCGAATCCCCTGGCAAGGTCGACTTGGTGTCACTATTTTCGCCTTTCTTACCGGTTATGTTTGTGCTCTGAAGCCTATTAAGCAGTCCCGCAACGGAGATACCCTTGGATCCTTCACTTCTGTGGCGAAGAGCGCCTTCCGCCGACCGCCTCGTCTCATCTTCCCCGCCACGATTGCCCTTATAATATCTTGGGTGATGGCACAGTGCGGAGCTTTCATTGCTGCTAATCGTTCCGACTGCTGGTGGTGCCGCTATGCATCTCCTGATCTTGCCCCGACCTTTTGGGAAGAGTTCCTCCGCCTGTTTGAGAATTTCTTGGGAGTTTGGACAACTGGCTACATGGCGTACGATGATCACCAGTGGGCACTCCTGCCTTTGCTCAAGGCTTCTATGCTTGTCTATGTTCTTCTGTGCATCACCATGTTTGTCAAGTTTCGCTGGCGCCTGGGGATCTATTTGGGAATGTTGCTTTATTTCCACCAGAATGCTGCAAAGCAAACCGGTATGTCTAACTTCTGCCTCGAATTTGTGAATCTGGCTAATGAATGATTTGAAGAAACCTTCCAGATGCAAGCTGTCTACGGCATGTTCCTCAGCGATCTTTCCTATGAAACCGCGTTCAAGCAATTCGTCGAGGATCACAAATGGGGTCGTCGAGTCGTTTCGTTCATCCTCTGTCTTTCCGGTCTCTTGATCTGCTCATACCCTGGCGAACACCCCGAGTGGGCCACCTGGTCACAACTTATGAAGGATGCGTCTCACTACATCTTCCCACCTGAAGTTAACGTCGGGCGGCGTTACTCGGCTCTCGGCGTGGATCTCATCATTGCGGCCATCTACATTTCACCAACAACCAAGGAGTTCCTGTCCAGCAGCCTCCTTCTCTGGCTTGGAAAGCAGAGTTTCGCGGTGTATCTTGTCCACGGTACTCTCCTTCGCACCGTACTTTGCTGGTGTCTCTATGGTATTACTGGACAACCGTGGGAGGGTCAACCCACCGATGGCAATGGAAACCCGATCCTCGACGAGCACGGTGAGCCTCTTCACCCGCAGTATATTCCCATCCGGGCGCCATGGGTCGTTGCAATCTCCATTCCGGCATGGATCGTCCTGGTTTACTTCTGCGCCTCCATGTGGACAACATATGTCGATCCTTTCTGTGCGAGAATGGCCCACAAGCTGGAGAAAATCATGTTCGAGCAGGACGAGAAGTCAGAGGCGGCTCTGCCTCTAAACAACATGCCTATGAACACCATGCCGATGACAGGCGCATAGTATCATACCCGTCATTGCCGCAAGGCTCGGTGTCTCGGTGCATATATTTCTTACATCTTTTTTGGGATGACTCTTTTTGTCAGGGGGAATCATTTTCATGAAGTCACAACGCTTTCGCATCTTCTCATGTACATATATTCAGCATTTTAGCTTTTCCTTTTTTTTCTCCTGTCAATCTTCTACTCGTGCATATATATCTGTCACGCTGCATTTTGAGTTACTTGCTTTATGGGACTCAGTTTCAATATTTTGTCAATAATATGCATACAAAAAATCCAACAATTTTCAATAATCCGATTTCACAATTTGACAGAATAGAAAAATAAACCAAGCCTTCAAGCCACAAAGGATACAGGAACTAGTACTTCCGCCATCTTCCACCTGTCAGACACATCTTAACCTGGGCAATTTAGGGGTACGAGTCTGTACCCCGTACTCGGTCCTCCGTACGGGTACGGACAACGTGGCAAGGACCCTATGAGCGAGGACCGCCCGGGGGCCGAGAACGAGATTGCGCTCGTTTTCTCTTGAATCTAAGACCCCTCTGAGCGGACCCCACCCAATCCTTACCCGAAAGGATTCAGAGTGTCTCCACGATGGGCGGCCCAATCCGTGAGAATCCGCCTGCCAAGCCCGAGGCGCTCTTGGCAAGAAGGATGAATCATTTTGCTTATCCCGATTTGCCGAACACGACTGTTGCCTGCTCGCGGTGCACGTACTCGTACATGTATGTATGCAGCCCTAGGGTGAGACAGGGATGATGCATCCACTATTATACACTATCCGTTTGACACAAGATGGGGGCTAACGCATTGACACTGCCTGATGTCTCTTGGCATTCCGTTTGGCCTTTTTTCATATTATTTACTCGTCTAAGCCCCCCTTTTTTTTATAGCAATCGGAAGTCAGGGTCCGAACCGACAGGAATTGGCCTCAAATCTTATTACGGGCTTTCGGACATAAAAATGTAGATCAGCCAATTCACTGCCCGACAACATGTACTTCGCTCCACATCTAGGAAATATGGGGTTTACATACAATCCAGCCCCCCGGGGCCAATCACAATACTAAGTTTAACCACGCCACATCGTCATGCTGCAGGACTAAGGACCTGGAAGGCATACTCGTACATACAACAAGATCCATACCCGAATCCCTGCAGATGTAAGACTATTTTTGGATCCGACTCTCACTCGGAGTCAATCAATGCTTCTTCGCCCCTTGAATGGGCCACAACAGATTATCGCTCTGGCCTCATTTCTATCATGCGCATAGCTTAGAATTCGTTATTCGACCAAAGTTGAAGGCACTATCGAGATCATGTGTCTGTAGTTTGAGATGTAATGCCTCATTGTATACATAATCAGAAGAGAAACGCCCTAAATGACGCCTATTTACGACGCCAGTCCATATTAAGACCGTAAAGATCGATTGCCAAGAGACTTGTTGGTGTCTATTTTTTGACCCTGAAGTTTCGATTAAGGGGGGGCCTGAACATTATTATTGTTCTTAGCGTGAGCTAAAGAGGCTTAATCCGGGAAGAGAATTCAGGACTCGATATCTCTATCAGCCCTACATGGGCGAATGTAATGGCTTCCAACCTTGGAAGATTGAACTTGAAGGTTCAACTAACTAGTACTAGTACTGCTACCAGCGAGCTCTTCAGGCTGGAGGTACATACAAACCAAGTTCACCTGGGCAATTTGAAGTTGGTTGAATTTCCTTTTCTGTCGCCTGCCCAGGTGCTTTTTTTACCTATTGCCTTCAGTCCATCGGCAATGATATTTCGATACTAGTAAAAATACTATCATTGAAAAATGAACCTTGGAAGAGGACGAATCATCACAAAGCCGACCGAGAGAAATGAAGACTAGGACTGCCGGGGGGGGCTTCAGGCCTCAAAACCTACCTGCCGTGCTTAAGAATTCTCTCTTTCCGTTGTAGATAGCTTAGCCATCTCCTTCATCATCGTCTTAAATATTGCCTGATATACAGCTTGTAGCAAATGTTTTTCTCCGGCACTTTTGCAATTAAAGTTGCCGACCGACAAAAGATTCCATGAAATTGAGTTTGGTGGCATGCCACAAACCGTGGTTAGTTGTATCCGCGGAACGTGAGATGCCGCGGGCGGATTCCTCTGAGCCGTAAGAAACGAGACAGGTGAAATGTTGACGGGAGATAGTACATTATATATTAATATTAAACGATTAAAGAATTGATGAAGATTTAGCTATTCAACTTGAACTTGAACAGAAAATCTTGAGTATCCCACAGGGGTTGAGAAACATCATGACGACAACAACTTCAACTTCTGTTATTGAGGCTCCTGCTATACTCAAGCATAGTGGAGACCGCTTTTCATCAAATAGATGCATGCTGCCAGCAGTTTGGATGAGATCTGGCACATCGAAGGGTCTCTTCATCCATGCCAAAGATCTCCCGTCATCGCCAGAGCTCTGGGAGCCAATATTACTTTCTGTCATGGGGTCCGCAGGCGCGAACGCACGGCAAATTGATGGAGTGGGAGGCGCTACCTCTACTACCTCTAAGGTAGCTGTTGTTGCGAGCTCCCAACGCCCTGGCATCGACGTTGAGTACACGTTTGTCCAAGTGGCCCCAGACCAGGCCAAAATAGATATGACCGGGAACTGTGGGAACATTGCTTCTGGCGTGGGACCATTTGCACTCGATGAAAATATGGTGAGGGCAGCTCTAGGAAAAGAGGAGGTGAGAACATCTACTACTAGTGCCCATTACAAGACGCTTCCGAAGTACCTTCCGCTGATCGAGATATACAGATTGATATTCGAATCCTGAACACCAACACCGGGCAGACCATTGTGGAAACTATTCAAGTGACCCCCGATGGCAGGTTCCGAGAGGATGGAGAATGTCGTATTCCTGGTGTTTATGGCACATCGAGCCCAATCAAAGTCGCTTTCATGGAGCCTGCAGGTAGCATGACTGGTCGGATGTTTCCCAGTGGACAGCAGCAGGAAAATCTGACTGTTTGGTCTCGTTCTTTGGGAAAATTCGACGTGAGAGTTAGTTTGGTAGACGCCGCAAATCCTTTTGTTTTTGTTGATACATCATCAATATGCATCAAAGACCACCCATCTTGGCCTGATCCAGACGATACGTCTTTTCTGTCTGTTGTCGAAGATATTCGCCGTGCAGGAGCTGTTCAATTTGGACTAGCTCCAGATCTAGAAACGGCGGGTCAAGTCCGCGGGACTCCGAAAATCGCGTTTTTGTCTGCGGCGGAACATGATGACGATGCTGATATTCAGGTGCTCGCGTTCACCATGGGAAAGCCCCATGGAAGTCTTCAGTTGACGGGCGCAGTATGCCTTGGCGCGGCAATGTCGATTCATGGAACCGTCGCGTGGCACTTGGCAAGCGCAAAAAGGAACGACAGAGTGCCGAAGCATGGGATGTCTGTCGGGGGTCATGACATTGCGTCCCCATTGCCAATGGGTATTCGGCATCCCGCTGGGGTTATTCAAGCAGAGACAATTCTGAGGATGGAGAAGGATGGCCAAGTTCACGTGGATAAAGTAGCAGTCTTTCGAACCGCGCGCAGGCTTTTTGAGGGTAATGTATTCTACAGAGCATAGGAAAATATTCAATTCATCCTCAAGGTAAAGGTACCTTCCACTAAACATGTGCCTACCCAGGAAGGCTTTTTGTAAAATCTTGCCCAGCTCAAACCTTTGTAGCTTTCTGTAAGAAATTCACCTTTCCAGGACGTGGATTGGAATCGGTTTCCGAGTAACTTAATTGTACTGCATGCCGTTCCACGGCGAACCATTGAACCCAAACAACATGTCGTCATCAAAACATTCCTGTGGACATGCCTCCATGACTGGAGCAAGAGTTCCTGGCGTACCAAATTGGGGTATTCCAGAAGACAGGAAGTTATTGTTAGCTCCTTCATACAGAGCCTGTGCCTCGGGAGGTTTGCTGTGTTGCCGAATAAAGCTTTGAATGATCATATCCATATCCAATTCCGATGGTTCGATTTCTGGATTTTCTTGAGTCGGGGAAGCTGCAGGTCCGAATGATATGTTCAAATTGTTCTCAATACTCGGGATGCTGGGTGACTGTATGCCCTTCTCGATAGCATCGAATGTCCCCTGGCTATGGAAACCCGGGTTTTGGTCATTCAAGTCAACCCCCATTCGATCCATTAAATGCAATATGACATTTTGAGCTCTGCGCACAGCCCAGTTGGTCTCGCCATTCTTCTGAAAGATGTCGAGACAAGCCTGCAAACTGGCATGAGAACGGCTACCGCCCTCTCGTTGAGCTGCCACTCGGACGTGTATCGTTGCCGCGACATATGTAGCATATGATATCAGGTATGGGGCTCTTCTTATGGAAAAGGCGTGGTCATATGCCTGAAGTAAATTAATAATTCGGTTTGCAGCAACAGTGCAGGTGGTAAATGAGCTAACTGCCACTGATGGATCGGTAGTATGCAGATGCCCTTCTGCAACAAAAGGTCGATGGAGAAGAATTAATAGAACATTGTACAGCGATAGAAGGGAGATGACATGGGGAGGTGGTGTTGTCTGCGCCGTGTTGTTGCTGAATTGTAAATGACGAGGAAGCCCATGCTGCCAGCTTCGTAACTGTGCGTCCAAGGAGCTGAGGGTTGCCATAAGCTCTTCCGGAGTTCGATTCGAGCTTCTTTCTGAATAAACTTTGTTCAAGATGCCATTCAAGATCAGGGAAAGCTTGCACAACTCCGTAAACGTGGAAACACTATAAGCGGGAGACCCGGGATAGGATTGGGCGTCCGAATAAGCAAACGGCTGCCAGTGTTCCAGCTCTTCATAGTGGTCCAGAAAGGAGAGCGACACTTTTGTGTCAAAGTCTTGCAGGGTGGCTGGCCGGCCCTGGTAAAGTGCTTGGACCTTGTCAACCACAAAGGCTCCCCAGAACACACGCCGACGAATTTCCAGGTCCTCATCCGAGAGTTGACGCATGTTGATCAACATCGTAGCATCCACATGCATACCCAAGTCGATGATCATCCGAAAAGCTGTTCCGGCATATAACCATGCGGCACTTCGTTCGTCACCAAGGGCAAATAAGGAGCTGGTCATCACAAGCAGTGCTTGTATGGTTGTAATTTCACTGCGATCAAGAGCACTGCCCAGCAGTTCCTTGACTCTCATACGAAATGTCCAACCGGCCGTGCGGACATCGTTTGGGTCACGGCGTACCTCGGGGCGATTACTAAACTTGGATGCTCCAAAGTATATCGCGTTCAAGAGAAGCTTAGAAAAGTAAGGTCCATTGGTGGCCATATCCCGCATAAATGCCGGGCGATAGGTGATCAAGAAGGAATGGTGCTGGCGGTTCCAATGTAATGAGAGTAGATGCATCCCTAACTCTGGATCGACACCATCAAAGTCGAGCCTCCCCTCCCGCATATTCATCATCTCTAATTGCCCTAGAATAATGTAAGATTTTGTCCACCTTTCCTAGATATAATTGACTTACGCTGATAGGCCGATTCCCCCATCAGTCGTTTTTGAATGTGCTCCACAGGAACCTGAGGAGCGGTCGACCGCATTTGGCTGCGTCGGTCCAGTGGTGCATCGTCAAACAAAGCACTTGTGAGTCCATGGTAACTTGAGTCACCATTGGGAGAAATGAAAATCCGCGATACTGTTGACCGTGCCGGGTCAACGCTCGGTGTGTGTTTTCCAACATCCGGTCGTCGCGGAATGACTCCGAGGGGTTGGGGCTCTTGCGATTCTGGCCGCGGGTCGCTGGTTCTCGTTTCCGTAGGGGTGCTTGCACTCTCTGAACGAAGCTCGCTAGCGGTGATCTGCTGACGTAGTTGCTGGTTTTCTGCCTCTAAGCGAGAGAGCTGTGCCTTTGAAGGCCTTCTAACATGTCAGCGAGTGTGCATTCTAGTCTGTGGCTGCCAGCAAGTAGTAGATCAAATACCTCGGGCGCTTGGGACCAACTGTGTAGATACACTCCTTTCCGTGGCCCCTGCAACTGGAGCAGGCAGGCTTTTCGTTATTGCATCGCAGCTTTGCATTCCGTTAGTAGAGGTCTGGAATCTCCGCCCACGGCAGTCCTACCTTTCTCTGCCGGCAAAAGGCGCATGCCTTAGCAGCCCTGCGGGACTTATGCGGGGTTGTGTCTTCCATGGAGTAAAATGTCGCATGGAATTAATTGACTGGGATCCGTGGGGTTCGGCTATTAAAGAGAGCTTTTCTCCGCGGCAACTCTGGTTCCGGCCTTCCGACGCTATAAGTCCAGGTTTCGACCAACAGATTTCACTACCATTTGGTATTTCGAAAATATGGGAGAACAAGGTTCATTCTCTTCAAAGCCCACTGAGGCAAAATCGCAACGGGTAATTTGTTCCGTTAAACCCCATGGAGATGAGGGGAAGACCTGAAGTTCCAAGGTCACGGTTGACAATCCCAGCAATATACCCCACAGTGGGTCTCTTTGACAGCCGGAGGAGTTGCAGGAGGAGTGGAAGCCGCAGTGACTGTAAGGAATTCCGAAATCAAGAGAGCACAACCGTGGTTCAAATTCTAAAAAATCTCAGTACCCCTTCGAATATTCAAAAACCCGCGTCCAGCTTCTCCAAAAAGGCGCGGGAACAAGCCCATCGAATCCCCTACGACTCATTCTTCATGTCGCCCAAAAAGAGGGAATTGGAGCACTCTATACCGGATGCTCAACCCTTATCGTGGTTGGTCTCTCTTTGGCGAGTTTTGAAGAAAGTAATTTAACTAATGTTCACGAAATTTATTAGGGTACAACTGCGAAAGCAGGGGTAAGATTTCTATCGTACGACACCATTCGCAATGCCTTGGCCGATGATAGCGGCAAGCTCTCTGCTGGCCGTGGTATATTAGCCGGAATGGTCGCGGGTGCTGTCGAGAGTGTTTTGGCTGTCACACCAACCGAGAGAATCAAAACCGCATTGTTTGTAGACCCACCTCGAAAGTTGAGAAACGAGACTAATTAGAAAATCTGTCACAGAATCGATGACGCCAAAAATGCTCGACAATTTCGGTCCAGTCTGCATGCGGTGACTATGCTAGTTCAAAGCCACGGCCCTTCTGAGCTCTATCGCGGCTTGGTATCAACCACGATCAAGCAATCGGCTACATCTGCCGTCCGCATGGGAACATATAATATTCTCAAAGAGATGACCAAATCACAAGGTATTGCGCCCAGCGTCGTCACAAACTTCAGTGTGGGGGCGTTGGCTGGAGTCATAACAGTCTACGCCACTCAGCCTTTTGATACTATCAAAACACGAGCCCAAGGTGTCCAGGGAGCTAGTATCGACCAGGCGGTACGCAGCGTGCTACGTGATTATGGCGTCCGGGGCTTCTGGAAGGGCAGTACCATGCGTCTAGGCCGATTGGTGTTGAGTGGTGGCATCGTGTTCTCGGTATATGAGGAGATGGCGGCTCTGCTTTCGTCTATATCATATGGACGGTCAGAAAGCTCAATCTCATACTAATTTCATATACAGTTGTATCAAAAGGCCTTGATAAAGTACCTTCCCTATAGACTTACATAGATAAACGAATCGAATACGTTTGACATTCCATCTCCAACCGCATCAACAGAACCGAGCAATAACAAAAAAGGAGTGAATTTGATCTTTTATTCAGAAGAATGAAAAGGAATGTAGTTATCGACTACCTTCAAGTGAATTTATGTGGTTCGAGGAGCTGAAGGCGGTTTAACCTCAATTATATCTTCCCTCCATGTCTATACCTAGTTCGAAAGATATACTAGAGATTCCCATACAACGAGTGCTAGACACGTTGCGTTGGGAATCCTCATTTCTTAGGTGCCATTGTATTGATGAATCTATGAATTTCGCCCTTCAGAAACCATGGAAATCCATATGGGCGTATGTATTGCAAGGTTTCTAAGGTTGTGACCTTCGAACCCTGAAATGAGGGCTTTATGAATCGTGCCAATCACTACGTTTCGAAATAGCTATCGCAGAAAAACCACTAAACACCATAGCAAAGGGTCAGATAAAAGCATCCATTGCAATAGATATCATATAAAAACAAAAAACAAAACATGAGGTAACGTTCAGGGTTTGTATTGCCATGTCACGGTCGGGACAGTGCAGTTCAAGCATGCTCCTTGTGATCCATCATCCTCTTTTCCTTTGCTGTCTGCGTTACTATATCTACCATATCCCCCTGGGGAAGGTTCCTCGCTATAGACACAACGTGCCATGGGGAGGGCGCATCGCGGAAAACATGATCCAAGGCCTCCAGACTGCGCCCCATTGTCTCAGGGTAAAATAGATAAACGACAACAGGTATGCAAGCCGAGATCACGGCATACAGGATATAGTATCTCCAGCCAATTGTGTCTAGAGCGACAGGGGTTATCATCACCACAACGAAGTTCCAAAGCCACTTATTCGCCGTAGATGCAGCGGACATGGCGACACGTAGACGCATCGGTGCGACTTCGGTGCAGTAGACGAAGTTGGCCCCGGAGAATCCAATTGGATAAAACATGTTGAAGAGCCAAATGAAGACCACTGAGACGATTGAAAGGCTTGTACCGGCATCGCCAAAGCTAGTTGTGATAGCCAAGACAGTCATACACAGACACATGCCAGCCCCGCTGACGATAAACAACTTGCGCCGGCCCAGACGGTCAATTGCAAAGAAAGGTATAAAATTGCAGACAAACTTCCATGTGAGTGCACTCGATCCAAGAATACTGGAGAGCTCTGCATCCAACTTGAGATTCTCTCTAAAGATCGTGGAGATGTAAGTGGATATCAGGTTGCCACCGCACATTTGCTGGAAAAATTGTATCAATAGGCAGAGGCCAAACCGATACAGGAGACGTTCCTCGTCACTTCCAGAGAAAAGCGCGCGCAGAGTGAGGCTTTTCGATTGTGATGTGAGTTCCAGTGATGATTCTATGCTAGCAATCTCCGATTGTACAGCTTCATCATCAACGGGAAGACCCCGATATGCTGCAAGACTCTGCGTAGCTTCTTCCTTCCTAGACACATAAACGAGCCACCGTGGTGATTCTGGAAGTAGGGAGAGGGACCCGAGAATGATCAGGGGGAAAATGAAGGATAACGCTAACGGCACCCGCCATTGTGTCTCACCAGTAGTCTTGCTGAAGCCATAATCCACCCAGTTCGTAATCACAAAGCCCAGTACCATACAAACCCCATCGATCACAACATGCTGTCCACGGTTCATGGCAGAGCTACATTCAGCTTGCCATACCGGAACAGTCGCGCTCAACTGGCCGATGCCGAAACCAAGGATAACACGGCCCAGCGTAAATTGGATGATTCCGTAAGAAGATGTCTGCAGGAGCTCCCCAATAATAGTGATAATAGAAGCCATGAAAATAGTTTTCCGTCGGCCATATCGATCACCGAAGTAGGTGCACGAAAGTGCTCCCACAAGAGCTCCCAGTTGAAGAGATGCAATCACTGCACCCTGCCTGGTTGAGTTTCTCTTTTTAATCGCACCTTCAGTGTTGGTAGTGTCAATCTCCGGAAACGTGGAGACCCTAAAGATCGATAAGCTTCATAATTCATCCATGAACAATTTTTTGGGAATATCTCACCATGACTGCAGACTGGCAAGCGGTGCAACTCCGGATTGATTGTACCCGTAGGTGATGAACGCGGGGGCTACGGTGAGTAACACCTGAGCGAGGCGGAGCGACTTGCCACGAAGCATAGTGGCGCAGGAAATCGAAGTAGACGAATCTTAATATCCTCATTATTTTACCTCGGATTTATCGCCTCTTTATGTAGAAGAGCTCGGCTGAAGGTCCGGGGACCCCAGAATCCGTTTCCTGTGGGGAAATTGACTCCAGAGTGCGGATGTAAACTTCCGCGGCATCTAACTTTCCATGGCATCTAAATTTCACTTGTCAGGTTTTTCCATGGCTCCGGTCTTACTTTCAACCGATTTGTTTAATTTACCCTCACCGATTTGATATTCGCTGTCATGATATCATGGCACGGAGAGGCCAAGTTGAAGCATGAAAACAAGAGGGTCAATGTCGGGTCACGGAGGAATGGTTTGCGACATCGCCAGATTGACATCGCCAGATTGAGATAAGATCCCTATATAAATTTGTGATGGCTGAGGTGCTTACATTCCGCAATTGCTGCAATCGAGATCCCGTTAAAGTGGAAGTCATCCGATAATGCCACGGAGTTCGAAAGGGAATGATTCGAAATAAATACAAGTTGTGTTTCTAAAGCCGAGAGCGTGGGGTGCATTTCAGTATCTAAAGACAAGTTCTGACATAATGCAACTTTGAGGATGCAAAAGCAAAAATGAAAATAAAAAACAGCTGTATCAGACCACGATTCTCTTGACGGAGGAGTGTCCTTAGAAATTCAAATACTGAACGATAATCCGCCGTTGGCCGTAATAATGCTCCCTGTGCACCACCCAAACTCGGAGTTACAGATTGTCGCGATTAAACCGGCGATTTCCTCGGCATACGCTGCTCTTCCACCAAATTTTTCACCCAGCTCCTTGGCCTCCTCGCTGTCATCGTCACGAACAGCCACCAATGATATCAATCTGGAATTTTTGGGAACTCATGAAGTGTGTCCTCGCGGTCGAGACGAGTCTCTCGCACTCTGCCGAAAAATGTCCGCCCTCAAGGCTAGTGCTCGGACGGAGTATGCCTGCTCAAGCTCCTGGGCAAGGGTTGCCGCAGAATTGTCCGAGCTCTCTGTGGCATAGTTTATTATGACATTACAGCCCTTGTTAGCAAAATTGCGCACAATCGCGGCGCCGATGCCTATTATATTTATAGTGAATATGCGAACTGATAATTTCCCCGATAAACCAAAACTTACTTCGCGCAGAGCCGGTCACAATTGCAAGTTTGTTTGCGTACATACGGGGAGCGAAGCTCCATTTTGATGGCTGCCCATTGTGGTGAATATTTATTGGGATTGGGCGGGGGACGACTCGGAGAGGGGAATCGGCGTCACGGTGCTTCTACTTAAAGGCCATTGCAGAGCTTAGCGAGCATCGTTAGTCAGAATCTCCCTTAATTCTGACCCTTTTCGATGGCTTTAATCTCTCATTTTGTATTTTTAATATACATTTTATATAAAAATCCCGTCCCTCTCGTGCGTCGATCACATCTATAATCCTTCCCAATCGGCCGATTTACTGAGATTTAGACTAGATCCGCCGCAACTACCACTTAGATAAGAACCCTCCATCAATAGGAAGGCAGATACCGTTTACGTAGGATGAACAGTCTGATGCAAGCCAAAGAGATCCTTGTGCAACCTCATGAGCCTGTCCAAATCTGTTTAAGCTGCTCACTTTAGGCGCAAATTCTTCGTGAGTAGTACCTATGATTTCCAATGCTTTGGCCGACATTTCACTCTGCGTAGATTAGTATATCTTCCAAATATTTTTTAGGGTGGGGATTCGCAAGGTAGAGCATACAAAAATTGCCCCTGGCGCAATAGCATTAACTCGGATGCCACTTGGGCCACCTTCTGTTGCAGCATGCTTTGTCAAGCCAATAAGAGCATGCTTTGCGGACGTGTAGGCAGGCATATTTGGTTGGGGCATAAAAGCATTGATAGACGCAATATTCACGATAGACCCTTTCGTGTTCTGCTTCTGAAACTGCTGCATTTGGTACTTGCAGCAGAGAGCAGTGCCAGTTAAGTTAACATCCAAAAGCTGACGCCAATAGGACTCATCAAACTCAGTGAGTGATGTCTTATCCGGCGACATTGCCGCGTTGTTGATGGCCACATCTAGCTTTCCAAATTCTTTGACCGTTTGCTCAATGAGGTTTTGAACATCACTGGACTTCGAAATATCTGTTGCCACGAAACGAATATCTCCAAGAGAGGAAAGCTCTTCAGCAACTTTCAGACCTTGATCTTCTTTGACATCTGCAATAACCACTTTGGCCCCCGCCCGAAGAAATACCGAGGCGGTTTCCTTGCCCATGCCCTGGGCACCGCCAGTAACAATAGCAACTTTACCCTTCAAGAGGGGAAAGATGGAGGCCTGAGAACTTTCCATGGCAATTTGTATCAATCTTAGAGGGGCAAAGAGAAATTTTGCACACAGTGCGGGGTGAAAACAATTAAGCGGTGTCTGATTCAGTTCCTGCAGGACGACCGGTACTTATGCCTCACAGTTTCCTGGATGAGGGATCGGCATTGATAATTCTGGGGTCCACAATACTAATGCCGACTACTAAGACGTTTCTTCCTGAAGGATTTGTAGACACGGCTTAGGTACGAGTGACAACCAGAGGGAGTACTTGTTTCTGAAATCTTCGCTTTTTCAGGCCTAGGCCATCAACCCCCCCCTTCTCTGCAGTGGCCAATTAATAGAACTGGCGAAAGCCGTTGTGGATCAACAAAGGATATGCCATTTTAGTCTGCAGCTGTGCTCCAGCGTTGCAGCGGCTGTCAAGCCGTATTCTATAGTGATTGGCTATCGTAGCAGCATCGGGTATACTAAATGAGCTCCAGGATTCGGATAAAATAGAGATCATCTCCTGTGACCCGTTGGATCATTTTTTCGGAACATGGGCACTCTGAATCAAGTGAGAAAATAGAGATAAGGCATATTCTATGGGTACAATTCTATAAGAGGCAAAAGTATCTGCATGATTTTGACTGAAATCTAAAAAATTGTTAGTTTCTTAGATCTGCGACTCCTCAAAATAACCATTCCGCAGGCGTGCCCATAGGGCAAATTTTAGCGCAGAGATGTGGAGTCTTGGCTTGACTGATCGTCATCCTTGACCAGGCTTTGCTCTTTAGTCAATTTTGGATTCCGAATGCAGAGAGCGAATGCAATCAATGGTACGGTTAGACAAATACCCGTTATGCAGAGCAGGCGTTGGGTCTTTTGGTATGCCACAATAACGGCATCCCGATCGGGAGTACCAACTGGATTCGCGTCTGCAAATGGAAATGGTGCTCCATAAACTTGGGCTGCAAGAGTTTCGTTCCCAAGTTGTCGAATCAACTCCGTTGGCAGTACCTGATTCCAGATCGCGCCTGAAATTGTATTACCAATTGCACTCCCAATGCTATAGGAAGCAAGGTAAATGCCAGTTACAACAGCAAGATCTAGTTATCCGTCAGTCATCAATTCGCAGTTAATAGTTAGGGTTTGAGATGAAACAACTCACGTTCGTGCTTGGAAGCAACTTGAATGCTTGCCTGGGCTGGGTAAGAGAATAGACCACCGGCTATGGGACAAATTAGTCAAATCTCCACATGTTAGATAGCATGTATAACCTACCGAGACCTAAAAGTACCTGTCCTCCGATGACTCCTGAATGACTGGAGCCACTGGAGCCACCGCGAAAGTAAATGAGAATGCCAAAGGCAACCATGAATAGCACAGTTCCAGATACAATGAAGGGCTTGAGCTGACGAAGCTTCATGACTATAAAGCCGAGAATCACACCGGCAATAACAGAAGTGAAGCTGTAAAGAGATGTTATTCTGGTGGCGCTAAGTACCGATTCATCAAAGCTGACGTAAAGAACGGTGTAAAGAAAATCTCCTTGGAGATACCACGCTGAAGATTTAATTAGATATGTGCCCGCTTGTTTTGAACGGGTAGTCACTCACCGGTGTTCAACATAACCGCAATACCAATAGGACCCCAAATAGCACGGTCCTTCAGTTTCTGAGAAGCAATTAGCTTTATTTTTATTTCAACATTGAATGTTGTATTACTTACTCTGAATGGCAGCATGGGATGCGGGCATCTTTTTCTCCCAATAGACCCAGACTGGAACCAGCAGAACTCCAATAACAAGTGGTGCTATAACCTTTGCCGTCTTCCATTGCGCAGTAACTCCTCCTGCAAGGGTGAATGGAACGAGAATGCAGGCAAGCATAGCAATCATCAGGATAAGCCCAATCACGTCGAGGTGCCAGAATAGCTCTAGAGCCAGTTTCTGACCGCCAAGTAGCTCGAGGGAACTTTTATATGATTCCAATTTTCCGGATCGCTTCGCGCGACGGCGAACAATGAAAAGCACGGCGATCAAAGGAAGCGAACAAACGGGGTAGATAATCGCGAACATGCCGATTCCCCATTTCCAGGTTGTCACTTTAAGAACTGCATCGGTCAAATTACCGCTGATCCAAGTGTTGATCTATTGATTCAACTCAAGTTAATATATTGTTGTTAGATGGTCCAGGGTGTGGCTATGCTCACGATAAAAGGAAGCGCTGGGATGAATGAGAATAAGAGACGAGAGCGGCTAGAAGTCACATCACCAACCAAGACTTCAAGAATAAACATGATGCATGTGTATCCGACCTGTGAAAATGTCAAATTTTGTCAACTTCTCGTTGGATCATTTCTAGATACCTGGTAGATGACAGCCCCTGCAGAAAAAGCCTCCACACTCGTAGCAAATGTTTCGATAATTGTGCCGACCGTATAGAAGACAATCGAGACCAAGATAAGTTCAACTCTGCCGAAGACATCGGCAATCTTGGCAGCAGTAGGCTGAGTTGAGTCGGAAAATCAGCCGAGAATTCTTGCGAGAAGTGTTGAAAACATTACCTGAGCAGCGGCGGCAATGACAGCTCGAAGAACGTTGATAGTCGCGAGTAAGCTGTGAAGGCCATAACTTGCGGTGGCATAAGGCTATATCAAAGGTTCGTGCTGTTAACTTCTGGAATGTTGAGGACGATGGATTGGATTTTGGGGAACCTACTTGATAGGTATACCGGACAGTACCATCTAGACCATAGACGTATGCAACGAGAAAAATACCGCAGAACAGGAAAATCCGATCGATGAAGCGAAATTCTGATGCAATAACTTCGATGCGGCGAACACCGGGGCTACCTTCTCCCAGCAGATGAACATCTCGAGTTGGCTCTGTGGAGGAGTTGATCTGCTTCTCCGGACTTTCTCCGAGATGATCATCACCCGCGCCCCTATAGTCGTCCATGGTGGGAAGCTGAAAGCCAGACAGTAGGAATTCTTTGGGAAAATCGCAAACCCTTGACCCGGGCGCTGTCGCGTATTTAGGGGTCTGAGAGGGAAAAAGAAAAACTTACAAGCCAAGGCCAAGGCCGCGGTCGCCGAGGGAAAATATGAAGATTGGTCGCGCCACCCAGTCAGGTCCACAAATTCATCTTATCAGATCAGAGTGTGGCGTCTGGACACGTTCAGGTCCCTGGTTAGCTCGTGCCCAGACCTATTGCCGAGGATGCTAGGACTTTTTCTCGAAATTGTAGCCATTGAAACAGGTTCTTAGTTCCCCACCTCGTATTCCGCTGTGGTGAAACCCCCGGCTTGTCACGGCTGATGGCACCTAATTCGTCAGGTCGTACGACGTGCTGAGAAGGGTTCAAAATATGCTTCTACAAGTAGTGTCGTGTTTGCCTTCTGCCAACGGTAGGATACCAGCAAGCCGTTCCAGATCATATGGTTTTAAGGAGTATAAAGGAAAATTGAATATCCTCGTGCGTCCTAGAATCATCAATTACTATTTACCCAGATGTTGACAGGCCCAGACCTCTGGAATCGGCAGGCGGCCAAACCCGTGTCCATGGGAGATCCATCAGCCACATATAAACACATGGCATGGCTGGTGCATACTGATTGTAAGCATAAATATCCACAAACCCAAAATCTGGAAGACTACCATGTACATAGTAGTACTAGTTAGTTTTGGCGTGGCTTGAGGGCTGAGATGACCGGCATCGAACGCCATGTCCGCCAAGGTTCGTCAATTTTTTTTTTCCGGATAGAGTTCCCATGGGCACCGCTGGATCATGACCCTGACTGAACCTCCAACCTGGATTCTGGAGCGTTCACAGTTCTTCCCATAGCTAATCTTTGGACTGGAAATGAGACTTTCACAGGTTGAACCAGTAATGGAAATTCCGACGACGGTGCCAAAGTGCTGCGGAGCGACAAGCAACATCATATCTTACAAGGAGCATCTCACAAATTTTGCAACATTGTATTGTTATGTATGCATGATGACGAAGTTTCCTCAGCAATCGTTTTTCACAGCAGCAGTGACAATAGCAGTGGCTCGTTAAAGTGCAGCCGCTACCAAAGCCTGCGTCCAGAGCGGTTTTCCTGGTTGTGATGAGAGAAATGAGTTCTCTCATCGGGATTATGTGAGACTGGAGAATAGTCTGGGCAAATTTGTGTATATGATTCCAAGGTTTTCAATGATAAAATACTTCTAGGTTTGAAGATGGTGGCTAGTACGAGTATCTGATTAGTATTACTACTCGTATCTACTCGTTCGGCAACCTATTGGATGCAATATTTACGCATTATCGCCCCCAAAGCAATTCCAATCATATGGTAGACTCGTGCTACTGACCGCCTTTTCTCATGCGGGGATCGTGTTTCCTTTGGGTTTCTCAACTGAATCCTCCCGTGCCATCGCTACTTCCAAGGTTAGTTCTTAGCGGAACCACAAACTGGGTTCGGGGTTGGTACCTGATATTCTGATCATGTTAGATGCCCCCTGAGCTATCTAGATGAGAAAATTGTTCAAATGTCCTGTTGTTTGTACCGGGAATCTCCTGGCGAATGCCAACCAAGTCGATTAACAACAATCTGACCATGCCACTAACCAACTAACACTTGGAGCAGTATAGCCTCCCCCCGCCCCCCCCCATCCTACGCTGAGATGAAAAGCCCCTCCCCTAATGTGAACTATCTCGTTGTCGGCTTCCCAATCCCTTATCCCCTTGGCCGCTTCCATACGAATGCAAGAAGCAATGACACCCTAGCGAATCATACAACAAGCACTACGGTCGCAACGGTCGCGTACGGGCGCTCCTCTCCCGAAAATTTGAAGAAGCCGCTAGAATCGTGACTAGGTGCTGGGAAGTGTTCCTCAAATATCTGGCAAGTCCGACTTCATTGAATTAGTGCGCAACAACACGGCTTGCTTCATGGACCGGGAGAATCATATTCAAGGAATAGCCCGCGCGATGATATGCGATATGCTCGGGATCAGTGCTCTGCCGGGGCTTCCATGAGGTGTTTGTTGATGACTGTGAACAGCACCGAATGGCAAATGCCAGGTGAAGTCTAGGGACGTGCATCGCATTCGTTCGAGGGCGATCATGACTGCTGTCAAGCTCCTCGTGGCACGCCTGGAGTCCGTTACTAGATGCGCTAGACCGGAAAGCCGCTCTTTTCACACGGCGATATATGATTTTTCACTCTAGAATAACAGTGCAACCCTGTTATTTTTCATCTGTGATTTGCTATGATCCTAGGCGCGATAGATCAGAATGCAATTCATCTCGACTATTCCCTTAATCTCTTGGTCTCGACTAAAAACAAGTAGAATGCCAAATTAGGCATATTCCATTGGATCTAAATCATTAGGGTAGATATAGTTCAGTCGTAACCAGCCCCCGCCGGGAAAACACGAGGAGTCCCAAATGATAACCTTGAAAGGTTAAAACGGGCCAAAGTCCCAACTTCCACTAAGATCCACCAACATCCGATCAATCTTCACCTGGTCACACCCCCACCTCGCCTCGTGTTCGGACTCTAGAAATAATGGCTTGACATCCCTTCTTGTTCAGTTGGTTCTGCTGGCAGGGCGATGTCTGCTTCAACTACTACTTCGCCCCTGCGCCCTACGCGTAGCGACGCGACGATCGCAAATTCCCCGCCCTCGAAAAGACAACGGAGGGACCCGAATGAGAATGCGATATCAAAGCTGACCGGTGATGAATGGCTTATGGTATTTGATAATGTAAGGCGTTCTCGTCTGATTTTTGCCTCTATGTATCGCAAGCTGGTTGCTGACTTGGATCTAGCTGCGCGATCAAGACCCATGGTTTCTATCTCGGCTCTGCTTAGTCTCAAGGGCATTCCATACTCTTGCCACACCATTGCTCTATCGCTCAGTAGTTCTACCACGTCGGTTGGATGATTTAACGAGAAATCCTGACGGCTTGCTCTGTCGGCTATTGTCTGATTCACACATGCAGCTCAGGGCACACGTGCAAGAGTTGACAGTACCGCAGACTGCCGCTAGCTATTCGTTGGGACAGCGCGATGATTTCGAAGATCGAGACTATGTCGCTCAACTCGTGGAGCACTTGCCTAATCTTCGTCGTGTGCGGTATGTTTTGTTTCGGGTATATGGACGGATATCCGCGACATGACTAACATTAAGCATAGAGTGATGCACCCCCTTCCCCTTACCGATCGCTATATAGACAGCTTTGAGGGCCATCCTAACAAGCCGGAGCTGCATATACTAGCGTTCCAAGGGTGGGAGAAGACGCCTTCTCGCTCTTTAGATTTTGTGTCCACCATCAAAGCCAGTCTCCTTAGAGAAAGACAGCGGGTACAAACAGATGATGATAACCTCCCGAGCATGATGTTGAATTTCCAGAAGCTTTTCTTTTCTTGTCCGAACCTGAAGTCTTGCTCCTTGACCATGTTCGGTCCTTTCGAAAATCCCGACGCGCTCGCGACGTTTGAGATGACAGGAGAAGAAATATTCCCTCGACTCGAAAGCCTCTCACTAAATGGCTATTTTATTCGTCCAAATGAATGGCCTCACTGGCGCGACCGCTTTTCCTGGTCTTCGCTCTCTTCTCTCGAGGTGGGCCCACAACCAGAACTCACGGACAGATTGTTGCAGAAGCTCAAGGGGCACACTACCTCTTTAAAGAAGTTCAAGATAACTGTATGGACTGGAGAGGATGAAGCTGCTGCACAGGAACATCTTGAGGGGTTTCTCTATGCATTTGATAGCCTTGAAACGCTTGAAATAACAAATTTTGTTTGTCCTGTCGAAACAATGGCTAACCACAGAAACCTCGTCCGCCTCGCCGTTCATCTTGGAGAAGAATGGGACTCCGAAGAAGTTATCCCCTCGTGGAACGCTTCGGATATCGACTACTTGGATGACAACTGCCCAAATCTGGAGGTGCTTGAAATTGATTTTGAACGCCAGTCTGGCGCATGGGTGTGTTTCACTATCTCGGCGGTTCGAAATGAAAAACTCACGGCCATAATAGGATGACGAACTCTTGATATCTGTCGCAAAGGGCTTCGATTGTCTCCGTGAACTATGTCTTCATGTTCGTGTTGGCAGTGTTAGAGGCGAAGACCCACCTTTGACCCCTGTGCTCAATTACCAATCTGCACGAGAGATCGGATCTACCTTTTTCAAAGCTCGCAAGCACTCATTCGATTACTATCATTCGCGAATGCCCAATCAGAAACCGGATCAACTCGAAAGATTATCTTTAAAAACGGGGGTTGACTGGCATCTCTACAATCGCTTCGACGGAGATCAAACGGTGGAAGAACTAAACAAAAACACTTTTGAACTCCGAAAGCCAACTTTCAATACGGGGAAGTTGACCCTGGTTCACACAGAAAGAGATAAAATCGAGGCGCAAAATCGACAGGGGTATCCGGGTGCGACAGCTGAAAAAAATAAAAACTGTCATATGCGCAGGCGAAATTGGAGCGCTTCATGAGAACTATTTAGGAAGCATTAACATCCCCACACGAACCGAGTGAATCTGAGGACGGGGCTTCTTTCTGACAACTCTTGTGACGGCTCTCAACTTAGTGCATGTCAGCTGTGATTGGCCCCCAAGGGATCTTCATCGTCACGCCCGACTTGTACAAAGGCGGTCCAAAAGTTTGAAGACATCGCGCTATTTTTTTAGCGCGAATTTCGCGTCACCCCCCACCCATCTTCTTCAACTACCCCCTACACCACCAATATGCGTCGGTTTGGCACTGAAATAAGTGGCAATCGAAGGCCAGGGGGTGAGCTTTCATCTGAGGCCCGCGCAGCTATTATATACGCTCATGAATGTGGTGTATCGCCTACTAAAATGGCTGCTGAGTTCAACGTCGCACGCTCAACAATATACTCTACAATCAAACGATTCCGAGAGCACCAAACGCTCAAATCACTGCCTCGTTCAGGTGCCCCTAAAGTCTATAGGTACTCTACTATCAAATACACTTGTTTACTTGCACGCCGTGAGCCTTGGCTAAGCCTTAGTGAGCTGAGCGCCCGTATACCCAGTCATCCATCTCGATCAACAATCAAGCGATTCCTACGTTCAAAATTCCTCCAGCGCTATCGAGCAAGACGTTGTATCCCAATTTCGAGGGAGAACGCCCGCAAAAGAGTCCGATTTTGCCGAAATTGGAGGGCTGAACGCTACAATTCCCAACTACAAAGCTTCATCTTTTCCGACGAATGCAGCGTTCAACGTATCCCTAATTTAAACGGCCAATACGTTACCCGGCTTAGAGGAGAAGCTTACCGGCAGGGAATGGTACAAGTAAAGGTTCATGTGAAAGATATTTGTCAAATGGTTTGGGCTGGAATATGGCTCGGAGGGCGTACAAAACTTGTGATTATGGAGCGTGACTTTTCAGAAGGACAGCGAGGTCGCGGAGGTGGTTATACAACGAAATCCTACCTGAAAGCGCTTGAAAAAGGGTTTATTGAACACTATGAACCTGGAAATATATTTCAGCAAGATAACGCTAAAATCCACCGCTCCTACGTTGCTCAGCGATGGTTTGAACGTCATGGTATACATGTCATGGAATGGCCGCCACGCTCGCCAGATCTTAACCCTATTGAACCTGTGTGGCGTATGCTCAAACGTAAATTATATGAGCTCTATCCTAATCTACTACATTGTGGTACATCTGAGGCAGATTGGAAGCTATTTAGAGAGTGTATATCGGAGGCCTGGGATGTACTAGATCAAAATAAAATTGATAGTATAATTAGATCAATGCCTCAGCGTGTAAGCGAGACTCGTAAGGCACGTGGCTACTATACTCGGTTTTAGCGATTGAAATTTTGTTATATATTTTGTAATTGATTATTCTATATTATAGCAAAATTTGGTGCAATAACATTGCATATTGCATGCAATATATATATTTGAATGTAGGGTGGGTAAAATGGCAGTATTACCCGATTAGGCGGTGTCTTCAAACTTATGGCCCAAGATGGTATTTCCATTCGACTCCCAATTGAGGGACCTTACGTCTAGATGTCAGCCTTGAAGTCAGTTCAGACTTTCTCTGACAAAATCATCCCCGCAATACGTCATGAATCTTACGAAAGCGCTGCGAGGCTTCTCTGCACGGCCAATATAGGCGAGATCGGCGAGCATGCCGAAGTTAGCCCCCACGGGCCGTGAAGTCCGCTGGTGGCAACCCCAAGCTTGACTTTCAAGTAAGCCCAGGGGCAAGAAGCGACGTTCGAAGGGTCTTGGCGGTACCTTGTATGTCGTCGAGATTTGTTGTTGAATATGTCCGAATGAAGACATGGGTCGTTGCACAACTAATTTCTCTCCACGCAAATAATCTGCCATTCAACGATTCCCCATCTATATGTCTTCTTTTCTAGAACCTGTGACACATAATCCCGAGCGGGCTGATCCTGTAAGATATCTTCATAATGACTTGTGCTCTACAGTTGGCATAAGATTTTGGCAGCAACCATACTTCCAAGGTTTTCACGGAATCCAAAGTGGAGCAAGAGCGCAAAGTAATCCCCAAGGAGTGTACGATCCTACGCCCTGAAGAAGCCCCTGCATCTTGGCACTTGCATTCAATCGACCGGAATAAGCCACAGATGCAAATCAAAATGGCCCCCAGTAAGATCTAAGGACACCCCAAGCTGGGAATGGACAATTCAACCTTCAGTTATGTCTGCTTCATAGTCTGTTTGTAGACTAGGTTAGATATCTTGTCCGCATTATAGTGATGGTTCGAAAACATGCATGCCGCTTGATGAAAATTCGCGATAATGTATATGGAATGTGTTGCTGTCAAGTTTGATTCAGTTTTATCGAAGAAACGAGACGAGATGATCGACACGGATATTCATAGACTTTCGCTCAGATCCTTGCAATGTTGTATCAACTCGGGCAATGAAGATCAATTCTTTTCTGGATGTTTCAAGTTCAAGTTGGTTCTTGATCAAGAAATCTGACGTCGATTGTACTGCGGAGCACCCCTGGGGGCCTCAAAAAATGACCTTCCCAGTAATGATATACCTAGCAGGAAAAAGTTATATAAACAACCAAGATTTCCCGAAAACATCTGGGCATCATCAACCTCGGAATCATTACTATCTCACCTGGACAGCAAACCCTTCAATTCCTCGAACTTGAACGAACAAATATCGATCATCATGTACAAGTACAGTGCACTCTCCGGTCTCCTTTTGGCTGCCTCCGGCATCCACTTGGCGAAGGCAGACTCCTGCTACGCTGTTGGACATCTCAACACCAATTCTGAAGGTTGGGGTCTAGGCGGAACCACTTATGCCGGTAGCCAGGGGCTGGATTTGTACAATTCGAAGGATGAGCTGATTGGCAGCTATGATCTGTGCAATACCTGCAGCGGTGTCTGCTCTGACCTCCTTCATGTCCCGACCAGCAATCTGTCCGAAGTCTTCTCCTGGGGTGCGACGTGCGGTGACTCTGGTTTTGAGTACGAAAATATCCCCCCCCCCCCCAAAAATACATGCTGCCAGATACTAATTTGGATTTCCGTACAGTGAATGCCACGGTGCCTACGGTACACAGACCCACATTGATGGCGACGAACCGGAGAGTGGTACCGACTTCTACGGTCTTGGAATTGATGCGACCTCTGAGTGCCGCGTCAACTTTGACTGCTAGACGTGTGACGGACTTTTGTTTTTATAGAATCTTATTCTAATTTGTTCTGAATAGCTCGAATCAATGGCTTGTGCGGCGAAGCTTTCGAGTTACCATCTTGCTACCTAGGTAGTGTTGGACTTTGAGACCCTCATCCCATAAGAGACAGGAGTGTTTATAAATACTTGGAGGTCACAATGACAATTCACTTCAAAGGGCCAGTGGGACGAGGCTATAGTAATTCTAAACATAACGTACACCCATATGAAGCAATGAAACTACTAAACTTGGTTTCCTTCAAGTATTTGCCCTCTCCGTATCGGTACTATTTTCCGTAGGTCTTATAGTTATGGAGGAAGGAGCCTACACACTGGCAGTGATCTTCCGTTTTCTTAGTCCGCAGTTTTCAAGTTGACGGTTGTGCTTCCCCCGAGGAAGGCTGAGGCGCGACATGTATAGTATATTCTTCAGGGCCTCGAAATATTTCTCTCGTCAACAAACTGCACGTATCCAGGTGGACACTGTTACTGCGACTGCTACCATCAGTGGCAGCGGGAAAGCTTTTTTCAACCCCCCCCCCCCTCCTGGGTGACGCCGACCATTTTAATAGCAATGATTTTAGGGGCCGTCCTCTAATTCTGCTGTGCTGTAAGAAAAAGACCTTAAAGGATGAGAACAAGGGCCCGGGCGAGCATCAAGGCATCCTTGAAAGGGTGAAGGTCGGCCAGAGTAGTAGTACTAAGCAATGACTATGCGTGGCGGGGAACTGACAATGTGGGGTCAGGTCAAGTTATATCATACTAATTTTGCAATCATAATACTAGATCGAATCGAGATGCTCGGATATGTCGGCCGAGGCGGCACGAGGGGGAAAAATGAAGGCCAAGGCTGGGAGAATTTATTCGGTACCAGTAGTGCCTGAGAAAATCACTCAGAAGGCCCACAATGTAAGTAATTAGCGCGAACAAAGTCGCCAGTTTCAAGTTGCAGGGAACCTTTCTTGAGCTAGCCATTGCTATCAGAGCAGAGGCTTCACCAGCCAACTATCGAACGCAAATATGAGACGTTTTTGCATACCTACCGCCTGTGAGAAAGTCAGCATAATCTGAGGACGAGAAGCGACAGGTCAAAGCGCAATCTCTGCCGCGAACCTAGTGCACAAATTATCTAAAAATCCACCGCTGCAGGCTAGTGTGATCAGATAAATCTTGATTCTCGCAAAGGGCGCTTTTCTCGGGTGGCTATATTCCCGATTGCAACGGTCGGACTACATCGGGCTTACTGGCCCCCAGTTTTCATATGGGTGTCTCGGACGCTGTCCAATCAGCTTTTAAACTCAGTTTGATATTCATCTGATAACCCTTTTTGGAAGGCCGTATTTGCGGGTGCGTTCGAAGTGGGCAAGGGACGGTCGGACACACGAAATTTGAGGGAAGGTTTGGAGAAGAGCGGGAAATTCAGAAGCAAAAGGCCATCGTTGAACAAGCAATGGGGTGTTCGGGGAGCGCGTTAGAGGCTGGACCCTGTGTCAAATGGTGTTTCCACTTGGATCTCGCTGCTGGATCCGAGATCGGAGTGCCACATCACACAGAAATGAATAACTGGGTGTGCTGATTGGCAGTGAGAAAGGGCCCCAAAGATGATGCCCGGATCATATGTTGGTGTCCGGTGAAATTATCTGATCTCGTTGGGCCTAGGTAAGGATCGGTCGCATCTCAAGCAATGAGGTGGGTTTAAATAAGTGGACCTGGGGCGTCGGAGGCGTCTCTAAGCCGTGCCAAGCGCATCTTAGGGGTAAATCCTCTCCAGTTTCGGGGTGGCCGAGAGGAGGCATAGAAAAATTTATTGGACCCTTTTTCCCTCTCTTTCCGAGTCTACCCCTCCGACCTTGCTTCACATTGCTCACATCGACTACACTGCAACATCCACCGCGGATTTGTGAGTGCTGTCCGGTCCACGGATTGTCCGAAAATATAATCCCGGGTGCCATCATGAGTAACCGCGGCATCCTTCGCAGCCGAAATGCGAACAATCGCTGGCCATGGTCTACCAAGACGCAAGAAGAGCAGACGAACGAGCATACATCAAGTTCAAACGATGCTGAAGCTCCAGCGCTGTCGGCACGCGATGAAAAGGAAGTCAACGAGCGTCCAGATGAGATCAACTTAGATGCGAAACCTGGTTTGCAAAAGGCCGAAGCAGTTGCTCTTATTTGGAGTAGAAAGACCGTTATTTGTCTCCTCGCTTGGTAAGAATTTATAGGCTCCATCACTTTCCTATGGAACCGTGACTACGGCATGGTTTTAATCCGATACTAACTCAATATCCCACAGGGTTTGGGTCTGTTACATGATATTGGCATTGCACCAGATCATCTTGAGCAATATTACAGTCTTTGTCTATTCGTCCCTTGAATCTGCACCACAAATCACAAACGCCTACATTATGGCCAACATTATCGGTGCTGTTTTGAAACTGCCACTGGCTAAAACCCTAAACCTTTGGGGTCGTGCGGAGGGGATGATGATATCCCTGGTCATATATCTGGTCGGTATGGTCGTCTTGGCAGCTTCCAACGATCCCACTACATACGCAGCCGGTTATACCATCTATTTTATTGGATACGACTGTATCTATTTGCTACTGCAGATCTTCGTGGCTGACACTACCGGACTGCGAAACCGAGCATGGGCATTTGCCTTCTCAACAACACCATTTATATGCACATCATTTGTTGGCCCGTTGGCTGCAAAGTCATTTGAGGAAACTGGATGGCGCTGGTCGTTTGGCGTCTTCGCCATTGTGGCACCTTTCGTGTTCGTTCCATTGATCCTTGTATTCAAGTACTACGAACGGAAGGCGGAAAAGTTGGGGCTTTATCACCCTCAGCCGAGTGGTCGCACTTGGTCTCAAAGTGTTGTTCACTACTTCCATGAATTCGACGGTAAGTTGGGCCTTTTTACTTTAGCTTGAAGCCTCTGCTCCATTCATTGTACATCCTGCTGACCCTCGAGTAAAAGTGATCGGTGCTTTCATTTTGATGGCCGCTTTCGTCCTATTCCTACTACCTTTCAGTCTTATCACGAACGGAAGATCCAGCTATAATACTCCTACCTTTATCGCCATGGTGGTTATCGGATTTTGCCTGTTTTTCGTCTTTGCCGCTTGGGAGAAGTGGGGTACTCGATCCGAGTTTATTCCTTGGGCGCTACTCAGCAATCGCTCTGTTCTGGGCGCTTGTTTACTCTCTGCTCTTCTCTTCTTCAGCTTCGACCTATGGGACACATACTTCCTGAATTTCCTCTACGTCGTGTATAATCTCGACGTCACGATGGCGGGGTACGTTTTCAATATCTACACCGTCGGATCTTGCTTTTGGTCCGTTCCAGTCGGAGTCTTCATCTACTACACAAAGAGATTCAAATATCTGGCTCTGTTTTTTGGTTTGCCACTTATGATGCTCGGCTCTGGATTGATGATCTACTTCCGTGGCAGTGATCAAGGAGTTGGGTACATTGTGATGTGTCAAATATTCTACGCATTTGCCGGTGGTACCATGGTCATTTGTGAAGATATGGCTGTCATGTCAGGCGGAGATCGCGAAGGCATTCCGATGACGCTCTCCTTGATCATGCTGTTTTCTAGCATTGGTGGAGCTATCGGTGGAGCTGTTGCATCTGGAATCTATAACAACACATTCGTGGACACTCTTACCAAGGCTCTGCCTGATGATAAGAAATCTCAGGCAGCGACGTTGAGTTTAAGCTATATCAGCCAGATAGCTTACCCAGTGGGTGACCCAGTTCGTGAAGCCTGCGCTTACGCTTGGGGCTACACCCAGAGGCAAAATGCTATTGCGTCCACTGCCATCTTGGTGCTTGGCATCCCGTGCATCATGATGTGGAAGAACGTCAATCTGGACAAGAAGCAGAACAAGGGCAATGTCCTCTAAGCCTGTGGAGCTCTATCAATCATGAGGAGATAGGCTTAGGGCCACATGGATGTGAACGGCCCAGCGTTATGATTCGGTATAATGTAAATTTTCAATCAGGTTAATAGTATATCGGGCAATGGAGCTTGGAAGATTTTCCAACAGGAAAATCTTCAGGAAAGCCTGCACAGAATATAGTTATTCATATCTATGAACCGCTCGTAGCTAGTCAAAAAGTAGACTTTTCTTTAAAGAATCTAAATCAGGCTTCTGAATTTCGATTTTAGGGCGCGATATCTGATCGAACTTACATGGCAGGTAATATTCGCAAATGAAGTTGCCTGACAAGATTAGCGTGCTATATAACTGTAAAATAATAATTGATTTGGTGACTCGATTGAAGAGTCCGTTATAATCCCATGAAATTGAAAGGAAGCTAAATTTAAACTAAAGAGATATACTTAAGATCCCTCGATCACTTCAAGTTAAACATTCATTGGCACCGGAGCTTCCTAATAGTTAGTAGTCAGCTAAAAACCCACACGCACAGGCCAGAAAGTCATTGGGGGCACTACCTTCGTCATCCATAGATATGAATGTTTCTTTCTTGCGCTTCGTTAATTCTAGATGCATACTAGACCAATAAATATATAGGCATTGCGATATACTTCTACAGGCTCTATACACTGAAATGAAGCCTCTCAATTCCAAACTCACATAGACTTGGCTCCTCCTATGTCAAACTTGAAGCTGAATTATGTATGTTTCAAGGAGTCTTGGCCTCGCATTGCAATGATATTTGTTCCATCGCATCGCTGTTAGTTAATGTAGATTTTCACTGTGGGATATAAGCACCATTGTCATTTTTCCCACGAGATACTAAGATTTTGGGTTCAGGACGCGCTAAGAGTCAGCTTGAGTAGTATAGAAGAGTAGGTTCTTCGATTTTTCTACGCTTGAGCCCTGAAGCTAGAGCCACCTGCGCCCGACCCAGAATAGGTAGCCGACCCACCCATGGAAGTAATCCTCGCGAGATCCACAAAAGAATTATCCAACTCTCATACTAGTATTTTGCAAGTATATAAACATCGCCATTTCATAAATATTGACGATACAGTTCAGCTGAAGTCTTGGTCCTGATATATAAGCTTCGGAGGCGCTGCATCACAAGCTCTTCCCCTGCATCGCGGCAGGGGCGGATGATTAATTTGTGAGATTGTACAATCATCGAGCAAAAGTGCATCAATTCGACAACTCGAGTGTTCTCTCTTGTCTCAATTATGCGATGGAAGAAACCTGGAAGTTCCCATCTCATCTCATTCCGGCCCGAGATGTCAACATCAAGCCCGGGAAGTTAAATTGATTGAAACTGAATCTATCAGTTTGTCGATCACCTCACGCGAGGTATTTCCTCCACCATGGCTGGCTCATTGCGACCAGACACGAGGTCTAGGCAGGTGATGGGGGCCATTTGGCCCCACGGACTGCACGATGAATGGTTCGAAATGGCTAAATCGATCTTTTCACTGGCTGCGCCTTCTGGAATCACGTCATTTGCCCTAAGCAGTGGTGATGATGCACGGACTTGGCGGATATCGAGGAACATCATGTCGCATTCTTTGAAATGAGCCCCAATTCCAGGGCCGAGGCTCTAAATTTTGTCCGACGTCAATTGTCTGTTGTCTTGACCTGATTGACCTGAATTGCCCACCGTCACTCCTGCTACGTGCCTTTGGGGGCGCTTGTGACCATCGTGATGCCGACGATATCCAAAGAGCAGTTGGACACGATCGGGGTCGCGGGGCGAGTCACTTCAGTTCTCTCGATCTTAGGCTCTGCTACTATAGTCGCTGCGTTCATGTGTTCACGGTACCTCCGAAGTCCTATTCATCGAATAATATTCTTCAATGCTTTTTATAACCTCTTCGACTCTGTCGCGACGATGATTTCCGTCAATGGACCATATGCAGGCGACTACTCGTCCTTGTGTCAATTTCAAGGATTTGCACTTCAAATGTGTGTTCTTCATTCTTAGCCATGAGGAGAAGAAAGAGCAAGCTGATGATAATATACTAGGTTTCCGATCGCCGATGTACTTTGGACATTCGCTATGGCCCTGGACACGTACCTCGTGGTCTTCCATCGTTTCGATACCCATTCACTACACAAACTTGAGAAATACTATCTTTCGATTATAACTATCGTCACATTCATTCCGGCCCTGGTATTTTTATTTATTCGAACACCAGCGAAGGGTCCTGTATACGGCAGTGAGAAGGTAAGCTCCGCATTTTCCCACTTCAAGGCCCACGCCATCTCCACGAGACACCGACAAGCTAATTTTGAGCAGATATGGTGCTCCATATCCCCAAAATGGGTGGTCCTTCGGATCGTGCTATATTACGCGCCCGTGTGGTATGTGCAGAGCAGATCTGGCTCCAAGTCCTATCCAATGACTAGATTGATAGATTGATTAATTTTGACTCCCACAGGCTCGTGATCGCCATTGTCCTAGTATTATACTTTCTGATCGGCGTCGAGATCTCACGTTTACGAGACGAATTCAAATTAACCGAGGACTCCGATCACATCCAACTCACCTCACACGTTTCCTCCCACCACACACCCTTCGAAAACCCAAATGGCTCGGTCATCACAACAGTCGAGGCAACCAAACCAAAGTCTTCCCAAGGATTTGACTCCGGTGTCACCAGTCAAACGTCCGTCGAGCGTTCTATCACTACACTTCGGCCCGATTCATCAAGGCCATTCCCACCGAACTACCAGCTCCCGACACAAAGACGGATGTCGTTCAGACAATACATCCTCATGCCATCTCTGTTCTTTTTGGCATTGCTCACAACGTGGGTTACACCAACTATCAATCGAGTCTCTGCGTTTATCCATCCGGGATCGGAATCCTATTCGCTTTTGTTGGCTGTCAGTGCACTAGGGTCCCTTCGTGGATTTTGGAATGGCGTCATCTTCGTCACTATGGGGATGAAGGGCTGGAAACAACGAGCGATTGAACGAAGGACACGATATAAAGTAAGTCAACAGATATTTCCGAGTTCTGCCAGTGTTCATATCCTCCAAGAAATGCTGACTCGAACTTGTCAGGCAAGGCACGGTGTTAGATAAACTCCAGCCGATAATTCAATTAAAAGAATAGAAAATATGGGATAATGCACTTTTGAATTCAATTTTTGATCATCCAAACACATGCTATTTAAATAGAAGCAGCCTCGTTGATTTATCATCGAATTGAGTTCATATAGTTGCCAGTGGGCGATTGCCGGATCTCGCATCCAAGAATCGGTCTTCTCTCCGGAGAAACATCGCGCGTCTCGGACACGGATAAAGCGAGGGGAAATCCGCCATCATCTACGGGGCTGTAGACGCGTATTTAAAGGCCTTTCCGTCCAAATGCTATCATTCAATCCATACGACGAAATATTAGAAGTAGCCAGAGAAAATGGTCACCAAACCTACTGTACTCCACATCGGAGACGCCATCAAATACAACCACGATTTCTACGACAATGAATTCACCTCTCGATTCAACGTCATTCAAGCAACAGAAACAAACAGAGAAGATTTTATCCAAGCCTTGAAATTGAAGAAGTAAACACAAACCCCACTTCCATCTAAACCACAGACTTCCACCTCTCTATCTACCTGCATTACTTCAAATATCCCACTAACCCCGGCAACCTCCCAGATACGGTCCCTTCTCAGCCCTCTTCCGCCCACACTTCCAAACAGGCGGCTTCATGGGCCAATGGGACAAAGAACTAATCCCCCTCTTACCATCAAGCATGCGAATCTTCGCCTCAGCAGGAGCAGGCTTCAACTGGGCCGACACCGACCTCCTCGGCGCAAGAAAGATCTGGTATGCCAACGGCGCTGGCGCCTCCGACGAAGCAGTCTCCGATACAGCCCTCTACATGATCCTCAGCGTATTTCGAAACTTCACGCGCTCTCAACTCGCAGCACGAACCGCTGATCCGGAAAAATTCACAGCAACGCATCGGCTCATTGCGACGATTTCGCAGAATCCCCGCGGCCATGTATTAGCCGTCATCGGGTTTGGAAATATTAGCAGGAAATTGGCGTATAAGGCGCGGATGGCGCTTGGGATGAAAATCCATTACTTTGATATTGTTCGTGCTGATAGGAAGGTGGAGGAAGAGTTGGATGCGACGTTTCATGAGTCTTTGGATGAAATTTTGCGGATTGCGGATTGTGTTACGATTCATACGCCGTTGAATAAGTATACGCAGGATTTGATTGATGATCGGGCTTTTGCGTTGATGAAACCCGGGAGTCGGATTGTTAATACTGCGCGTGGGGAGGTTGTGAATGAGGATGCGTTGGTGAGGGCGTTGGAAAGTGGTCACATTTCTGCGGCTGCTTTGGATGTGCATTATCACGAACCGCAGGTTTCGCGGAAATTGGCGAGTATGGAGAATGTTACGCTGACCACGCATATTGGTGGTGGTGCTTTGGATACGAGGATCAACTTTGAGCTGAATGCTATGAAGAATATTCTCGCGGTTGTGGGATCGGATGGGGAATTTGTTGGACAGCCGCTCACTCCTGTGAACACCAAGGCCTTCGAGGGGGCAGCGCAAGAATAAAGAATGAATGAATGATAATACTCGACTTCGAACCATTCTATGGTATATAGTTTGATTTTGATGCGTTTTGTATATAAGGGGGGTTTCCTTTCTATTAATTGCCCTCCTTCGGGGGAGGCGAAGCGTCCTCCTCTGCGCCTTCAACAGCAGCAAGGGCATCTTTCTGATCGTTGACATTCTTGCCACCAGACGCAGCCTTTGGTTTTTCTGAACTGTCGGTGGGAGCTGTAGCGAGTTTAGCCGCCGCAATACCTCCGGCAGTGGTATACAGAAAGTGTTCTTGAGGGAAGTGGTCAATGTGGTTGAAGAAAGAACCGAATCTGCAGTTGAAGTCAGTATTATAACAGCGATATCCTATGAATCCAATAGAACTTACTGTGTGGTATCCTCCTCCTCGCGGAAGATCCGGTCATAGATTTCCCGCTGTTTGAACTCGTTCATAGCCGCAGCATACTTTTCAAAGTCGATGGGGTCACGGTCGAGGGTCTTTGCTTTGCTATTGTAGTTATCAAAGATGGGGCGCTCGAGCAATAAGCCCAGTCCAGGCGCTTTGGGAATGGCGATACGATCAGGGCCGTAGGTATCCTTGATACGGTCTGGAGTACAACCGGAACGAACAACAAGGGCACACATAGCAACCATCTTGCGAATCTGATGCATCATGAAGCTCTGGCCGTGGACCTTCAAGCTCAGCCACTCGGTGCCATTGATGACAATCGGCTCCGGGTTCACCTTGAATGACTTGATGTGACGCTTAGCGGAAGGATCCTTGTGTGTTTTTTGCACGGTGTAGTTGTGGAAGTTTTGAGTGCCTTCATACTGCGTCAGGCACTCTTGGAGGCGTGTTACGCGGGATGAGGGGACGCGGTAATCTTTCTTGGCCCGGATGTAGGCGGCCTTGATTGCCTTGACGGTGTCGGTAACCATTTGTTGCTGGGGGGTCATCTTGAAAGGCTTCTTCTCCGCAGGCTCAGAGGGATTTTCCGGCGATTCGTCCTTTGTTTCGGGCGTAGCCTCAGCTTCGGCCTCGGTATCGGCCTCCTGTGCGGCTGCTTGATCCGCGTCATACCAGAAGAGAGACTTTTGTACAATCGCGCGGACATCTTCGGGAACGTTGTCCAGAATAGGCTTGATGTATGTCTTATCGACCTCCTCCCACCAACCCGCCACCTCATCCTGTCGAGACTTGAGGTCATCCGTCTGGCCGGCCTTGTCGGCCAATTCCACAATCTTTTGGCCCAAGTAGGTGCTGGGGTGGGGCGGTAGAAGGCAATAGCTGGGCATCAAGTATTCGTAGACTCGGGAGTCGACTAGCTGATAGCAGTTGAATCCACTAGTAGTTGGCTCAACACCCCAAACTCGGATTTGGGGACCCAGCTTCTCGTTGATCTTCTCGACGATATCCGGGTCCTCAATGATCATCTTCAGTGAAACCACATTTCCAGCAGCATGCACACCCTTATCGGTTCGAGCGCAGCGAACGAATGACGACTTCTTGGGGTCTTCGGCGTTGGCTTTGGAGATGGCACCGGCGGAAACAAGAGCGGCGAACAGGTCACCCTCGATGGTTCTTTGGTTCTCGTTCCTAGGAGAGAAATATCAGCATTCCAATTGATAGGCATATCTGGGAGATTTCGCATTGAACATACAATTGCATGCCAAAGTAGCCGGTGCCCGAGTATCCCATCAAGATAGCCACCTTCTTCTTCGGCCGACGCTCTTCCTTCTCGATTTCCTCCTTTGAAAATTGAGTGGCATAGATTGGAGCGGTGACTTCCTCGCCATTTTCGATCTTGCGACGCTTGTTCTCGGCCTGTCGCTCGGAACGGTCTCTTTTATTTATGGCTTGACGACTTCCTTAGTTAGCCAATTGCGATTCCACAGACAGCGCAAGGAATAGCTTGTATATAATCAAGTCAATTGACATACCTGAACTCCTTCCTTCCCATATCGCGGTTCTTACGCCTTCCACCAGCTCGTTCTCCTCCGCTTTGGTTGTCGGCCATGATATGCGACTGAAGATCTCGTCTAGCTCTGGGCGCTTGTGTTGGGAGCCAATGGATCGAGCTGAAACTCGAACAGGAAGTGACGAGGAGAAAGAGTGTAGACGAGTTGGAAGATTTGGAAGAGTCTGGAAAGTTGTGAAGGTCGCTCGATTGCGACAGAAACGGAAGGCACGCATTAACTCGGCTGGCAGAAATCAAAAGGTCGCACCTTCCGCCGCAGCGCAATTCCCATATGGCAGGCACGCTAGTCCAGATACAGCCTAGTGTGTATCTTAGTCATTCCCAAACAAACAGTGCAAACACGCATGTGACGTGAAGCTCTCGGAGCCGCATTGCTGCTTTTGCCTTTGCCTTTCATCTTCACTCACTCACTCGCCTTCTTTCACTCGCTCACCCTTCACCAGGCCTAGCGCTCACCCCCAGCGCTACTCTGTGCCGACTCTGACCCTCAATCCCTCGACATTGTCTCTCGATTCCCAAGAGATGATGATCTATATGCTTCCTTGAACTTTGCGACTCGAAGCTTCGCCTTCCTACTCGACTCGACTCAACTGTCACAACAGACCTATCCCCGAGCTGTCGCCGCGATGGATCTCTCCAACACTTTGATTCGCAGCGTGGTGCGCGCCTTCTACGAAACCAGACACATCCTGGTCGTGGATGCGCTCTTCCTGCACTCAGTGTATGTCTTTCTTTGAGATGCCTCTAAAGCCAGACACCTTTGACTCATTCCCGTCATAGACTTCATGCCGAGGACCTTGCTTTCTTGATGGGCATGCAACAAAAGGATCTGCGAAAGCTATGCGCTCGTCTGCGCGAAGACCGCTTAATCGCCGTGTAAGGGACCCTCCCTTTCCACCACCTCCACCTCCACCTCCACATCCGCCTTCACCTCATACTAACATCACTGGCACCCCAGGAGCACACGTGCTGAGATCCGCGATGGCTCAACTCGCCCCGTCAACCGCGAATACTACTACATCCCACTGCACCCCGTTGTCGACGCGATCAAATACAAAGTCTCGCAATTGACCTCTACCATCAAACTGCAATACACCCCCAGCGAAGAAAGAAAGGAATACATATGTCTCCGATGCTCAGCAGAATGGACCGAACTCGACGTCCTCAGTCTAGTCTCCGACGAGGGCAACTTCGAATGCCAAAATTGCGGCGCAGTCCTCGAACGCACCGAGGACGTAAAAGGCGTCGAGGGCATCGACCGAACCGGCCATGAGAAAAACAGCAAACTAATGGCCCAACTAGACAAAATGCTCAAACTGCTCAAACAAATTGACTCGGTCGAGATTCCACCCAACGACTTCGACACAGCCTGGGACCACAAAGTCGAAGTCATCCGCAATAACCAAACAAATCCTATCCGGCCCGCAATCCCCGTTCCACCAAAGGCACAAGACGCCACCCGCGCAAGCGCCAAAACGGACAGCGCAGCGCTGGAAATCAGTCTCACGTCCAGCGCGGAGAAATCCGCCGCCGACCAGGAAGAAGAAGCCCGTCGCAAAGCGGCTCTCGAGAAGCAAAACGCTTTGCCAGTCTGGCACACCCACTCAACTGTCAACGCGAATAATGGCGCAGGTGGAACTGCAACAGTCAAGAACGAAGCCGGAGTCCCGATCAAAACCGACGGTGTCGACGAAGACCAAAAGCCCTCCCTCGACGAACTGGACGACAAAGTCGCAGCATACTACGCGGAAATGGAGCGCGAAAAGGCTCTCCAGGCCCAAGAAGACGCTAGTAGCGCCGAAGAAGACTCGGATGACTTTGACGAATTCGAGGACGTTAACGTCTCTGTTTCCGGTCAAAGTGGTCCCGCCACCCCAGTCCCCGGAGCCGCGCCCACCAGTGTTCCGACACCTTCATCTGGTATTGCGGGTCTCAAGCGCGAGCATGATACGGGGTCCAGTGCGGCTCCGTCATCCGTGGGCACACCGTCTACCCCTCCTGATGATGGGCCCGCCATGAAGAGGGTTAAGACTGAACCCGGTGTTAAGGAAGAGCCGGGTATCAAGCCTGATCCAGAGGTTAAGCAGGAGGCCGATATTAAGGACGTGAAGAAAGAAGAGGAGTCCGATGAAGATGATGAGGAGGAATTTGAGGATGTTTAATGTGTTACTTGCATGGGGATCAGAGCGGAACGAAAAGAAAAAATAGCAGTCGTTGCTTTTATTGATCATGGCATTGGCGCTGGCGCTCGGCATATGATCTATTCTGTACTTTATTTTACGACTCGGAGATATCTTGAAAACAATTCATCCATGATTGACATTGTCATACTAGTTATGTATTATAATAGTACCATGGTAGTGGCAATCATATCAGGCGGCGGCGGCTTCCCACTTTGGGAGATCCATCAACATCATCCTTCTACCATTTGAACACCTAAGTATGTACTTGTTACTACGCACCCCACGCCTTCCAAGCCCGGGTATCAATAACACCCTTCAAATTCCAACCCAGACAGAACTTTACAGAAAAAGAAAAAAGAAAAGCAAAAGACTTGAAGAAACCCACACTAAAATAAAGTGTGTGCAAGAAATCTCTGTCATAGCGAAGCAAAGAAATAAAAGTAAAAAAACGAAATCATGATAGCAACACCAGACGCCTAGAATGACGTCCAAAAAGGAAGACGTCCACGCCCACGCCCACATCCACATTCACGTCCACAGAATCAAAGATCAAAATCTCATGGGTCATAAAAAGTCGTAGGAGGCATGTTATCTCATCACAGGGTTGTGTTTATTTCATATTCATTCATCGCTCATATTCATGCTCATGCTCATGCTCACGCTCACGCTCACGCTCACGCTCACCCATCCACCCCATCCACCCCACACCACCCATTTCATGAAACTCGCAAATCATCTCGAAGTTGAAGTCGAAGTCGAAGTCGAATCGCTCGCTCAATGCCATCGCAGAAACAAAGTCCCCACAGAAAGTAAAACCGGAAAATAAACACAGAAGGAAAAGCCAATGAAAAGCCCACCCTTGCAAAATACACAAGCGTAGAAAGGATAGAGGAGAGTCGGGTAGGGGGCAGCGTGGCAAGGGTAGGCGGGTAGGCGGGTAAGCGGGGGAATGAATTCATCAAATCCATCAAGGAGAAACCGTAAGTCCTATTTCATCGTCGCTAGCCAGGGGGGAAGTATTTTCCCACATCTCGGGGGTTGGAGGATCGGATTCTTCTGGTGGGCCCCGGGGTAGGGTTAGAAATTGGGCTTGGAATTGGGGTTGAGATGGAGGCGAATGCGTGGTGCAAAGGGACGCATACCTGATTCGAGGTCGTCGGCGACTTCGACCGTCAATTGATCCAGGATGAGGAGGGTTTCTGTGTATGCGTTAGCAAGCTACATTAAGAGAATTCTCCAGAGGAAAGTGAGAGCGAGCGAGCAATACCCGGTGGGGGGGGGGGACTTACGATTAGCTTCTTCCATAGCCTTCAAGTCCTGCTCGCTGTCATCGTAATATAAATCCAGACAACAGCGAATGGCAGAGGTAATGGCGGAAACTTGTCTCGACTCAACAGACGGGAGTGAACTGCTTTCGGTAAAGGTGTGAGAGATACGCAGAAGACAGGCAGCGACCAGTTCATGGGCAATCATTGAGCGATGCGCCTTGGCTTCATCATACAAGTCATCATGTTCGACAAACAACAAACCATCAACGAGCTCATAAGTACTATTGCGCACCCTTCGGTCCGTGTCGATGAGTAGGGTCGGTGCAAAGTCCGGGATGTGATCTTGAACGGCTTGGTTGAACCATGCGCGAGATAGCCCGGCCCGTTCATTCTCAGATTTGCATAGGAAAATGAAGAACTCTAGATGGTCTAGTCCCGCCACATTGTTTATCGACTCGACTCCCTTTGCGACGTGGTCAATCAGACCGAGGACACTCCTCTTGTCCGGACTCTTCTGGCAAAATACAAGCGTGGCGTCAAGGTATGGAATGCAGACTTCAACCGGTGATAGCCGCAGACCATTCTCTAGTGTCTTGACAATATTGTGAAGGAACCCTGAACCAGGCTCCGACTGGAGATAGGATTCAATGATGTACCGAGTGTTTGTCAATTCGGAGAAGTTTTCAGTTTGGAAGAGCTTCATCAACAATGGAATATACCCGTCATCGTTTGTGGACAAGAGCATCTTTGCTTCCTTGACATTGGGGGCATACTTTCCCCTCGCAGACAAGATCCGCTGTTCGTTAGCAAGAACCGGAGTCAGGGAGAAGTCAAGCGACGCCACTAGCGTCGTACAGAGGTGCATCAATTGACCGTATGAGAAGCGACGTCCCTTCTCCACCAGCCTGCTATAATGCAGGTATGAGCCCCTCAGTCTTGCTTTATCATTATGGTCGAGCCAGAGCACGTCCAGACACTTGACAAGGATCCCATGATCCAGCATAACGCCAACATGACTCATACCGGCCTGTGCGAGACGAGAGAAGAAGTCGAAGTAGTCATCCCAGGCACGAGCCACTGTGAGAACATTTGGCCAGAGCTCTTCGAAAAGATCGACAATGTTCTCGACAATTCGCTCAAACTGAACTTGGCAAGTCTTTCGTTCACTATCATCCAAGTCCATCTGGGACAGGTGTTTCTGATAAAGCTTCAGTGCCGAAGTGATCATAAGCAGCCCACGCTGGCGAATTTCGGCATCCGCGTTCGCAGTCTTGAGAACCAGATTTCCGATTGAAGTTGGATGCTCGCAAAACCACCAGAGCGCCCGGGAAGCTGTCTGTGGGCTCCGGCGCAGCATTCCGTGAAGCTCACTGACAATATCCTCAGCCCCCATGTGACCTTTGTTTCTTGCGATCAACTGCTCAAATGTATCCAATCCAACGCTGACAGCTAATGATTCGGAAGTCTGCTTGTCTGGGTAGCTTGGAGATATCTCCTGGACAAGCCGCAATTGATGAACCACAAGGCTGGCATACAAAGGATCCAGCAAGCAATAAGCCCGGATGAAGACTTCATTTTCCATGGTGATCTGGTTGGCCAGCGGAATTGGTACCGACGCGCTGACTGGGACGCCGGGCTTGGCGGGCTTGTAGATTTGCTTGGATTTCTCAATGGAAGAAACACGTTGATAGAACAACATGTAAGCGCTCCAGAGCTTATTCATTGGAACACCGCCCAGGTTGTGCATGGCCTCTGTCTGGCCACCGAAGCATTGATCTGCAATATTCGTCGGGTCGAATGTGCTAACATCCGCGTCGTTGAACTCCACCCAGGAAGGTGAATTTTCGGTGCTGGGCCGCTCGCGGGTGTACGAGTAGTAGTGTCCCGATTCAGCAGTGCCAGTATGAACAAGCACTCCGACGAGCTCAAAGATATCTGGCTCAGCGGATTTCTCTGGTTCCGACAGATACTCGACATTGTATGGTGTCATGTCGATGAGATCGGGGAACTGGAATTGATCGTTGATCTTGCTTCGCAGCATGGTCACCATATCGAAATCAAATCGTTTTAGGTGGAAGATCAGATTGTCTGGCACATCTTTCAGACAGGCCCTAGTATCATGGTTAGCTAGAGTTCTGTGCACCAGCTACCTCAAAGATCGACTAACCGTTTGACCGCATCCACATGGCGGCCACATGATGTGCAAGAATATTTGTTATCTGTGATAGTGATAAATATTAGAAATGCAACCAGACGTAGATGTCACTGTCACTCACCTCCTTGCATGATTTCACCCTCGAACGTATGCCTGCAAACTCTCCTCAAGACTGGCCTTCCCCTTGATGTCACATTGAATGGCAGAGAACGGCTCCAACCTTTCTGAGATGTGCGGGCACTCTTTCGACTTGATCTGTTGAACGAGTTGCCCACCGTAGAAAGACCGGAACCTCTTCTTCTCCTCGGGGGCGACGATTTGGGCCTCGCAGCGATCAAAGAGGAGATTGTAAAACTCATCAACATCCATTTGAATGGTGACATCAATCGCCTCATTGTCATATGTCCTGATACTCTCGACAAAGTCGATTGGATCAACACTTTTCAACCACGAGTTTTGCATCAAAGCGAAAACTTTCTGGGTCTGGTCAAGAAGCCTTTGGGAAGTGTCAGACTCAACGAGCTTAAGCTTCAAGATGAAGTCGCGGAACTCGACATTCATGAAGAGTTGCGTCATCAGTGAGTTCAGGTAGCACGTATTCGAGAGATTGGTAAGGCCGGCATAGCCCTCCGGGGCCCGAAGTGTCTTTGCACGGTCGACAATCCAGGATCCATTGTATTGGTGGTCTTCGTTCCACGCGTCAGAAAAGAGGATATTTGAACAGCGAAGCGAGCGGAGATTGGACTGACCTCGGGGAATAAGACCGTCCAGCTGCTTGATGGTACACGCGGTGTTTTCGTCGCTTTGCTTTGAAAGCAAATAGACAATGCTTAAAAGTTTGTGGCGCGTTGCGCTGTGTAGAACAGGGACTCGTGGCTCAATCATGAGGTCGGAATCCGGGGGAGGGTCCGGGAAAAGCTTGGGAAAAGATGTTCGCTGAGAATTTTCTCGCCGATACCACTAGTTGCGGTTAGTAGATAGTTTCGGCGGATGTTTTTCGGTGGCACATACGTGGTGTGAAGTTCCACCTGGGTCAAATCAGCCGTTTCAAGACACTGCTCAAGCAGAACAGCAATGCCGAAGACAAGATGATCGACGGTCTCTCGGCCAACAAACTAGATTCGGTTAGACAATGGGGGTTAGGTATGGAAAAAAGACTCGACATACCTCCTCGGTGCGTAAGGCCAGTCGCTGAAACAATACCTCACTCCACTCATCGACGTAGCGATCTAGAGTCGCATCGCAATGGGTCGACCCTGTAACTGATTGGAAAACCGAAAGGGCGACCTTGAAAAGCTCTGCACTCTGGGTTGCATAGTAAAGCGAATTTGGAATGATGTTAACCAAGGATTGCCAGATGGTCGCAAGCATGTCAATGTGGGAGGGATTCTCTGTAGAATATACAGAGATGACCGCCCCTTCATCAACCTTGCCATTTGGTGACTTCTTCGAAGGTTTCGGTAAACCACAGGCTTTTTTGATACGCTCGGCCACGTCGTTGCGGCTCGGCTGGTGGGGCTGTTCAAGTAGAAGGGACCGGACCAACTCGTTAACTGCGATTGAATCTTTCAAAGTCGTCCAAAAGGTGTGATCTCGCAGTGAAGCTTCGACAAGAACTGCAAATGAGTTACATGTCAGCCCCTGGCCGAGCTGGATTGAAGCAGGGCTGTCAAAGGAGCGAGCAATGTCGATAAAATTCAGAAGCCGTTTAATGAGTGGCTGTGGGCCGGCAAACAGTACGCGATTGTCATTTTCCACAGGACACACTAGAGTCAGTTAGTATTGGGGCAAAAAAGACAGCTACAAGGACGGCCATACTTGATACCAGACGTAGCAGAAGATCAACTGCGGACATAGCAAGGGCGGAAATGATCAGGTCTTCACTCCGGAGCTTGGATAAATTGTCGGCCATCAAGAGGTCACGCAAAACATCAATACTATGGCGGATAAAATCATAGTTTGGAGACACCTATTTAATAGTCGTGATTAGAGCTGAAATCGATAGATTCTGGGGTTGATCTTACCTCAGTAGCTTCGTCCTCAATGCAATGAAGCAATGTATGGAACATGTAGAAAGCAATATAAGGCCGATCAAAGGGGAAAAGATCGTTGGCATTGCTAGTCTGAGACTTGACACGCTCCAAGACCCAATCATTTGGCGGGAAGGCAGTAAGGAACGTGAAGGTCTAGGATTCCGATAAGCAAAGGTCGAGTTGGAATAATACCGGCATATTACGTACCTGCTCGGCGAGCGGCTCACTGAGCGCCAGGAATTGGTAGATATCATCAAAATACTTCATCACCTCAGAGTCCACCGATGTAAGTGATTGACATTTATTGCTGCGTTGCAACTCTTCGGCATCTGGCGACTTCCGAATTATCAGGAGGCCGGCCTGAAGAGCTTTGATCTCCTTAAGGCGGGTGTCGGGTTTCTCAAACAGGTCCAAACGAGCACCTGCAGCAATCGTTGAGAACTTCGAAAAGCCAGTGAGCTGGGTGAGTCTCTCTGTCAACTCTGCTGCCGTGGAATCATCTCCGATCCGTAGTGATTGAATCTGTGATTGGATGCCATCGCGGAAGGATTGCCATCTCAGATCCAGTGGGCTGCCTCGGAGTGGTCGTTGAGGCAAGGTTGGCGGCGAACCTTGGGGAGGGCTGTACCGAGGACGAGTTCGCAGGCCCTCCAGAAGCTGATGGAGAAACAGGAGCGAACGTGTGAACATGAGTTCATCTAATTCTTCGGATTCACTCGCATCACCAATCTCCATCTCAGTCGCTCCATTCGTAGCCATACCGTCTGATCTCAGGTCTAGCGTTGATGGTCGCTGCGGCCGACTTCAGTTGCTTCACACAACGGCCGACAATGGAAACATGGGTAGCGTCTACGGCAGATCGCGGAGCGGTTTGAATGATCTGGTGATCCAAGTAAACCTCGATGGCGAATTTTGTTGCATCGGCCTCAACCGTACCCGGTGGAGTGGTGAGTATGATATCCCAAATGCGATCCATTCCGGGGATAAATACAATCTCGTTTTCACCAGCTGCGGGGGGTGGTTTGAATCGGATTTCGTAATTGACCGACTGTTTCGCAAACAGTAGGAGTTCAAAGTCGTAGTCCTTGGGTGCCAGGTGAGGCATGTGTTCATGGATACATTGGTCGAGAAATGAGTTCGGCGCGGCACTGCGACTCAAAGAATTGACCATCATGGCCCAGACAGTCCGGTGTCCTTCCGGTCCTAGTTTCGACGACAGGAGTATCTGATTCCACAATGCACTTCCGAGCTCCGGGGTCACAGTCTCCGGGGCTTGGTTGATCAACCGAGATAAAATTTCGACTCGCGACACAAGGCCGTGCTGGGAGAAACAGTCGGCGAGATCAAAGTTTGTCCCGTTAACGGTATGCAACATGTCGTTGATCACCAGTCGAGTCAAGTCGAAATCCGTTGCGAGCTTTCTCATCTCCGACGCGTCCCATTGGGGAACGAGGCACTGAGCGCTTGGATGCTACCAGTCGTGAATTGGTTCATCTCCGCAATGTCTTGGATGCAGCGTTCGTACATTTCCATTCGGTCATCTTCACCAATGCCGGCCTTGATGAAATCGGAGAGCTTGCGACTGCCAAAGCTTTGCAGTTTCGTCCTTTGGTCCGCAGACAGATCTTCTGCCACGGTACTCTCTCGGATCATACGAACACAGAGCCGCAGAGGAATCGCATATGCATGTTGAGTGTCTGACTGATCCATGAATATGTGTCCAGGATTATGCCTGGGGGTCATTTGGCCAAGAAGGCTGTCGCAAAATTCGAGCATGCCCGCGTCGAATTTGTCGAGAGGGAGGCTAGAGAGCTTTTCGCAAAGGTAGAGTAAGGCTGGGGAGGCAGTCGTGTGCATATAGAAAGTCTTCGTCAGCATCGACAATACCTCCGAGACAATACGGCTGTCTTGGCTTTCTGTGACAGCCTTCCAGATGACATCTGTTTCGCGATCCGTGTATGTTGATGTCACCACCAAGAACCCGACGATGTTGCTGCTCCGACCGATCAGCTGAGGATGCGAATCAACGCCCACAAGATAGTCGACTATCTTGTTTTCTTTGATGAAGCGGACGAGATACTGGACAAAGGGATCCGAGATGCCATCGGGATTCTGTGAAATGTACTCCTTCCATACGTCGACCAGTGCAGCCTGCATTTTGTCAACACCATGGACTCGAAGCTCCATGCGGCCTTCCATGAAATGCTTCTTCAGGATTCCAAATTTCCAGCCCCCGAGAAGGATGCGAGTGTTCTCGTCGGTGCTAGTATGGTCAGGGAGATCGATCGCCATGTCCTGTGAAAGTCTGCGCAAAAATTCATCGCCACGACGGCAGAGAGCCTGCAGGTTGCGAGGGAACTGACGCCCGATGACCATGTCACTAATATCGCTCGTGGCCCAGGGGGATTTTTTTGTGATCCATTCCTGGTATTTGAGATCGATCGACCTGAGAGTAGTGTAAAGCTGATCGATCGGGGCAGTAGTTGAATTCGTAGTTTCTGAAATGAGAAGATCGGTGTTCTCTAGTGACTCCAAAGTGCAGTCAAGAAGGCCGCAGATGGTCGTGAGATAGAAAAACAGCATCTGTACAAGCTGGGGGTGTTTGGGGGTGAGCTCGAGGGCAAGAGCGCAATAGTCAGAGAGCTTCGAGGCGGCATTCAACGGGCCAAGAGTTTGGGCTCGGACGTCTAGTAATACCGCTCGGAATTCCCTACCATACATCCTGTCCAGGGCGCCGTAGAGCGGGATGCTTTGAAAGGAGACCAGCCATCCCAGCTGTTGCAGATAAGACTTTGACATGCTTTCTGGTGTTTGCTGATCGGGTTCGTCGGCCAGGACCTGCAAAAGGATGGAATCCTGTTCAATCAGGTGGAGGGTGATCTGCACATAGTCCAAAAGAAACCTCTTGAGGCAGGGCAGCAAGCCCACCCCGTCGTTGATTGGAAGGTCGGTTCTAGTATGCGGGTCAGTAAGGTGGAGATGGGCGGCGGGGGTAGAGTAGAAGTTAGTTCATACTTGCGGCGGAGGACAAACTCCACGATGGTCGGGAAATTTGACCAGAAGTCCTCATGTTGGACATAGGTTTGCAGGGTCAAGAGATCCAGGTTACGAGCACAGTGGTCCATCCAGGTCTGGACTTTCTGTATGATGGCAGCAGCATCGTACATATCACCTGGTTGGCGGGATAATATAATTAATATCATACATCAAAGACGAAGGATAAGCTTTCAACAAAACTCAAGTTCACTTACCTTTATCCATGATCTGAATGAATCTTGCGACACTGTTCGAAGCACTGAGCTCTGGACGGACCCGTGGAAACAAGTCGACCAATGGAGTCATGTCGGCGATGTCTTGAATAAGGTCCGACTGAGAATCACGGCGGACGATTTCCTCCAAGGGCCTCCAATTTGAGTGATTGGAGTCTTGTTCCATATCTTCCGGGTCGGCGATTTCGATCTGAGGACTTGCTTCGGGGGAAGAAGGAGCGGAGGCAGATACGGCATTTGAGTTGGGGATTGAAGTCGGAGTCGCGTTCGGAGAAGGTGATTGTGGAAGGGCGGCATGTAGAGTGGGAGATGAGGAGTCGATAGGTTCAGGTAATTCGGAAGTAGGAGACTTCATGTTGATGGTCACTTTGGCGGGGAATGGAAGTTGGTGGCAGGTGAAGGCGTGACTGCAGTGACCGAAGTAGCTGCTGCGGCGGCGGCGGCGGCAGCGGCAGCGGAGGAAGAGGCAGCAGAGGCAGCAGAGGCAGCTTCAATGGACAAGATCTCGGGGACGTCACTGCCTTTACCAGTGCCACTACCACTGTCAACGCGTTGTCGCTTTGGAGTGCGAGCACCCTCAGCATGCGGGTCTTCTTCCATGGATGTATTCGGGAGCTGTTCGTGGTGGTGGTATCGCGGTGATGCGCTCAAGGGAGTGCCAGGCGGGGTGACGGAGAGCTCTGGCGGGGGCTCAGCCATACCATTTTCCGGGGCTGAGCGGATGGGGAGGAAAGAAAGGGAATCTGGAGGAGTTGGAATGAGAGGAGAGGCAGGGAATCTGGATGGGGTTACAAGTTGGAAGTTGAAGTTGAAGTTCCTGGGGACAAGAAGCGGTCGACAGCTCCAGCTTTTTTTGACGCGACCCGGTGACGTTGCGGAGAAGTGGAATTACTAGTACTCTGTACACTGGCACTGCTCTCCAGGGAATAGTTTACATGATATATGATAGCAGTTGAGACAAACAGGCTTTCATTGTATGATAATATTTCTATTTATTTTATTATTACTAGTACAGGTATTATTTACCAGTATTCTTTACTATCTGTAGTATCCCATCACTACAAACTGCCAAGAACGGCAATCAACCTAGCAAACTTGATTATTCACAGTACTACTAGTAGCACTGGTACTTTTCTTTCATTTAAACCTCACTATTGCTCCAGATTCCTATAGCATGTCCATTGTGTCTAGATTGTCATTCGGTTCACTGCATCTGAAATGCCCACCACCAGCCCAGCCCATCAGTAGTACTAGTAGTACTTGCTGTCCTAATCCTCAGAGCTATAGTACTGGAACACCAGCACTCCTTAAACCTGAAGTTCACTCCGTCATCGTCGTCTCAATCTTCCGAATAATCCTAGCCGGGTTACCCGCAGCCACATGGAAAGCCGGCACATCCTATACATCACCATTAGCACTGGCGCTGGCATCAGAACTATATATCACGGCATCCACTGGCATAACACCTCCCACACCCACCTTTGTAACAACACTCCCCGCTCCAATCGTAGCTCCCTTCCCAATACTCACCCCAGGAAGAACAATCACATTCCCCCCAATCCAACAATCTTCCCCAATGGAAATCGGTTTCCCCATCTCCGGTCCCTCAGTCCCATTCCGCAGCGCCGGATCAAGAGGGTGTGTTCCGGAAAATAAATTCACATTAGGCCCGAATAAAGTCCGCGCCCCTACTGTGATGGGACAGGTGTCGATGAAGACGCAGTTGAAGTTGACAAAGACTCCAGCCCCGAGCTTCACGTTGAAGCCGTAGTCCACTTTGATTGGGGCTTCGATCCAGGGCTCATGCTTGAACTGGTCGTCGTCGGCAGCTGGATCGGGGAGTTTGGGTGGGAGGGGTGTTTTGTCGTCAGTTATACTGGAAGAGTTAGCGAAAGCCCAAGTAGTAGAGTACTGAATATATATCTTGGACATGATGGGAAACTTCAAGTTAGAAACTACTACCAGTACCATTGACTAGTAGTGGCAGCAGCAACTTCAACAATAACAAACTCACTCTCGCCACATCTCAACCAGTCGCCGACGAGGTACCTCATCCGAGGTATTATTGAATCGATTGCAGGCATACTTGCACCGAGCTCTGGCAGCTACCATATCCGGGGTAAAAGCGCAAAACAGCTCGCCATGCAGCATCTTTTCTCGTTCCGTGGGTTCCGCCATAGTAAACGAACTAGACTCGAATATGCAGGGATCAAATTCAAACAAAGAAAAGTGTTCTAGACCGGAGTTTGGGCTACATGGCCGATGTCCTTCAAGTGGGGGGAGTTGCTCAAGTGGAGCCTCGGGGGAAAAGGGAAGCCGGGAGGTAACTACTCCGAGACGAGTCAAGCTTGGTACTCTTTGTTCTTCCAACAATCACCTCGACAATGCCTCCCACTGGCACGACATTTAACGGTCTCTCCCAATAATTCCCGACTTTCTCTTCTCTCCCGTTCTGTCCACCAGCATACCCTCCTACCATCTCTACACAGCAACAGCAACAACTCGAATTCCTCCCAAAATGTCCGCCCAAACCACCAGTGCACAGACAGAAGCACCAGCACCATCCAGCTACACCACATGGCAGCCACGAAGACCACGAACATCCAGCACAGCCAGCGCAAGCTACAGCGATAATTCCGAATCCGGCTTCTTCCCAAACCACTCCCCCAACAACACCTCCACCGCTACCACCACCCCCCTCGACCCATCCTCAATCTACCCAAACGGCCGAAAGTCCCTCTCAGGAATCTCCCTCCGCGCATTCGCTCTCGGCACAAGCTTAGGCCTATCAACCAGCCTAACAATCTATCTCGCCTTCGCACCAGGAACAAGCACCTCACCAACCTGGCGCCTCCCATTCTTCATAACAACCCTATCCCTCTTCCACTTCCTAGAATTCTTCATAACAGCCCACTACAACACCACAACAGCAACAGTCTCCTCATTCCTCCTAACCTCCAACGGCTGGGCCTACAACGCCGCCCACGGCTCCGCACTCCTAGAATGCGCACTGAGTTTATGGCTCTGGCCTAATTCGCCGACGCGCTCTTCCCCCGCTGGCCCGGTCTGCGTCGTGCTAGGCTTCATCCTCGTTATATTAGGACAAATTATCCGATCACTCGCAATGGCACATGCGGCCGCGAATTTCAATCACCATGTTCAATCTAGACATAAAGATGGTCATGTACTCGTTACCAGTGGTGTCTATGCGGTGTTGAGACATCCGAGTTATTTTGGGTTCTTTTGGTGGGGGTTGGGGACGCAGCTGGTTCTTGGGAATGTGGTTTGTTTTGTGCTTTATGGGGTTGTCTTGTGGAGGTTTTTTGCTTCTAGGATTCGGAGTGAGTTGGCCCTTCCCCCTCACTACAATGTGGTGGGTTATGGTTTTCTTTGTTCGGTTTGCTAATTCTTTTTTTTTTTTCTAGCGGAGGAGTCGTTTCTTATTAACTTCTTTGCTGATGATTATGTTCAGTATAAGAAGAATACTCGGGTCGGGATTCCTGGCATTGCCTGAGAGATCGAATATTTTCTCTGATGAAGCCAAAACCCGTTGTGCATAATACGGAGTACACTTTGTCAATGAATGGATTGTATCTATTAGCATAACTAATAGCTAGCTAAATACTAATTGGTCGTGAAGTACCTAACTAATTGACTGAATCGAGTACTATTCTGGACCGTAGGTCGTAGCCTCAGGCCCTGGTATATGTAACTATGGTATATGACAACAACGCTTGTACAATGCAGCAGACTCCTCGTCCTCGTAATAACTGAAATCACAGCTTACTCTCCGGCGCAACAACACCAATAGCCCCGCTCATAAACGGCCCATCCGCATCCCCATCCGCACCCGCATCCACATCCCCCAAATTCTCCGCCCCATATAAAACCAACTCCCTCCCACCCTGCGTACTCCACCAAGCAACACAACAATGAGCCCGATCAACATCCATCTCACCACCACTAATAGCCTCCCAGAACCGATCAATGCACGCAACACGCATACCCCGGTCCGGAACAGCATTAATAAGCTCACCGGTCAACGGAAGCCATTCTTTCAAGTCATCGACGCGAAGGAAAGAGAGGGAGTCAATGAGAGCGAGCGTGAGCACGGCTTGCACGGACAGAGGTGGCGTATTGCCCAGATCTGGCGCTGTGCTATTTGAATTTTGGGCAGTGGGGATAATGGCCGTTGTGGATGCGTGCATTGCTCGGTCTCGGACTACTTCGAATAATATTGTTGGGAGGAGTGGTTGGGTATTTGCTAGCGGTGAGGGGGGTGCAGTGACTTGGATGACTGTTTTGAAGGCGAGGCGGAATTGGCGGGCTGATAAGTTATCAGGGAAGACCTAAATGAATAGGGTTAGACTGAGTCTTGCAGGAAGAATAGTGGTTTGGAGGGGGGGGGGTCGACAATCGACTTTGATAAACTCACGGCGAATAGGTTCTCAATATAGAATGGTAGGTGTTTCCCAGCTAGTTCTGCATTATGGGGAATAGCAAATACAACAAGCACAACGCTGTGGGCTGCTTCGAAGATTTCAAGCAGAAGTGGGTTCGCACCAGCTGCCAAGTAAGGGAAAGCAGCAGATAATAGTAGTTCCTCGTTCACGGCAGTCGGCAAGACAATTGGGAAATGCTCGGCCGCATTCATGAAGAAGAGATCCAAGCACCGCTCCACCGGATGACTCGGGATTTGGCCAATATCGCTGGGCTTGATGCTGCGCAGGAAGTTCTCAGCCAAGTCAGGGTACTGTGAGAGAATATCAACGGCAGCCAGGAACACGAAAGCCTGCTGTGACGATCCATTTTGCCCCGTTCGAGAGGAGACAAAGTACAGGTTGCGGAGAATATGAAGGGACTGCATGCAAAGATATGGCGCACCTGTAGCAGAGTTAGTTAGTCAAGATGCTGTGCTAAGCTGTTTGTTCACGGGGCCCGGCACACTTACGACTGCCAGCAGCGAGAGCAGGGTCATTGATAGTTCTCCCAATAACAGCCCGAAGAACAATAACAACCGAGTATAAGCAGTTTCTAAGAACCTTCCACAAAGCCGGGATAGTAGTCTGCAAAGATTCCGCATCCAAAAACTCAGCCTCCTCCGCAACATCCACTTCAGATAACTTATTCTGACGCCACTGCACCATAAGCGTACGAACAAAGTCCGCCATATAGTCCACCGTCTGCGCCACGAGGTCCGGATTGCGCGCATTATCCACCGCATGAGAAATAAGTCTCGACAACGGACCCAAAGCCGCAATAAGCGGCCTCGAAGCTATTGTAGAGAAATATCCAAAGGTCGGAGAAGTCGATGACCAGCGGAACTTCTTCCCAGGTACCTCGACAACGTCCTTATCAATAGCACCGAGGAAATATCCACCCTCCAACCCCTCCGGTGAAAGGAAAGTAGATCGCACCATAACGGGAAGCAAGCGGTCATAGTCAATCTTACTCCTCTCGACATCGGAGAGTAGTTCAAAGGTATAATTGAGGACCATGGTAATGCAATACCCATCGATCCCATTCTCAGTCTGCATTTCTTCCAGCGCTAATTGTGCGGCCGTCGCAAGTGCCGATTCAAGCTTCGTTCGAATATGCCATGGTAGACCCTGTCGATTCTGTCCCTCGAATCCAAGCAATATGCCGCCGAGTAGGAGCATGTGTCTCCAGCGCGGTGACTTGTCGTCCGCACCCTCGGCTACGGCCTTCACCCATGCCTCGCGCTCTATCTTGCGGTTCCGACCGTATGTTGGGCGCGGTTCATCGGTGTTATCATTGTGTAGTACAGCGATGGCGGCTGTGTTGAAAATGCTGAGAATCTTGCGACATGCTTGAAGATCGACGGGGCCGTCCCAGAGCGCGGGGGTGCAGAGAAGCTGCGAGGAGAGGAGGCTTAGATTGAGCGGGTTGCCGAGAACTGAGAGGAAACTCGTTGCGGTAGGAAGGAGTCTGAATCAGGGTGAATTGATGTATTCGTTAGTCGGGGTTCAGACAAATGGGATTCGGCTTTCGCCCACGGCCAATGTATCGATCGCATCACATCACATTGCCATATGCGCACCAGCCACTTACCCAGAGGCATCCTCTAAAGTGGACGCAGACTGTAAAGACCGCAAAAGCGCGGCCAGAGAGCGTTCTGTCGCCATGAATTGATCGGTGCGATCGGGTGGATAGGGGAGGATGAAAGCGGAGGTTGTCGAGATGCCATGGGATCCTCCCATTCCCGGGGAGAACCCCAGACCGCATGACGCCTGCCGAGGTCCGCCGAGAGACCAAACCAAACACTGCAAACAAGCAGCTGCATCTGCAGCTCGATCGACCATCACCAACAACCTCCCCTTCCATCTACACTTCCCACCTCCACCTTCAACCATGCTCTAATCTAATTCTCTCGATCCACGCTGCACACCAGCCACGCAGTACCCCCCATTCCAATGTCAAACAACCGAGTCCCAATAAACTACCAAGTCCCCCCCTTCCCATCACTCTACGACCCGCTTCCCACGCACCACAAAGAGGCGCACTACCTCTACTACACGACCGATATCTGGCGCTTCACATTATACTGGACGCTAGTCTTTTACGGCGTAACACATCTCACCGTCGCCGGCTGTGCGGTTCTAACGCACTTTCGGAACTGGAGTGTTATCTGGTTGGTGCCGTTGCTGTATAGCGTTGTTGCTGGGTTGGAGGGATTAATCGCGGGTAGTATTGTTGGTCTTGTGTGAGTTTTTCCCCTTGCCTATGGATGGAACCTATTAAATATATCTTTTGTATTTTTATAAGGAGATAGAGCTGGAACTGGAGCTAACGGATGTAGACTCGGTGCTGTCTATGAAGCAGGCAATTTCCGAATGTCGACATGGCTCCCCATGATCTGGGGCGGTGTTAATGTCATGGTTTTGATCGTGACTAGTTTCCCTATGCAAGGTGGTCTTTGATTACTTGGCGACACTACATTACATGTACACTATACTGCACTGCACTGCAATATGCCGGTGCTTTACTTCTTACGACTTATGAATTATGATTACGCCACATTTAATTTCTACCGTGACAGCAATTAAGCCCGGACTCTATCAATAAACAACACGACGACTACAAAGTACCAGTGGACCGGTGGACCTTAAAATCTTGAAGTGATATTTCATCCATGGGATATGATGCACCGAATAGTAACTTGAACTTAAACCTTATCGATATCTCAGAGAGCGCCGCCCTGTGCCACGGGTAAAAAATCATCCTATATATACGTACCTTCCGAACGCCTAGCTTCGCAATCCTAATCCAAACCCATTCTGACACGCACTAATGCAAGCATGCAATCACTCCTGTCCTGTCCTCTCTTTCCTGTTTTCTTTGCCTACCTCCGGACCTTTACTTCTGCCTTCTCTGCCTACCTACGCCCGCCATCCGGAGCGCCTCCCTGCAACCCAGGCAGACCGCCAAATCCACCTGCCATATTCTGGAGATTGAAATTCGGAGGAATTTGGACGCCTTGGGCCATGAGCTGTTGCCTGATTTGTGCCATATCAACATTCATCGGCGGCGGTGGGGGAGGAGCACCACCCGACATGCCCGGGAGCATGGGGAATCCCGGAGGAACGCCTTGGCTAGGAGGACCGGGAGGACCAGGGGGAGGACCACCTGGCGGGCCTTGGGATCCCATAATCGCAGCCAGACGACCAGGGTCCATTCCACCGATTGTTCCTGGGAGGCCAGGCGGAGGAGGAGGTTGGGCAGCTCCGATTCCGGGAAGGAAGCCAGCACCACCTTCGTCTGCGGGAGCACTGTTGATACCAGGGAGAGAGGGAGCACCAGCTCGGCGCTGGTCAACGAGGCTATCAGCCTCGTCTTGAATCTGCTGCTCCTCTTCCTCGCGCATCTGTCGACGGCCGTAACCACGGTTCCAGTTGCTCTGCCCCTGCCCCTGCCCCTGCTGGTCCTCGGCGGCTTCTTCGCCGGTATGGAATCGATCTCTCATGTAACTAGTCTCACCCGGTCTGGCACGCGACCAGAATCGCGTAAAGTTGTCCTTAGATCCAGACGCAAGAATGTGACCGAGCGGATGCCAATCCAGGGACCAAATCGTAGCATTGTGAGCATATTGCACCTTGTGGGCGGGGAATATGACCTGCGGCGGCGTATTCGCCGGGTCAGGACTATCGTATGGCGCCACAGTAGGTACTTGTCCAGTAGGCAGATGCGGCTCATCAAGTAGATAGTGGTAAAGCGAACCATCTTCCGCACCGGTGGAGATCAAGTTGGGGTGAATCGGGTGCCAGGTCAATGACGAGACGGGCTTTTCGTGACCGCGCAAGATGCAAATATCCCGCATCATGCGCAAATCGAAGACGCGCGCGGTCTGGTCTCGCGAGGAGGTGGCGAGTAGATTTCCATTTACGCGGGAGAATCGCGTCGATGTCACTGTGTTCTTGTGGCTGTGGAGAGTAGTGAGACAGCGCGCTGTGCGCGGGTCCCAGAATTTCACCTGGTGATCCTTGGATCCGGAGACCAGTAGTCCCTTAGTTGGGTGCCAGTCGCATGATTTTACGTCCCAATTGTGGCCGGTTAGGACGGTGTCGCAGGTGCGAGAGGTGAAGTCGAAGATTTTGAGGGTGGTGTCGTCGGAGGCGGAGAGGAATTTGGTGTCGCTGGGGGCCCAGCAGAGGTCGCGGACGGCGTCGTGATGCGCGTCGTCGATTGTTTCGACGTTGTTGAAGTTGGGTCGCCAGTACTTGATGTCGCCTTTTTGTCCACCGGATATCAACCATTCTTGGCTATGTGACCAGCCGAGAGATGTGACACCTGCTTGAACTTGATCGTAGTGAGCCTGATCAAAGGGATTCGGTTAGCCGGGATGGAGTTCTTCGCGCAGGATCTGGGTGTTACTCACGTCCATGACGGTTTCGAAGTTGAAGGCAGTTCCGTTCCAGAGCATAAATTCACCAGTATGCCCACCCGTGAGCAATCGTCGTCCTTCGGGGGTCCATCTTACTACGACAATCGGTTTCTTTGACTTTCCGATTGACTGGTGGAGGTGTCGGACTGGGATTGTGTCGGCTGGTGAGTGAGTTCGCGCGACTGGGGGTAGCATCTAGTTTACGCGTAGAGTTAGTCTTTGCTCGCTTTCATTCTCTCTGTGTATTTCTCTATATGTGCCTCTAGGCAGGGTAAAGTGTTTCACGACTGTACTCACATCCACAGTGAAGCTGGGGCTTGGCCGCTCAACTTCCAGGCGATGCTCGCCTTGATATCGGGGTCTGCGTGTTCGCATCCACTGTACCATAGACGACCCATAGTCGGTCACCAATCCTGCAGGTTCAGATTGTCAGCGTGGGGAAGGGGGGGCTTCAGCAGCGTCAAGCGCAACGACAGGGTCACAACGTAACGTACTAGGGCGCCGAGGACCATCATTTTGGTTGTTTCTGTTAAAACGGCCAGCCACTTGGCCGTCATTGCCATCGTCGACATAGGACATTTCAGCGGAAGTGAAGATCAGAGACAAAGGCAAAGGCGGAAACAAGTAAGAGATCACATCAACAACATGGCCATGAGGGTGGAGTGTGAAGTATTGTGCAAATCTAATTGGCAAACGCGGTTGGGAAGAAAGTGAGAGCTTCCGGCGGCCGGACCTCTGGACCTCCGTGCGGTGAAGGCGGTGATTGGCCCGATTGCTCTACCCTCCAGTAGTACCAGTACCCTTGCTATGATTATGATGTCTTAACTTTCTCCCCCCCCCCCCGCCAACTTTTGCTTTAACCAGTACTTTGGCCCTATTTTAGTTGGGATTTATTGCAGGGGAGGGGGATAAGAGGTACCTTTGTACTTCAAGTTTGATTTCTTCCTATCTCCTCTCTTCCTCTCTGTCTCTCTTCACCTTCTCCCCTCTCTCCTCTCTCCTCCCCCCCCACACCTCTGGCGTACCCGGTCGCCATCCTCTATCTCCGCATCAGCCCACTCCCATTTACCTCGGGAGAGCTGTACACTGTTCACCATTTGAATATTCCTCATTGGATAATTCACAATGGCCCAGACAGAGTCTCTTACCACCGCCAGAGAGCAATCCACCCAGACCGTTGAAACGCATGCAGATGCACCTGCAGCTGCACCAACGGGGAGCTCAAACAAAGATACAGATAAACCCCCGGCACCTCCAGGAAAGAAACCACGCAGCTTGTATCGTCATGTCGCGGCATACCATTCCGAGATGCGGCACTCAAGCTTGAGTCGTGAGTCAGATGAAACAATTAGTTTCTTGGGCTTTCGAAATTTGATGGTGTTGGTGTTGGGTAAGCTCCGATTCTATAGTGCCTGTCACATGCTATTTTCCGAGCTCAAGCTAATTTTTTGACTCTTTGACACCCAGTGGCCATGAACCTCCGTTTGATCATTGAAAATTTCATGAAGGTTCGTTGGAATCCAAAAATAGCTCTGGCAAATGCGACTGCGAATGCGAATTGCATTGGAAGGTTCCCTACCCCTCTCGCTCCTGTCCTAACACCTACCCTAGTATGGCGTGCTCATCTGCATCAAATGCCACGACTACCGAAAACAAGATCTAGTCCTTGGGTCAATTCTCTTCGCCCTCGTCCCTTGCCATCTGTTCGTCGCCTATCTGGTCGAGCTATCCGCGGCAGCATCTGCCAAGCAGACAGTTGGTCACCAGAAGAGGACAGCAGAAGAGAAAGAACATGACCAGCAACGGTTTCGCTCGACCTGGCGCTATACGGCCTTCATCCACACCATCAACGCCACTCTGTGTCTTGCCGTGACTAGCTTTGTAGTTTATTTCTACATCCACCATCCCGGCATTGGAACGCTGTGCCAGTTGCACGCCATCATCGTCTGGCTGAAGAATTGCTCCTACGCATTCACCAACCGAGACCTCCGGCTGGCGTTCCTGAATCCCTCCGCGAACCCGAACCTTCCGGCCATCTATGCCACATGCCCATACCCTAGAAACATCACTCTTAATAACCTGGCCTACTTCTGGATGGCTCCGACGCTAGTCTACCAACCTGTCTACCCGCGTACACCATCCATCCGCTGGCCCTTTGTGTTCAAGCGCCTGGGTGAATTTGTCGTTCTGTCAGTCTTTATTTGGCTTCTTTCAGCGCAGTATGCAGCGCCCGTCCTACGCAACTCGATCGAGAAGATCGCCATGTTGGATATTGCTTCGATTCTGGAGCGCGTCATGAAGCTATCTACCATCTCGTTAATTATCTGGCTCGCGGGATTTTTCGCTCTCTTCCAAGCCCTGCTGAACGCACTGGCTGAAGTGATGCGCTTCGGCGATCGTGAGTTCTACACGGATTGGTGGAACAGCTCCAGCTTGGGTGTTTATTGGAGGTCCTGGAATCGACCTGTTTACCTGTTCATGAAACGACACGTTTTCTCTCCGCTCGTGGGCCGTGGCTGGAGTCCACTAGCCGCCAGTGGCATGGTGTTTACCCTCTCGGCCATTCTTCACGAAATGCTGGTTGGAATCCCGACTCACAACTTTATCGGCGTTGCTTTCTTCGGCATGATGTTCCAACTGCCGTTGATTATGCTGACGGTGCCCTTCGAAAAGAAGCGTGATCCCCTGGGAAAGACGACTGGCAATTGCATTTTCTGGGTCAGCTTTTGTCTGGTCGGTCAGCCATTGGGCGCCTTGCTCTACTTCTTCGCGTGGCAGGCCAAGTACGGGAGTGTGAGTCGAGTGAACCCTTGATGGTGTGTGTGCGCTTGCTCTACCCCCTTAAACTTGAACCCGCATTTTGAAATGATATCAGGCAACCCAATCCACGGCTGTCAATCTAGCATGGATGTAATTTTGAAATAGCTACAGCGACTTGAGAGCTTGTTGTCACATAAACAATTCACGCACTGCGAGATAAGCCAATTGCTGCATGCACCATCCAATGACTAGTAGAACAGGCAACAGTGATGATGTGTCCAGACAGTCCAGTATCTCATCGAAAGCAAAAGAACTTCAAGTTGAACCGTGTCCTCTCCCCGCCTCGGAATCGGGGTGATGGTTGCGCCGGCGCAGCGATCTTCCGCGTTTCAAGCTCCGCACTGCCAGCTCCGCCGAACTCCGCCCAAAGCTATAAATGGCCCCATCCCCACTCAAACCGCATACCTCCACACAGTTAACTATACTAGTACTACCAGTCCTACACATACACAATGGTCGCAATCACTGTCCCTGATAACTACGGGTAAGTATTCAATTCATTTAATCCTTACTTCATATCTAACCACCACCCTCCCAGCGCCGTCATCGCCGTCGCCCTCGGCGCAATCCCCGTCCTTGGCTTCATCCACGGCAACATCACCGGTTCCCTGCGCAAGGGCGCCAAGGTCCCCTACCCGCACAGCTACGCCTCTATCGAACAGTGCAAGGAGAATGTATGTTGATTTCCTTCTCACGCATATCTCTGCGACCTGCCAATCCAATCAATCACCTGGGCAATCACTAACCGCTCCCTCACCCACAGGCCAAAGCCGAGCAATTCAACTGCGCCCAACGCGCCCACGCCAATTACCTCGAAAACATGTCGCAGACAATTATTTTCACCCTCGTCGCTGGCCTGAAGTACCCCCAGCTCGCCGCTGGTCTCGGTGCCGCCTGGGTGGCTTTCCGTACAATCTTCCTGTACGGCTATGTTTACTCGGGCAAGGCGCAGGGTAAGGGTCGTCTGTATGGTAGCGCGTTCTGGTTGGCGCAGGGTGCGCTGTGGGGATTGACTGTGTTTGGCGTGGCCAAGGAACTGATTTCCTGGTAAATTAGTGCGAGGGATTTAGATTTCTCGAGATGTGTTATGTATAATAATCAATATTCAATCCATGCAAGTTTATCGCCAATGGACAGCTCTTCCCTGGCACGTGAATCCGTGATGCACCGCCACACCCCGCATATGCTTAGTGCCAAGAATTGTGGCTGACAACCGTTGTGGCGTTCCGAAAAAAGTTCCCTTCGCCGTTTGCTATCTACATCTACTTCCACATTTACATTGGACATCCCAATAGCCAATTGCTGCTGCTTGAATCAGTCCTTGTGGATTTGCAGAGATTATTGGAAGAGTTCATTGGTCTATAGAAGTCTCTGGCCTGACTACGCTCCATTTTCATCCTCACCTTCAACTTAACACCCCGCCAACCCCGCCATCATGTCCTCCAAGTCGCAAATCCCCTTCGGCACTCGTGCCAGCAGCCACCCTAACCCGCTGGCTCGCAAGCTCTTCGAGGTCGCCGAGGCCAAGAAGAGCAATGTCACCGTCTCCGCCGACGTGACCACCACCAAGGAACTCCTGGACCTAGCCGACCGTATGTCATGACATTGCTCTTGCTTTTACTCCTGTCCCCAATCTCACCAGTCCATACCTAACCCAATTGAAACCACAGGCCTCGGTCCCTACATCGCCGTCATAAAAACCCACATCGACATCCTCTCCGACTTCAGCAACGAAACAATCACCGGCCTAAAAGCCCTCTCCGAAAAGCACAACTTCCTAATCTTCGAAGACCGCAAATTCATCGACATCGGCAACACCGTCCAAAAGCAATACCACGAAGGAGCCCTCCGCATCTCCGAATGGTCGCACATCATAAACTGCGCCATCCTCCCAGGCGAAGGCATCGTCGAAGCCCTCGCCCAAACCGCCCAAGCCCCAGACTTCCCCTACGGCTCTGACCGCGGCCTCCTCATCCTTGCGGAAATGACATCTAAGGGCTCCCTAGCCACGGGCGACTACACCTCCGCCTCTGTCGACTATGCGCGCAAATATCAGAGTTTCGTCCTGGGTTTCGTCTCCACTCGCGCTCTGACTGATGTCCCTGCTAGCGTGAGCGCTAATGAGAATGAGGACTTTGTTGTCTTTACTACGGGTGTCAATCTTTCTTCTAAGGGAGATAAGTTGGGTCAGCAATATCAGACTCCGCAGTCGGCTATTGGTCGTGGTGCGGATTTCATTATTGCTGGACGTGGAATTTATGCCGCGGCTGATCCTGTGGAGGCGGCGAAACAGTATCAGCAACAGGGGTGGGCGGCGTATCTTGATCGTGTTGGGGGTAGCCAATAGAAGGAAAATAAAGCGGGAAAGAAAAATATGCAACGAATCATTCAAAATCAAAATCAAAATCCGCCCGGTGGGTTGGGCTGGGCTGGGCTAGACGGCCAACCATGTAGAAATCAAAATTAGAATATCCTCATGACGTCTTCTTTTCTTCTTTCTTGTCTTTTCTTTTCTTTTTTTCAAGTTGTTATGGAACCTTTTCGCCATGCGACGTTCACCCTGCATATGAGCTTCCCAGGTGCATATGATACGAAATGAGAGGTGCATATGATATGAAATGCGATGAGATCATGATCATGAACGCATGCGGCCAACTTTCCCTCTCCAACCACCCATATACCTTAGGTAGGAGGAGTTGTGATCGCTCCTATGTAGTTCCGATTGAATGATCTTCTCACAGCTGTGTCGCTTGATGTGGGATGGGGCTCATGCCCGATATCCACTTATGGATAAACTTCAGCTTTGCGACACCGCTCAAGCCGAGTTACATGCAGATCTCCTAAATCACGACATTGTGGACTTCACGCTTGCTAGTACACTGGTATAACCTAACAAAATCATGAAGCTTGTAGTTATCGAATTCCCAAACAAGTACGGCCGGGCGCGGCAACCGGGGGAAAAGGGTATAAGGGACTTTTTGTTGTTTAGTTACTGATTGATGATGAGGTTGTAAATGTTACTGCTACAAAGGAGGCCTACAAATATACATGCAAGATCGGCAACACCGTTTACCTGAGTTTATATCCGGGTCTTGACCATGATGCCCAGGTGATTCTGTTGCCGTCTTAGATCTAGAGTGGCCATGATGGCTTCAAGTTGATAATAAGTCTATGAATGTAAAAACTGTAAATGTGCATAAATGTGCCCAGGTGTAGTAATGGAGACGGGGTTCTGTTGCTTGATACTTTGAGCTGTTTCATTGTCAGCAAAACCTCAAGGTCCTTTTGCTTATAGGTTTCTCTTGCCTCTTCAAGTTCTTTCCTCGTCCGTTACAAATGGCTTCTTTCAATTAGCCTTTCTTCTACCCCTTATCCAAGGAGGTGGTAGCTGTAATACATCTAAAGAATGACAGGGAGAGACCTTCGGGGCCTGGTCCTGGCTGCTGTTCGCCGGCTTTGCGGCCTGGTCTGCTCTTTCTTGTTTATCAAAATTCGACCTTAGCTATGTAAATACGGGGACCTAGTTCTTACGTGGTATTCCTGGTGCTAATTAAATAAAGGTACGAACTACTAAACGGCAATGTGTTAGTGGTGGTGTGGCCTTTTTACCTTGATGAGGCAAGTCATTGTCACATCAACAGCTCATCTGTGCACATGGCGTAGGCTTTCTTATTTCTTATTCTTTTCCCCTAGATATCTCTAATCCAGCTCTCTTACAGTATACTTTGTTTATAACCCCCTACATCCAGGGTGCATGTCGGTCTATGTCAAAGATGTAACATTATAACGGTAACCCTTCACTCGAGTAGTTACTACCCTACCTAAATTTCTAGCAACCATAGAAGAATGGGGGACTTTTGTTAAATGCTTTTCCTAGTCCACAAAGTAGAAAAGTCAGCTACTTAAATAGTTTATGGTAAATATTTAAGCTTTTTGGATGGCATTGGAATCCAGGGTGTAAATGTATACAAGAAAATACGTAAATTCTCCAGCCAAAGTATTTGTTCAACAACTTGAACTTGAAGGAAAACCAACCGTCCTATGCCCAAAAACTACAATCGAAGCATATACAGCAAAACCTCATTGATGGAAACCTAAGGTAGCGTCTACCATTCCGACAATGGAAATCCTTGCTTAACCATGAAAACTAAACTATCTAGCCAATCGTCGAAAAAAAAATTTACGCCTCTAAATGCCTCAACAATTATGATACTAATAAGCGACGTGTCTTGTCAGCACCACGGAAGAAGTACTGAAAATTATAAAAGTCCATTTATAGTCGCGTCTTACAGAACCAGGTTTATTTGCTACAATCGCATTCACAAATTCGAAAGTCGGCAGGAACTGGAATTAATTCATACCAGATACCATTCTCTGCGCCATCCAATCCATGATGTTTCTCCAGTTAATTTCAATCGCTATTCTTTCCTTCAGTGGAATTGCCGCTGCCATCGACCTCACCCTGACACAACAACTTATGCTTGCACCAAGTCGCCATGCCAGATATGAGTTACTGAAGGATGAAGATTTTGTCTTCGACTTCGGCAAAGGTCCCAGCAGCGAGCTTGTTAATGGCGGATATCTTGTTGATGCGACAAGCGAGACCTTCCCTGCCTTGGTTGGTCAAGGTGTTGGAATGGCTGTCGGTATCTTGGGTCCTTGCGGATTCAATACCCCTCATGTACACGTTGGAGGCACCGAATTCAACATTGCGCTCAACGGAACATTTCAAACATTTTTAGCGCTTGAACCCCCGACCACAGACTCCGGTGCTCCTCCAAGAGTTGTCAATCTGACCATGAATACTCTCCAAGCTACCATCTTCCCTCAAGGCTCACCGCATATGGAGTTCAACCCCAGCTGTGAAACACGCGCATTCGTCGCCGCATTTGGCACGGATGATTTTGGTCGGACGCAGGAGTTTGAAGCTCTTTTCTCTGTACCGGATGATGTACTTGAAGATAGTCTCGGCGATTCCTCTCAGTCGCTCGCAGATTGATAAAGTCCGGAGTAAGATTCCTGGACCTGTTATGAGAACCATCCACCAATGCAGAGTGAAGTGTGGAATGGCATCCCGGTGATAGCACTGATTTGCAAACGGCCTTTGTCACAATACGTTGACAAGAAGTGTGCTTTGATGGCCCGCAGAAACTTGGTGAGACTAGGGAGGATATCGCGAGGCGTGATGTACCTAGGGCCATTTCTAGATTCCTTCGATATTTAAGCCTGTGTGTCGAAAATGACTTTCAGCACTTTCTTCTTTTGCACCGATAATATAATACACTATGCGAGCAAGGCATCGGAATCTGTGATCAGACCTACTCAGTGAGCAAAACCTTGGAAAGCAGCAAGGAAGTGGCAGAGGAAATCAAGTTCAAGTTCATACTGTAGGCATAGGCATAGGCATAGACATAGGCACAGGCATACCTGGAGTTATGATCCTTGTCATGTCTTGTCCACATATCATGCAATGCAGCCAAACGTACCGTGCGCGGTCGCGCCAGTTCCGCCAGTCCCAGATCCCAACAGACGATCCTTTCTCACGAATTGCCACATGGATCCATGTTCGCATGCTCTGCAATGCAAGCCGAAATCCAATTCCAAACCCAAGCCAACTTCTATACATTATGACGGGCCATGGGGGTGGGCTCCAGCTCCACCCCCTAGCGTGAGGTCGGAAATGGGGCCACGCGATAAGATGCAATGCAAAAGATAACCGGGCCGATCGACGAGGTGAAACAGTGTTCTCGACCATTGAGATAGCTGCATGCAAGATAACCATTTCCACCACGGATACCCTACCACATGTGCGGGAAATCCTTGCGTCGTATCCATGCACAACTGTCGACGCAACGAGGCAATCACGTTCGGGCCTACATCTGCACGCCGAGCCATGACCGCACTTTCCTTATACACACACCACACCACATTCAATCAGGCGGTGTCCATCTTTCAGCCTCGTCTTCTCCTCATCTCCACCTCTCTTCTCCTCATCTTGGCTATGATCTATCCAATCCAGACCTCGAGCTCGGCTGTATCATGTATCACGCACATACAGACCCTGGACAACCCTGGAGATATACCCGAATTCCGCGATTGGGGGCTACCTTTTGCCGATCTCTCCTCATTTTCCCCTCTTCGTGACAGCCAATCGCCTTGTTTCAAATGATACCAAGATGCGCCAACCCCGGATATTGGGTGCTTATCGCGGGGAGACTGCCTCAGGGTGACCCACTCAGCCTGGCTTGATAGGAGAAACCTCCCCTGAGCTTCGAGAGGTCTGTGAGATAACGCCACTGACAACCTTTTCGATGATCCCCGTGTTACCATGCACCCAGCATGCGCGGATGCAGTGCATATAATCCCCCGTCCCGTCCGTCGGAATTGCGGTGAATTTCTTTCCTTTGTCTTGCTTCGTTCTTGCTGTGCCTAGCTGTGCCTAGCTTTGCCCTGCTCTTCGAGCTTTACTTAAACCTGGCTCTGCCTCCTCTTCCTCTTGTCCTTTCTTCTTCCAAAGCTCCATCTTGGGTACACTACTTCACTACACAATGGCGGAGATCTCGGGAGATAGGGTTGCCGTCGGTGCGTCCTCGGCCGTGGATATTGAGAAAAGCACACAGGTCGATCCAACTCTCGAAAAACACACCCACGATGCCGACGAGGCGATGAAGGCTTTTGGTGAGCTGCATGGTGAGACTATTGAATTGGATGAGTCGACCAACCGCCGACTTCTCAGAACTATTGACTGGCATCTGATGCCAATCATGTGTTGCATCTACGGCATGAACTACCTGGATAGTAAGTAACTGTCGAGCCATTCATCCCCGACCTATTCCGGTCATGCATAACCCGATACACGGACTGACCGTCATTGTTCTCAGAAACTACTCTTTCGTATGCGAGTGTCATGGGGATCAAAGAGGACTTGGAGCTTGTCGGTGATCAGTATCAGTGGCTGGGTAGTCTTTTCTACTTTGGTTCGTGGTAACCCCTCAACACAGGTCTATCGCCTCCCGGATCACTCTCTGACTGCCTCTCAGGTTATCTGGCGTGGGAATACCCGACCAACCGCCTTCTGCAGCGGCTGCCCTTGGGCAAATACTCCGCCTTCTGTATCTTGATGTGGGGTCTTGTACTGAGCTGCTTCGCCGGTGTCCAAAGCTACTCGGGTGCCATCGCCATCCGTCTGTTCCTGGGTGTATTCGAGGCAGCCGTTACGCCTGGCTTTGCCTTATTAACCTCACAGGTAGGCAAATTTGCGCAATATCCCATACCTTCCCGTCCTCAGCTAACACCTCGTCATAGTGGTACACGAAGAAAGAACAGGGCAGCCGAGTCAACATCTGGTTCAGTTTCAACGGTGTCGGACAAATCGTCGGTGGTCTCATTGCGTATGGTATCGCCGTAGGAACCAGGAAGCACGGCTCCTCAATTGAACCGTGGAAGATCGTCTTCCTCGTCACCGGTCTCATGACAATCGTGTTGGGTTTTGTCTTCCTGTGGATTATCCCAGACAACCAGTTGAACGCGCGCTGGCTCAAGAAAGAAGACCGCATCCTGGCTATTGCTCGCGTTAGGGAGAATCAACAGGGTATCGGAAATAAGCATTTCAAATTATACCAAGTCAAGGAAGCCCTCATGGACCCAATGACCTGGGCATTCTTCCTGTATGCCCTGGTGGCGGATATTCCCAACGGTGGTATCAGCAACTTCTTCAACCAATTGGTGGGTTGACCCTCGCCTTATATCCGTTGCATTCCGAGCCCAGGTTCAAGCTCATACTAACAATCATCTCTACGATAGATCACCAGTTTCGGCTTCACCGCAGAGGAAAGTCTCATCCTCGGCGTCCCGGGCGGCGCCGTCGAAGTCATCGCTCTATTACTCAACGGCTACATGGGACATGTCACCAACCAGCGCGTGCTTTGCAGTCTAGGCGGCCTGGTTGCCGCCTTCGTCGGAATGGTCCTAATCGTCGCCCTACCCGAGTCAAACAACACCGGCCGATTAATCGGATACTACATGACACAAGCGATCCCAACCGCCTTCGTCGCTCTCCTATCAATGATCTCTTCCAATGTCGCCGGATACACGAAGAAGACAACCGTGGCAGCGGTGTACTTGATCGGATACTGTGTTGGAAACATCATCGGTTCGTTACCACATCAGCTCCTTTGTCTGACCTAGGGTACTATCGAAAAAAGATAACATGGCTAACAATGTACTTTTCGTCCCAATCCAGGCCCCCAGACCTTCCGCCCAGAGGACGCGCCCCAGTACCTCCCCGCCGAAATTACCATTCTCGTCTGTATCGGCGTGGCTCTGATGATCATGCTTTTCATCTACTGGTGGTATGTCAAGGAGAACAAGCGCAAGTTGGAGATTCAGTCCCGACCGGATTATGTGCGTCTTGAAAATCAGGAGTGAGTATTTCCCCCTCTTTTGCAGTGTCGAACGAATAGGACGGTAACTTACCTTTGATTTCTTACAAGATTCCTGGATCTGACAGATCGCGAGAATCCGGATTTCCTTTACTCGCTGTGATTTGTGATTTGTTCATGTCATGTCATGTCAAGTCACGTCTCGGATTTTGTTGCTCAAGCTGCAGCATAACTATATCATATCTTTCACCGACGAAATATCCACTCGGTGGAATTGTACATAGTAGTCTCGAAACGCTAACTAACGCCCCTTTTATGAATATTGCAATGTTGAATCAATATATTTCTGAATTACGCGAAAGTTGAAGTAGAGTGTAACCGGTATATGAGATTATTTATATGTTTATGGCTGGCCTTCCTAGTATGGAGACTTCAAGTTCTCCATTCTAGACGTTACTGATTGGTTTGAATTGTTCGACATACATCGGAAATCTATACTGTTGAGCTCAATCCCGTCAGGCATTCTTAACATTTTAGTGAACTTGCAAGATTATCAACGTCGTCACCGCCATTAAACATTTCAGGCGGAATATAATAAGCAACGCGAATGCATCAACCAATCTGAACTATGTACTAGGGTAATCTAAGCAAGAAGTTTGCCTCCGACCTCGACTCTCTCCTGTCATGGCTCAATCAACTTCGAAGACTTACAGAGGCTACACTGGATGTGGTGTCAGGCAGAGCTCCTCCGAAGGCTTGATAAATTATCAATGTAGCCTGTGAGGCTGCGGCGGCCCCAGGACTGAATCCTATGTCCCCTAGGTAATATAATCGCAACGAATCCTTCATTGCACTAGGAATAGGCTCCCGGCCCGAGGATAAATGATCGACCTGCCCCGCACAATCTGCGAATGCCTACTACGTACTACGTGAATTAGTTAACCAAGGGCAGGAAAACATTGACTAAAATATGCATGCAAGAATTCTCTTCCTTCTCTGTACCCCAACTCCTCGCATACAAATTGTAGGTTTCCAAGGTTAATTCTGGCTACCCGACCCGAAGATCCGAGGATCATGGATGATCGCCATTCCCATCCCGCAAAAAGCCCGATCTCTTCCGATTCACCAGCTAAGGAAAAGTTAAATGGGCCCGCAAATGTTGGGGCTAGACGCGGCTTCTTAGCAAAATATTAGCCAATCTTTTGGAACAACGGGGTAAACGGGGTAACCGGGGTAAGCCCTTACTTGTCACTCTAGGCCTTTTCTTCTTTGGATTTGGCTTCTTTCCTTGGCTCTTGGCCCACCGCTCGGATACTCTTACGTTATTGGGGTTGCGAGGTTTTATTCGCGATGCTAAATTGTATGTAATACATTGGTTTATGTGGCACAGTATGGTGACTACATTTTATAAGAATAGAACTGTCTCGCCCCGAGCTGCTCGTCTGGTGGGTTCTGCAATAATAATCTTGGAAAAGACGCACTGGCACACTACGGAAAGTTGTCAAGCCAAATCGAACGAAAATGTCAGATATATCGGTCAAAAAAATTGAACGCCGTGATGATGCGACCATGGAAATGTCACCTCGTCAATTTAATTCGGGAAAACACCTCGCAAACCCCGTAAGTTGCAAATCTTCTTTCCCCCGCATGTTGAAAGCCCCCGCATGGTGAAAGGAAGAAAAAACGAAGAGAAAATGGCTTTTTACTAACATGATGGCTTGTCTACCTAGGCGCCTTTGGCAATGGGCGGCTTCGCAACAACCCTCCTCTCCGTCTCGCTGGCGATGATGAACTGCCGCGGCGTCTCGAACCAGACAATTTTCGTCGGAGATCTTTGTTTCGCAGCTTGCATTGGGCTATTGATTTCAGCGCAGTGGGAGATGGTTCGTGGGAATACCTTCTCTTATACAGTTTTATCGGCGTATGGTGAGTTTTATCTATAGCCCCCCGAGGAGAGGATATCCATCTATCCATCTATCATCATCGGGTTCTTGATTAGTTAACGGATCGGGAACTGTAGCAATGTTTTACGGTGGCTATGGAGCGACTCTGATTCCTGCATTCGGAATTATCGATGCTTATGGAGGGTTTACCCCGGAGTATTATAATGCCCTGGGCTTTTTTGTCCTTTGTAAGTTGCATCCGAGTTTCCGATTGACAATACAGCACTGCACAGTACCAGCAGCGCTATTTTTGCGTAATCGATCTTGATGGGCTAACTGATTGTTTTTCTCGCGCTGGCAGTGTGGGGTGTTTTCAACCTTTTTTTCTTGATCGCCAGCATTCGACTGTATGTTTTCCAACATTTAACTCAGCTCAGCCATGTCCATGTGAATCTCATTCCAACTAACTCTGTTTTCTTCCAATTTAGAAACGTCGTTTATATCATAATTTTCTTGTCGCTGGAACTATGTCTCATCTTCGATGCCGCGTCACAATTTAAGCGCGCAGATGGCATGATTGAACTCAGCGAGAATCTTTCGACTGTTGGTGGTGCTTTCGCGTTTGTGGCAAGCATTTTCGGCTATTATACTGTGCTGCATTATCTGTGCCAGGAGTCGTTGCCATTTACTGTTGTGATGGGGGATACTTCCAGGTTCTTTGACAGACGGGCTCGGGGTCCTTCTACGAGTGTGAAGGAGAGCGATGACCTTGTCTGACGGGCGCGGGCGTCTTCAGTTTCGTGGAAAATGGCCTTGGTGGTCATTTTGCTGGTTGCTTGAGCGTTCCAAAGGTTAGCAATGGCCTTGAAATAAAAGTTTCTTTAAGATAGACAAGCGAGGTTGAAAGCAGTCCTCGATTTAATTTTCATAATGATAAATATATCCATGAACAGCCTTGGATTGATCCAGTGTGACCTGAGTTCTGGCGATCCATGTCAGTGGACTCGGATTCTATCCATAGTATACTGAATCTACCAGTAGACTGAGGTATGGAAGGATTACCAATGTAACATAAACTTGAATAAATGACTTTAGAATTCAAAAATATCTTGAATAATTATTGAGTGCCTTTACACGTAGCGCTTTGGGAACTCTCTTGCGAGTCACGATGGCCAATATTGTTCATGTCCTGAATAGGACTGCGGATGCGAACCAGTCTGAGATTCTCTTGCAATGCCCCACTTCACCTAGTTCCAGGTTTAGAGAAAAGGCACCAAACAACTCATTAAATAAATGGCAGATATTGGGGGACTTGAGTAGATCGAGGAACATACTCTCGAGCTTGGAGAATCCAAGTTTAGCCAAGTCTGGCTATATCTAATCATGACCTTTGACCTGGCATCATGATATTCCTATACGGGGTCACTTGAGAGGGGTATTGAAAAACGAATTCTTTTTAAGGGCGGATTCCGCGGACGCCGCAGAGGTATAACCCCGCATTCTAGCTTGAAATTCTGATAGTAATAAAGTGACTCTAGTCTGGTTATTAAAACGATAAATAGAGGTCCTTATTTCGAAAGAAAAGAGACACGATTCCGCATATACGTGGTCAACATATTTGTCGCGATATTAACAAACCGTCAGACCAGGCCACTGGCACATACAAATACAAACACAAATACAACCATGACAACACGAGAGGGATTTTGTGATCGAAAGGAAGGTTTCCAGCAAGGGCTTCCATGCACAGCGACAATTACCCCGCGAAACAACATACTAGCTCATACATCGGACATATTCGATGTCATTGTAATAGGCGCAGGCTACGCTGGGCTGACAACATGCCGAGACCTTTGCAACTCAGGTATGATATGCGCAAGCTGTGATAATTAATAGAAAGTTTACCTAGCAGATAATAATCAAATTATTTCCGACCAGGATTCAAGGTACTTCTCATTGAGGCCAGGGACAGAATCGGTGGAAGAACTTACACCGCCAATATCGATGGCCATCTATACGAGATGGGTGGTACATGGGTTCACTGGAATCAGCCTCATGTGTGGCATACGATGCACCGATACGGATTGACGGAGCTTCTCAGTAGCGCCCCGGGAGACGTTGGCTGTCAAAAATTTACCGTGTCTGCCGATGGGAAGAAGACTGAATTGAGCCGGCACGAAGAAGTGAGTGAAGTAACATTGGGATAATCTCACTGGAAATGGAGTTAAAAGCCCGAAAGCTGATGTCTGCTTAGGAGTTAATCATTCAAAGAGGATTCGAAGAGTTGTTCAACATCGACGGGAACAGTGGTAGAACATTGATGCCCTATCCACATGAACCGCATCATAATCCCGATATCAAAGCCTACGAAGCGATATCCGCAGCCGAGCGCCTAGAGAAAATAAAGCCTCTCTTTAACGATATCGAACTGGCGACACTACAAGCGTGCATTGGAGCAATATCAGGAAATACCATGGAAAACACGGGATTTTTCGATCTAATCCGGTGGTGGGCCCTTGGTGGGTATAGCGCAGCCGGTGTTTTTGAGCTCACTGAGACCTATAAGATTGCAGCTGGACAGTCATCCTTTGCGCGAAAAATCTTTGAGGAAGCCTTATCTACGGGAAACTTCCGCTATACATTTGACACGGTTGTAAGCACTGTTGAAGATGATAGGATTCTGGTAAAGGTCACCACTTTATCGGATACAAGGTGGCTAGCGAAGAGACTAGTGTGTACGATTCCGTTGAATGTCTTGTCTCAGGTCCAATTCGACCCCGCATTACCACCAACGAAGCTAGCAGCGACACAACAGGGGCACATTAACTTTGGAGCGAAAGTGCATTTGGAAGCCGAGGGCTCAGACCTGAGGTCTTGGTCTGGGGCAGCCTGGCCGAGCAAAAGGGTCTTCGCTTGCCATGGCGATGGCCTAACTAATGCGGGGAAGAACACGCATATTGTCTGTTTTGGCTCGAATAAAGAATTCCCGCATCCAAGTGGAGACAGCGAGGAATTTGCCGCGGAGGTCAAGCAATTGATGCCTATGCAAATCAACAAAGTGGTGAGTTGGAAAGGAAAATTCCGAGTCTATCCCAGGCTATGGTACTAATGGTGCCAGATCTGGCATAATTGGCTTAAGGATCCATTCTCTCGTGGTACCTGGTGCGTGTTTCCTCCAAATTATAGCTTTCAGTATCTCGAAGCCCTGAGAGAGCGACATGGGAACATTCTGTTTGCGAGTGCAGACTGGGCTCTTGGGTGGCGGGGGTTTATTGACGGAGCGATCGAAGAGGGATCGCGGGCCGCAAAGCAAATCATAGATGAATTAGGCTTTCCCAAGCGAATCGCTGGTTTGCTGTAGGGTTCATGCGGGAATGCTTGATTATTGAATATTGGGACAAGGCGAGTCGAGACAAGGAACGCCATTGTCAAAGTTGGTGGTACTTTTGTCTCGACGCTAAATATTTGTTGAGAATTGACCGCAATTTCATTTACGGAGTGCGTCGGTCGACAGTCTATTTAGGCTAGTTTAAACTTGACTGGTGTTAGTTAGCTTTTTAGAAGATACCTCTCCTTAGCTAAACGTAGGTGATAAATTGAATGTCTTAGAATAGTCCGATTGCGTCGTCAACAAACCCCCTCCCTCCTTCGCTGAGAAAATAGAAATTTTAACCTTTTACCCGCATGCACGAGGGTCCAGTGAGTTTTTTTTTTCTACTGTGGAAGACTATTATGACGTTGGCAAGTCCATACTAGTCTAGCTCTTAAACCGGTGTTGGACAAACCCAGCATCGTCATGATGAAAATGCTTGATATCGGCCTGCTAGCGGTGTAAACCGTCCCGTCAACCGTGAACAGTGGATAAGACAGCGGTGGACTGTGCGAGTAGAAAATGCGAACCCACCCCACGTTGCTAGGCGTGCCAAGCACTCTCGCCCGAAAATGCAATCATGTCCGTTCGGTATTTGAAATCTCTCACACGCAGCCCGGCAAAAATTGGCTACTGTACAAACCCGCTACGATCGGCCACTGAGACAAGCGCTGGACCTGCCAAAGTTCGCTAGTGTGTTGAAAAATTCTTGCGTGCGATCGGCAGGCCAACTCAGACCCTCCACTAATTTAGGAAGGGAGAGGAGAGGATTTGTTAATTTGATGATGTCTTTTGTGGGGCGAAGGGCGGGGTGTACATGTCCCATAGTGGTTGGCCTCGAGGTGTTAGTTAATTGTGGTACCTGGTGGAATGTCCCGCCCACGTCGCATCTTGACTGGAGTTCTAGAGTTCTGGAGTTAGTTAGGGTGCTTAGGTCGCTGACCTTACTCCGATCTGCTCTCCTGCAGGGACTGGCGGCGCCTGCTGTAACCCTGATGGCTAAAATAGCTGGCGCGCGGGTCTAACCCAGTGCCTGGATTGCCATGGATTGACATTGCATCAACTGAATGGCAGCCGAGAACGGTAGAAATCGGAGAAGGCAACCCAATAGGCGCCCTGGACAGAACCAGGACACAGAGACCCCTGCATATTGGTCACTGCAGGGGCGTTGGGAGGAGACGATCCAGACCGTGCGAGGTCGGGGAGTCTGTTATTCTTGGCTCTGGTTCTAGCTTTGACTTTTTTGGAGGTGGAGGCGCTCGTTGCCCCCACCATCTCCGCCTGAACCTGGTCCTGTCTTCGTCGGGGAGGAGCGGTGTGCGCAAATGAAATGAATTAAAATGTCGATGTTGGGTCCCGGTGTCGTGCAGCCGTTCCTTTCCACTATTCTTTATTTCTTGTGAGACTGATAATTTGGCTTTAAATCAACTAGACCATCGGGGTACTTCCCCTTCCTCTTCTTCAGCCCCTCCCCTTCTTTCTTTATTGTTTTCTTTTTATAGACGACGGTACATGGTTACATGGGCTGCACAATGCGAGCTGCCCCTCCTGCCCAGCCCTAATATTCTTCTTCTCGAGTATCGATCGACAAAGCGCACTCTGTCCTTGTGCCGTTGGCCAGCTGCCTTTGTTTCCTTGCTCCTATAGGTCTCATCTGGAGAGCCTATAGAGAAAGTTTGCGAATGGCCGTCACATGGCGTGGTGGCGGCGATCTTCACATGGACGCACCTGCTGCAGCACTTCCCTGTCTTGAGATCAAATCCCTAGAAACAACAGTTGTCGAGCTTCCTGCGAAATGCACTTCCCAGTCGCCCTCTCCCTCGCCCTCTCAGCTCTTGCCCAAGATGGATATCCCTAAAGTGAAGAGAATCGACCCGCCATCCACCACCACTACGGCCGACTCACCACCCACCTCTAGTGAACCACGGAGGGGTTCACGCCCAACGTCTGCAAATGAATCGGCACATCACTCTCGATCCAACTCACGCAGTACTGCCCGATCACGTCCTCCCAGTCGACACGGTTCGTTGCATTCATCGCGGAGGGCAGTTACAAGTACTAGCATCGTTACTGTCCCGTCCACTCGCCCTTCACCTCATGAGAGACGTGAGTCGTTGTTGGCGCTGCATCGAGATTCATGCCGTCTATTTCAAGAAATCAACGCATCTACAACACCTGCAGAGGATGTGCGCTCGGTTCCAGCTCTCTCAAGGTCCCCATCGTCGACATATACTTCTCGGCGTGAAGGCCGCACATCTTCTGAGACAGGTGGCTCAGCACCCCCATCACCGGTTACATCGTCACAATCCAGCCGTCGCTTCGACTTTGAGCATCGCAACTCGATCAGCTCGATAATGACGCCGCTTCCTCCCCAAGCTCGAGACCGGTCGAATACCCTCCCAAACAAGACACCCGAATACGACTGTGTTCAAAGTCCATCCGCCTCCTCTGTTCACGTCCCGGAGACGGTAACAGAGTGGACATCTCCTTCCTCCCGACGGGCGGAATATGAGAAAATCGACCGCGCCGGCCGTGGTGTTCGTGGCTTGTGGCGTCGCGTCGCACCTCGCTGGTGTCAAGCTCAAGATGCAAGAACGCCATTCTTCAAGGAAGGAAACACAAGCCGGGAGGGTAGTGTGCGTCGATTCCGAATGGACTTACCGGATGAAGAGCTGGACAATACCGTCATTAATCCCCACGAGAAACCTGAGGTGCAAATATTGGATTTCCTCGGCAAGGGAATAGAGAATGGTTCTCGACGCTGGACATATCGTCGGACCAAGACTTCCCCTGCATAAGGCTTTTTTTTTTTCTCTCTTTCTTTTTTCTAAACAGCAATAGCGTCTCGGCACTGGTGTCACACGCTTTGTTTTGAACGCATCCATGACTACAGATTGACGAGTGGATTCTACTGCATTTGCATTGCATTGCGTTTGGCTTGCATACTTCGCCTATATCTACAATTCCTCCTCTTCCCTTTTTGTGAATATTGCTCCCCCTTCCTTGCCACTAATTTCGAGTTCTCCGAATGAGAATATCTGGTCTACCTTTTGCTTTTCGTTCATCATCATTCTTCACCGCATCACTTACCAAGAATTCAAGATACCCGACAATCCGCACCGTTGTACATACCAATACGATGCCTATTGCATACCTAGTATATAGTTACGACTAGCAACAACAATACCATATGTTGATCCAGAACTTCAAGCTTTTCCATATCTAGTATTTTCCGAGTCCTATCAAGCTGTAGTAAATATCTCTGAAACGTCCATATTTTAGATGACGATCACCACATGGTGGGGCACCGGCAAACACTGGTTGGTTCACCAGTAAAGTGAAGTTCCCGTCAATGCTACCTAAGGACTAGTACGAATGGAAACATTCGGATTTGTACTTGCAAATTCTCAAGTATACGATAACCTACAACTATTATAATCTAGTAAACTATTCGTAGTGCTACTGATTAAAGAATAATTTAGAATTACTGTTAATGCCGAGGCTATAGTCCGTACTGCCGGCATTCACCGACCTTCTGCATCCGGGCGAACCGGGCGCCAACGAGGGAGTCAACTTGTGATGGTCAGCAACATCAACATCCTCGTTTCCATTCTATAATAAGTCTCCCGCTCCAAGAACCTCATTGTCCTTTCTTTGCTTGTTTATTTCTTGACATACCTGCTTGCATTCATCTATTGGCCGACCGTATACCACAATGGTATCCTCCCTCAACCCCTTCTGGGGCCCTCCGACATCCTACTTGAAGTACGTTTTTGTTGCTACCCAATTCCAAAACGTGTTTCCTCCCCGATGGCTGTGAAATAGACAGTCTGAAACTGACTGAATCTAGTTTCTGTGAAGAGGTATGCCTCCCTCCCTTCTCCCACTTTGATTATGATTTCTTTTTGCAACAAAAAACCGGTAACTGACGTGGCCCAAAACAGGATTATGTCATAACTCGATTTGTGGCCGAGTTCATCAATACATTTAGTAGCTTTGTCTATAGTCAGTGCGCGAATACCCCGTTTCGATCAAACAAGAAACTAATGTTTATGGTCTAGTTTGCTATGGTATCTATGGCCTGGTTCAACTGCGCCAAAAGCCTCAGGCTGCCTTCCGCTCCATTTCCCTATCTCGGACTCATCGGAGTCGGCGTCTGTTCTGCTGGATACCACATGACCCTCAAATATCATACACAAATGTGTATGTTTTATTCCCAGCTCATGATATACCATCCCAGCTGGTGGCTTTGGCTGACAATTTTCAAACTTCAAACTTCTAGCGGATGAGTTGTCAATGCATCTCCTCACCACGCCGCTTCTTTATCGCATCTTATCATTCAAAGCCAGCTCCGATCGCGCCCGGCTGATTGGAATCATACTTTCCATCCTCTTTACCATTGTCATGGTTGTTCACATGGTCATGGATGAATTTCTTCTCCATGCTGCCTCCTTCGGCTTGGCTGTTTACCTGATCGGCACCCGAACACCGAAGCTTATTCCCGTTCAAGTCACCGATTTAAATCAGAGGAAGGCTCTTCGTTACCTTTCCTTCTTCGGATGCTGTATGTTTCCATTTTTCAATAGGTACTGGCTTTCATAGAATTTCGCTAATGATCATAGTTTGCTTCGGCTTTGGCTATTTTGTCTGGCTGATTGACGAATTCGGCTGTGGAATCTTGACGGGAGCTAAAAATACCGTCGGACTTCCTCTGGCCTTCTTGTTTGAGTTCCATGGGTGGTATGTATACCCATTTATCCAAGGACCATTTACAATTTCTGACGGAAATTAGGTGGCACTTCTTCACTGCGATCGGTGGCTACGTCGCTGTTGCGACTGTGGATCTTCTTACTTCCGGTGAGGCGGACGAGATCTCCAGTTCTTCTTTTGCCTGGCCAGTGGGCCCTGTGTTCGAAATCATGCAGGGCATGGTAGCCTCTGAGAAGAAAATTTAAGTCTTAGCAGGGGACTATAACTATACGTGAGAACGAAGCGAAGTAGTCGTTGTGACTAGATATCACAAAGTGATGCCATGAGAGGATACTTTGTGATATGCAGGGTGGATATCGGGTGTAGGGTGGCACAAATACCAGAGTCTTCCGCCAGACTCAAAATTACTGATAGAAACGAACATGCAAATAGACTCTACAATCATTTTCAAAGACACACATGGTGCCTCACTTCTGACGCATTATCTCCGCCAAGGACTTCCCCCACTCTCCCCGCCCTGTCAACGACAGATAGACCCACCGGAGAACCATCGTACTTTTTATCTTCCCCTCCCCCTCTAAAGGCTTTTTTTTTCTTGTTCGGCCATGCTTCCATTTTAAACTTCAATCAGAATGCGCAGTCTGACCCAAGAGACCGATTTTGAATTAGCTGAGCTTAACGCTGCATCTGAGAACCCGGCACCGGCAGATGCTGCGGTCTGCCTTGCATTTCCAGATGGCGGGAAAGAGGCATGGACTTGTTTACTCGGGTCAGCCTTGATTCTATTTCCATCATTTGGGTTCCAAACTGCTAGTATGTGTATTGTCCGCCAAATCCTCCCTGGCTGCGATTAACCCGTGTCTCTGTAGTCGGATCTGTCCAGGACTATATCAGCACCCATCAACTAGCGGACTACACCGTCTGAGACGTGGGCTGGATCACGGCCGTACTAGTCTTTCTAACTCTCTTCCTGGGTATTCAGGTCGGGCCACTATTTGATAGATATGGACCCCGCATGCTATTGATTTTTGGCTCGCTTGGTAGTACCGCTTCCTATTTCCTGCTCGCCGAGTGCACGAAGTACTGGCATTTCATGCTATGTCTCAGCATACTGGGCGGTATTTCTTCGGCGGTTGTGACGACTGTTGCCATCTCCGTGTTAAGCCACTGGTTTTATAGACGCCGCGCACTCGCTTCTGGCCTGTGTATGTCGGGCTCGTCAGCTGGCGGTGCGATCATCCCTTTGCTACTACGAACACTTTTCAAAGTGTACGGTTGGACCTGGTCGATTCGGATCATCGCATTTATGGCACTTGGCTGCTACGCAGCTGGGATAATGCTTGTGAAGGGACGATTGCCGATGGTTAGTGAGACGAAAGCCGTCGTCGACCTCCGTGCGTTCAAGGCGCCGAGGCTCTGTTTTCTTGCGGTGGCGGTGTTTGCGTTTGAATTTATCATCTTCGGCTGTGCGGCTCTTCTTCCGACTTATGTTCGCTACTCGGGTCTGGATCTCGATGTTCAATTTTACTCCCTTACCGTGCTGAACAGTATGAGTCTGGTCGGTAGAGTACTACCCGGTATTGCGGCAGATTTGTTTGGTCGGTTCAATATTCTGCTCACTCTAGCCTGCATCACTTTGGTCATTATGGGGAGTGTTTGGATTCCCTTTGGGTCTCAGAATGAAGCAACCCTGTATGCGGTTGTTGCTATCTTTGGCTTTGGGTCGGGTGGTTGGGTCTCTTTGGCTCCTGTTTGCGCGGGTCAGCTTTGTCGCACGGAGGAATATGGCCGATTCTACGGCACAATATACTCCGTTGCTGCCTTTGGAGTGTTGTTGACGGTTCCTGTTGGTGGTGAGCTTCTTCAATCGACGACACCCCAGGCCCTTGTCGGGTTCTATGCCGCGGTACTTCTCATAGGGCTTGTTTCCGTGGGCATGTCACGATGGGCATTACTGGACTGGAAGTGGAAGTGGAAAGTAAAGGTTTGAGGATCTCAAATATAACAATAATCTCGTCAATTGTTCATAGCGCCGGTAAATTATAGAATGCATAAGCGCCGGGTATATCAAAACAGAACCCAAAATGCTTTTTTTTCGGAGACAGAGCCAAATGGCCATTTCCCGACCCTCCGTGCCCCGCTTCCGAGCTCTCAAGTAGTGTATTCACATTTAAAGAAGATCGAAGTCATCCAGCTTGTCACGGTATTGCATGATGTTGCGCTTGATCTTGCTGGAGTCGACCCAGGTAACGAAGTCCTCCATGTTGCGAGTAACCAGGAAAGCGGGATCGTTAACGACTTCAGTTCCAACGCGTACGTGACCTTGCTCGATGAAAGTGGTGGCCTATTTTACCAATTAGAATTCGTATTCCCCTTTTGTTTTTCTTTCCCCTCCACCCGCACTTCGTGCATGATCCAAAACTTACAGCCTTAATAGTCTGAACCATCCTCGTGCGCACCATCAGCACCGCCAAGCGTCTCCGGCAGAGAGCGGACACTGTGACCTCTCTCTCGACACGGGACAAGCCCGCACCCTGCTCGCGAGACTGCTTTAGGACTCCCATGCGCCACAACTTCTCCAGCAGCTCGGACTCGAGTTTCCTCCGGACGGGGTCGGACTCCGGGTCCAGCTGGGAAAGCTTATGGGCGAGCTGGCGGAGGGATCCGCACAGGGCGTTGTACTTGCGGTAGTCCATTGGGTCTTGGAGGAGGTAGCGCTGACGGATCTCATGTTCGCGGTGATTGCCATCGGACTTGTAGGTGTGGAAGTCGACCTTCCGGAGAAGTCTGTAATGAGAGAGCTTGTTAGCGATTGCTCCTGGTCGCAAGCTTGTGCTGGTGATGGCTCTTGATCCGAGTGTTGGGGTGAGAGGACTGCCGGACTTACTTCTTCTCGTGATGCTTGAGCTGACGGACCATCTTGGTGAGCGATTCGAGGTTCGATCACTCGAAAAGGGAGATGCTCGAGGGTTATTGCGACTGGAGCGACCGGGTTGGCCGTGAAAAAAGTCCGCGATAACAAATTTGTTATCGAGGCGGTGAGGGTCATTCTGCCACTCTACCATTGACATAGTCACATGACTTGAACTATACACAGCAGAGCAACGACGACGTCAATCTCAGAAGAAGAACTATCATAAAATGCTAAGATAAATCGAGATTCGGACTTGGTTTGTGATATTTGAAAAGTCACCAGGTCATTTTTCATACCGACAAGTATCGCTCTCTTCTAGGAAAATGTACTCAAAACAAAATACAAGTAGGTCGGGCAAGATGAGTATTAAATTTGAAAACTTGAAAGACACAGATTTCATCCAACTTGAAATTGAGCATCTCAAATTTCCTAGTTCAAATCCCCGTTTCTGCTATTAGCGATCTTCTCACTAAGCGATCGAATGCTCTGCGCCCCCATGATGTCCAACACAGACACTTCCGCGCTGAGTTCTTTCTTCACCCACGAGCGGAATTCCATGGCAACCAGTGAGTCGATGCTGTTGAAACCAAATCTCTCAACATCAATTTCAGAAACCGGAATAGCAAGAAGTGCCGAAAACTTCTCCACGATCCCATCCGACACCACTTCCACTGCCTCGTCAAAGGTACTGGTTGATGCTAAAAGAGCCGCAGTGCTAATTGTCTTTTCCTGGCCAATTTCACCGTGGCTCACGACCATGGTAGATCGTTGATGCGTGAATAGCGAAAATTCAAGGTAAGGGGGTGCCGGACTGCCGTTCTGTCGACATAGCTCTGCGGTTGGCAGACCGAGAACCAGTTGCGATACCGGCTGGCCCCCATGGTTCTGCCCCTTGTCATGGCGTAGATCGATCATGAATTCAATTGCGCTGTGTACCTCGCTCTCCTTGAGTATCTGATAGAGGTTACCCAGACGACCTACTGCATTTTGAAGATTCTCCTCAACCCAGCCGACATTTGATACACTGCCAAGATCGATGACAGACGCCTTCATACCACGAGCGGTGCGATATGCTGCAAGCGCATCTTGGAAGGTATTTCCAGCCGCATAGTTTGCCTGGCCACGATTGCCGAAGATCCCGCTTACCGAGGATAACATGACGAAAAAGTCTAATTCGGACGGAAGAAGTTCATGCAAATTCCACGATCCTGTGACTTTGGGTTGAATAGCGGCTTGCCAGGTATTGAGGGACATTCCTTGAAAAGCTCCATCCTGAATATAATGTCAATATGATAGATCGAGATTTTATTGAAGACTGTGACATACCTGTAGAACCATGGAGCATTGAATGCATCCTTTGATGGGAGGGAGTATTTGATGGCAATCGTCCAGTACGGTGCGTAAGCGAGATCGATCGACAAGGTCACAGCCAAAGATATGAACATTGCATCCCAGCTTGTTAAGTTCTGAGATCATCTTGGTCACTGCTTCGGTGACCTTGTTCGACCGTGAAAGAAAGATCAGATTCTTCGCACCTCGTGCAGCCATCCAGAGGGCGGTGCTGCGACCCAGCCCACCAAGACCCCCCCGCTAGAACGTAAGATGCCCTGCCGTCAAATTGAAGAGGAGACAACTGGTCCGGGGCTATGGGAATATGGTCATCTGCGCTTGGGACGAAGACTATTTTCTCAGAAGCCCCTTTGCTTTGGAGAGTCTGAATGCCGCGCTTTATTTCGGAAAATGGAATGATGTTGAGAGGTTGGACCTGTTTGAGCCTGCCTTCGGAGTAAAAGCAGAATATCTCTTCAATAAGTTGTCGAACAATACTTGGACGATGGCGAATGAGGATCTCAAGATCGACGTTCGAAATTGAAAGCGTTCGAAGAACTGATTCTGGCGCTCGCGTCAAATGTGGTTGAGAAGCATTTCCTGACACATCTATGAATCGACCAAACTCTGCGATGCATGAGAAGGACTCTTGCTGAACTTCGCCCGTAAGCGTATTGAATATTACATCAGCTCCAACTCCATCAGTACATCTCATGAGGCTCTTGTAAAAGCTGAGACTTTTGTTGGAGAAAATGTTAGCTTCCGGTATTCCATACACATCAGTCAAAAGTGCCCTGCTCTCAGTGGTCGAAACTGTTGTGAAAATAGTGGCCCCAATCATCTTGGCGTATTGGATTGCAGCTTGACCCTGAACATCTGCACCGGAATGAATCAAGATTGTATCACTGGAAGATAGCTTTGCAATGTGGGCGAGGCCATATATTGCAGTGGCAAAAGCTGCCGGCAGACTAGCAACAATCTCCAAGGGGGTACTCTCTGCTATTTTGATAGCAACTGCTTCTTCAATTCTTGCAAAAGTCTGGAAAGATTTATCGCCAGTGCTGCTTGTCAGAAAAGCCACCTTGTCACCGGTGGTCAAGTCTTTCACTGCGGATCCGACCTTGGTCACAATGCCAGCTGCCTCGATAGGTACATTCAGGCGATCAAAGCTCGAAGTCACACCTATGGCACGAATCGCAACCTGGATCTGGGTTTCGGGCAACGGATTGAAGTGCTGGATATCAGTGATCCAACGTGGATCGACTGCGGGAGCGAACTTTTCCAAGCAGACGGGGCGCTGAATATCACCGATGCGTAGCAGCTCGGTTGGAGGGGCTTCAGATTGCAAGGCGAGAAAATTGTTCGCACTTTTAAAACTTCGAAGTCGACCAACATGAATTATGTTATCTCGTAGCAGGTATTCAGCGTGTCTATCGTCTCCTTTGTTGCTGGTGAACTGATGCTTAACAATTCCACAAGCCCAGAATGCCAGATCCTCGGCCGGGACATTCTCGCAGTCTGAAACAGCAATGGTCACGATATTTGAACCGTCAGAATCCCTTTCCGAGCGGATGGTACGGAGTAAACCCAAACTGGTGCTCGCAAGTAGGAATTCACTTGAGTCTGGAGTAATCCAAAGTAGGTTTTGACAATTCATTAACATATTTTTCAGTGCGTTGTACTCATCATTCCCAATTGCCGTGAATATCGGGCTCTCAAGATCAGCGAGAGATATACATAGGGAGCCTTGTAAAGCAAACTGAGCCAGCTCAGTCACTTTCAATGTGGTAACTTGATATGTGCCAGAATGCTCAAGAATCTGGGTAATACAATCGGCTATACCAAATGTCTTCAGTCCCGAGGATACGATGTAAACCTTTTGTGGCGTCTGTTGCACATACTCGAGAGCGGTGGAAATCATAATGCTCTGAAAGCTTAGATCCTTATTATCGGAAGAAGGATACTCAATTTCGACACCAGAGAAGCCCGAGTCAATAAGGAGTGACTCCCAGGCAGAAACGGGAATGTAGGGGCACCATTTTCGGATAGGCTCATCTCCAAGCCACCAACCGGGAAGTTGACCAAATGAAAGTGGGTACCAGAGAAAGTCTTGCCTTATTCCCTCTTGCATGATTAGCTGTCCACCAGGGCGAAGTAAAGACCGCAGCCTTCGCAATGTCGCTGTAAGATCAGACGTGGCATGGATCACGTTTCCAGCAAAGATTAGATCGTAGGAGCCGGCCTCGAGACCATGGGCAGCAGGCTCTTCTTCAAGGTTGAAGACTTCGAACTTCATTATGTCTTTCCAGTGGTAGAATCTGTCTTGAGCCTTTTCGAAGAAGGCGGATGATATGTCTGTGAAGGTGTAGGTTGCAATACTCTCGTTCAAGGTATCACATGATGGTGAGAGCACATCAAGGACCTCCGCAGTCAAACTCCCAGTCCCTCCGCCTACTTCCAAGATTCGCAACTGGGACCTTTGGTGGCGAATCAAAGAGAGATAGCTTCTTAGATATTGAGGTAGGTTGTGTAGATGAATAATTTCCTTGTACAACTCTTCCATTAACTGCCCTTCGTCGAACATCAAATGTAGTGGATCTTCCTCCTGTCGCATAACAGATGCAATATTTTGGCCCATTCGAACCGTCAGTGCGCCTGTCGCATTGTGATTTGCAACTTCTTCAAGAATTGCATCTTTCAAGAGCTTGTCATGGAAGCATCTTTCAAACTCAAAAAGTGTCAAATGAATGATATTGTCGTTCAGAAGCTCCTCTCGCACACGCTGCATCCAGTTATAAAACTTGCGGAGGTGCGGCTGTAGGGTTTCGATATCAATGTTCGCCAACGTGCTCAATGCTTCGGTGACAGATATCATGGTGACTAATTGGAGACGCTTCGCCCATAATAAGTCCCCGTCGGGGCCTGTAGGATAAAAATTTATCTTAGCCAAGTTACATGCTGTTTCAGAGTCCAGGAAGTTGACATCGGGCTTCCACTCGATGGTATTGCAAACCTGACGCCCAGGGATATTCTCCATGTCCTTGTCGAGTGGCGTCAGGTCAATGTCACTCATGTAGATACAATGAGCCTTGGAACTGGAATCGAAAACTCTTATTTGACCTTCAAATTTCTCGGAGGCTGAGGGTTGTACCGATGCATAGCCCTCAAATTTATGACCAGGTGCAGGATTCAAATCAGCAGATACCCACATATCGCGGATGTACGTTGGAAGTCTGATTTTTTCGAGAAATGGCTTTCCAGTGAAATCCATTACGGCTGCGATCATCATGTGGATCATGCTGTCCATCGTGGCGGGATGAATTAGGTGCGAATGCGCGTAATGCTTCGGCATAGCCTCTGCAATGTCGGGAACGGTGACAAGGCCAGTCATCTGCCCCAATCGGGAGTCTGTAAGCCGCACATCGTGAAGATTGCGAAATAGAGGACCAAATCCAAACCCCGATTTGAGAAGCGCATCGTACGAATTTGAGAAATTTATTGGACGATTGCACACCTCATGTACACTTTTGTATTTACGGCGCCATTCCTGAGATTCGGCCTCGGTTTCTTGATAACTGCTCAGGGGGTCGTTTGGGGAGCGTTCCTCAATCGAGATGAGACCAGTACAGTGCACTGTCCAGTGTTCACTTGCCTCGTTGTACGAACTGACGTGGAATCGCCGCCAGACTCTGAGCTCAGAGGAGGATTCGGTCGTCATCGAGACACAGACTTCTATCCCCTGCTTGGTGTCAGGAACAATCATTGCTCGACGAATGGAGACTTGGCAGAGTTGAAAGCCAGTTATGGCCTTCTCCCCAGCCAACTGCCGCGAGGCTTCAATAGCCATCACGAGATAGCCGACACCTGGGTAAACATGGTTTTCGGCGATCTAAAATTTATCAGCGGGGATCTGCATTTGAAAGGTTTTTCTTCACTTACCACATGGTGTCTTATCCAGGGGTTCTCTTCCAGCCTCACGAATTGTCTCCAACGCGGTGCATTGGCATCCCAATCCGTGACAGGAGCGCCAAAGAGGTCATGACGCGGGAACTTGCGAAAGCGAAGATTTTTGCTAATTCGACTTTCGTAAAGTATCTTTTCTGCGTGCTTGAAAGAGTACGCCGGAAGATCAATCAAAAGCTTAGCTTGGGAATTTGGGTAGTGAGAGGAAGCCATATTGACTTTGTAAATGTCGATTCCGTATCCACTGCTGGCAAGAAATCCAATCGAACTGAGTAAAGGGGTCAAAGTTGGATCGGAACGGTTTAGAACGGCTAGGTATTTGACCTTTCCTTTGCTAAACCCTGACGACAAGGTATCTTTGATCGCACTCTGCAGGGTCGAGTGGGGCCCTATTTCCATGAAGTATGAAAGGTTTGAGATTCCACCGGGCTCCCTCTCTCCTGAGAGGAGAGCGCTCTCTATACCGTCGACAAAACGGACAGGAGAAATCAGATTGTCTACCCAGTATTTGCTCGGTAGGAGGTCTTCGTTTAACTCTTCTCCGGTCAAAGTTGAAAACATACGAACTGGGTGTGGCAGCACAATGTGCCTGCCGAACCTCAAGCATCCCATAAGCTGGAGGTATTCATCTGCAATGCTCTCCATGTGCGATGAGTGATACGCATTTTGAACCTTGAGCTTCCGCGCGAGCACGCCCTCCTGATCCAGTATGACCTTTAACTCGTCAATTAAGGCCGCGCAGCCCGAGACGGTGTTGTTTGTAGGGCTGTTGGAGCATGCTATCCGAAGTTCACCTTGAAGTCTTTCCCGAACAGATTTCATATGGCGGTTCAGTTGCGACTCCTCCAGACGGACGGCCATCATTGCCCCATTGGCTGACTGCTGCTTGGTCGAAAGAATGCCACGCAGATAGGCGATCTTCCATGCAGCTTCGCGAGAGATTTTGCCAGCACAGTACGCCGCTGCAATCTCACCTGATGAATGGCCTACCACCCGTTTCGGGAATATTCCCCAGCTAGCTAGAAGCTCGACCAAGGCGACCTGAAGTGCAGTGCAGAGAGGCTGCGCGATATCAGGACAGTCAACCCTCGACCGTGACTCGGTTGCTGCATGTTCCACTAAGATAGATTAGCTCGCATCTCAGAAGCTTTGTATGATGAGATTTTTCTTACCAAGCAGTGACCAGTTGCTTCCAAGGCTTTTAAAATACTCAGACGCATCCTCCATTGCGTGCCTGAATACTTGGTATTTGAAAAGGGATTGTCCCATTGCGCTGTATTGCGCACCCTGTCCAGAAAAGACGAAACAGACCTCTGGTGGTACCTCCGCCCGAATTGGTTTTGTGAAATTGCCCTCCAACAAATTCCACTCAAGCTCTTTGACCGTAGATGCCATTATGAAGCTCTTCCAAGAAAATTTGGAGCGCCGTGCCGAAGTTGTGAATGATAGATCTCTCAGTAAGTCGCTGTTTTGCCTTGCAGGGACATTCTTCTTCTTGACATAGCGGGCATACGAAGATGCGATGCGCTTGACACCATCCTCGTCAAATGCAGTAAGAAGGAAGATTTGTGGTGGTTCTATTGGCACTTCTGGCTGGCGAACTTGGACCGGCTTCATCAAAGGAGTTGTTGCACCGCTCTGGGCGAGGGGTGTTTCACTAAAGTCGACCTCGGTATCATCGCTGTCAGATTCAGGCCCCGTAACCGACAAGTTAAAATACTCATCAGGTTGGGGAAGAAGTAAAAGCTGATGGCGCAGTGATTTAAATGGACGAATGGCGGTGCTCGTGTTGTGTGAACCTGAGAGGCCACGTTCATTGAGATAATGGTAAGCATCATCAAGGATGCAGTGTGCATTCGTTCCTCCGATCCCAAATGAATTGACCGAAGCTCTGCGCAGACCAGAGGTGGGCCAAGGGATGTTGTCCGAAGGGAAGTCGATATTCCATTCTTTGGCCAAAATCTCGGGGTTCACCTCCTGTAAATCGTGGTTGGCAGGAATAATACCCGACTCAAGGACCAAGATGGCTTTCACGAGGCTTGCCACACCAGAGCATCCTTCCGTATGGCCAAGAGTTGATTTGAGTGACCCGATGTGCAGAGGCCCATCTCGTGGGCAGTCAAATGCCTTTGCAAGTGCCTTCGCTTCGATTGGATCGCCGATTCGGGTTCCAGTCCCATGTGCCTCGACAAACCTAGTATCTTGCATACTCAGACCAGCTCGTTCATATACCTGTCGAATCAGAGATTCTTGGGCCTCGCCGCTTGGAAGAGTAATACCGGATGTCCGGCCATCTTGGTTCACACCTGTTTCACGGATCACGGCGCGGATCACATCTCCATCTCTTATCGCATCCACCAAAGGTTTCAAGATGACGGTGCCAACTCCTTCACCACGAGCATATCCCTCAGCACGGGCGTCAAAGCTAAAGGAGCGGCCTTGAGCACCAAGAAGACCGTGGTGACTGTAACCAGTGGTCTCGAGCGGGTTTTCGAGTATGCTCACGCCACTCACAACAGACTGATAGCTTTGTCAGTGGATGTAGTAGGATCCGTGGGTGAGAAGATTTCATACCATGGTTGTCTCACGGGATCGTAGACTCTGGACAGCCAGGTGCAAAGCAACCAGACTACTCGAACAAGCCGTGTCAATAGTCATGCTGGGTCCTTTGAAATCGAAAAACCAACTGACTCGGTTCGAAATAATCGAGTTTGAGGCACCAGTAGGCTTGTATTTGACAGTCGTCTCCGGATCTGAGTTAAGTATCCCCAAATAGTCGTGATTGAACCCACTGACGAATACTGATGTATTGGATCCGATCGCACGGGCCAAGGGGACGCCGGCATTTTCGAGACCATGATACACGTTTTCCATCACCAGTCTCTGTTGTGGGTCCAAAGTTAGTACCTCATTTTTTGTAATGTTGAAGAAGGACGAATCAAAGTGGGCAGGGTCCTCGGCGAGGAAGTGCCCTCCCTGGACATGGAGCTATGCAATCGTTGCCGTCAGTAAATATTACCGCATCCCAACAGCCCACCAATTCAAGAAGATCAAAAGGCGTTTAAAAAGAGATCCACCATACCGTGCCTCCATGCTCAGGGTCCGGATGATAAAACGCCTCAGAGTTGAAACGTTCCTTTGGAATGGGAGACCATGTAGAATGGGCCTCTAGCAGAATTTCCCGAAGATCTTCCACCGAGAGAGCATCCTTTGCAAATCTGGCAGCAGTACCGATTATGGCAATAGGCTCGACGAGATCTGAAAGAGGATCATTAAGACACCACGATTTCTGTGATGATGACTCCATGGTATCGTTTGAAATGAGAAGAGATGAAAGGTTTCAAGGATATTATGCGTAGCAAAGCTACCAAGGAAATCAAAGAAGCAGAAAGTGATAAATTTATAATTTCACAAACCTCTGGAAATAAAAAGATGCTCGGGCATACCTAGGTATATATAGTTTTTGAAAGAAAAAAAGGCAAGGGTGGTAGGTGAGAGGTGAGTCGAGGCAGGGAAGGGCAGATCAGCCGGCATGAATGAATTGCTCTACATCACGCAACATTTCGATTGGTCGGTAAAATGGCCATGCCTGGCACCTTTGTTTGCCCGATTACTCCATAAAAACGGCATTTCCTACCAAAACTACCTTACCGCGTTATTTCGCCGTTCTCTCTCCCGCGTGTCAACGTCAACGCGTTCATGCCTTAGGGCAAGGGTGAGGTTAAGCCCACGTCACAGCGAAATCATTCTTTGTTTCCTCTCGAAGTGTCCACTCGATCATTCGTGCACAGCGAGTCTGTACTTTGGAGTAAACCAATCTTGATCCAATATTGAAGCAGACCAAAGCTTCGGGTGCATCTTTTTCCAGCTCCCTGGACAAGCGGGGAAGATTAGCGCCGGTATGCAGGCTGTCGCATGAACGCCCCCAATCGACCTTCGTCGACGAATGATAGTGCCTGTCACTCAACGGCTGCATCGGTGGATCTCGGTTCTCGGAATCCCTGTCAATCAGCCCCTCTTTAAATGCCCACAGGCCACCTTGTTGGGGAGATATCGGGGGGGTGACTCGGCCAAGGCCCGGAAGAGCCAAGGCATACATGCTTAAGGGTAAGGCCCACCCCATGATCGAAGCTAATTCGGGCAGAAAGATTCCCAATTTTGAGATTTAACTACCTTTGCCTGTTTCGAGCGAGATCGAAGCGCGGCCATGCCTAGGCTACGTAATTCACACAAAGAAATCGATCTTCTCCACACCATCCATCCATTAATCCGCCTGTCTAAAGCTTGTCTAGCGGTTCAAGGGCAGTGCCCATGGCAAACAATCTTGTTTCTTTGTTGAAAAAATGTATAATGCAGAGTCTAGGACGTTAGTGTGAAATCCAATCAGACTATTCATGCTGTCTAACACCACCTCAGAACGAGCCCTGCGCCTGTGTTTGGCCGTTGCTGCAGCTAAAAAGCGCCACCCAACATCAAGAAGTCACAATCCACGAATATTGTCTCGTGGTTCCAATTCAATCGATCGCCCAGCCAGGAAATATTGCTCCGCGGGCATACTCTCGCCACCACGTGAACGGGATTCATGCAAACCCAGATCACGTTCTTGTTGACTCGCGCAATGTCAACTAATCCAGAATAGTCGACAGCCAGGGATGCGAACGCGCTAGCTGCAGCCAAATGCTCGCCCTTGACCGGCCTGAAGCCCATTACCCGATATATGACGCGCCCGCCTTCCCTTTCCAAGGTTGTCTGAGCGCCAAAGCTGCGGGGAGTCAGCTAAGAGATGGTAGACCGTTTCCTAACCCGGCCGGCTACATAGGCACTAATAGGGTCACTGTGGAGTAGCAAGGAACTGACTGCCTTCTTTCCTTGACCCAACAGCCATCGAGGCCGTTCAAGGGTGGTTGCAGTACTGCCGCGGCATAGAATGCACAGGGTGCTTCGCTTTTCTTTGTCTTTGGCGGGAACTTGCATCCGGACAGCACAGCTTCTACCTCTCCAAGGATACTCCAAACCAAGTTTTGAGCACGAGAGAGAAAGTCCAATCTCCTACCGCCGGATACACACGCAAACGTTCAGGGCGTAAACCGTTTTCTTGCGTTGGCAGCAAATCATATCACCGTTGAGAAAGGTCCTTCCCATTCCTGCCCCTCCCCTGTTCCGAGCAGGCCTCGAACATAGGTGCGGCTGGATACCTTTTCCGCAACAAAGGATTCTTAAAGCTCACTGGCAGAATTTACTATGTCTATAAGGGGAATAGAACACATGATAATCCTGGTTCTGAAAAACCGATAATCAAGTATGAAGGGCTTTATGGCATAGAATGATATATGACAATTAGTAAATTTTACAAAGCATTAATAATATCATCAGCCGCCTTCTCAGCCACCATATAGGTCGACACAGCAGTGAAAGTTCCAGGGATGCGTGGGTAAACTGACGCATCAACAACACGCAAACCCTTCACACCACGCACACGGAATTTTGAGTCCAGCACAGCCATAGGATCGTCATCCGTTCCAATGGGGCAAGTGCACGAAGCATGATGGCCCCAAGCGGTGTTCTTGATGTAATCGTGGATCTCTTCTTCCGAGTTGACGTCCTTTCCAGGAAGAACTTCCTCAATCGGAACCAGCTGGCGATGGAACGCATCACGAGCAACTCCAATTGCCTCGGTGATTGCTGTCAGATCCTTCTCGTAGCCGTCGCTTCCAGTGTCGAAATAATTGAAAACGATATCTGGCATATCGAGAGGATCGGCGGAGCGAAGCGTCACAGAGCCGGCAGTGTTGCGTGGGTGTGCTTTCAGAACGGCCCATGACCACCAGTCATGGCGTTCGGTGATGTTAATGCTGTAGTCAGGGTAATAGCCACGGAAGTTGACGGGGCCTCCAAATACGAAGGCATCGTAGCTGTCGTCTGCTGTAACGCTACTCTTGTAGAACATGGTAGCAGCAAATCCACCAGATGAGTAGATACCACGGTTGCCTAGGATAGGGCTGTTAAATCGGTCCAGGCAGGGATCTTCCTCGCCATTTACGCTAAAGGTACAACCTTTCAACGCGGTGAAGTTCTTGGGCGTGTGGCCTTGGACGGCAGTTTCGTAGTGGTCTTGGAGATTTGTGCCGACGCCAGGGAGGTCGGACACGATGTCGATGCCAAATTTGCTGAGTTCCTCTGCAGGCCCAACACCGCTCAACTTCAGAAGCTGAGGGGAGTTGTAAACACCGCCAGAGATGATGACTTCACGAGATGCAGTAACGCTTCCGGGAGTTCCCTTTCCAGCAGTTGCAGAGCGAGGGCTCGCGCGGTAGAGGTATTTGCCGTCCAAGAACTCAACTCCAGTAGCACGCGGTGTAGTTGAATTGTCAAAGGTGATCTTGGTCGCGTGGCAGTTGGTCCTGATGTCTAAAGGATACTTCTTTGAGCCATCGGCATTCTTGGCACCGTGGACAGCAACCAGGAACTCGCGGGGGCCGTTACGTTTGCTACCGTCGGTAGCGATGGGAAGTTGATAGTATCCAGGAGTAGTGTCGCGCGATTTAGCATCACGATTGGCGTCGCCGGCGAGCAAGGTTCCAAGGTTAAAAATCGAGTTAGTCTGGTTGCCCAGAGCAAATGCACCTCCGAGAAGCATACTCAAAAGCTGCGGATCTTCCAGGACAATACTAATAGGTGCCTCTTCAACGCCTAGCCATCCATCATAGCCGTGGCCAGGAAGCAATGGAAGAGCATACTTGTTGTTCTCCATACGCGTGAAGTATTTGCGCATGTTATCGGGAGACCAAGAACCATCGCCAGTGAGGGTGGAAATATAGTCAAAATCCGATTCGTGGGGATAAACCGTGATTAAGGCATTGTGTGCGGTACAGCCACCCAGAGTGCCAGTGCGAGGATACAATGTACCCTTCATGGTCGAGCCCTCCGGGGGATTGAGTCCTGTATATTCCTCTCCGTCGGGAGTCTCGTATGTGGTTTTGTAATCGAGGGCCTGGCGAGCCTCGTCCGCGTAGTGACGAACGAAAAAGTTCCAGGCCATAGCTCCATCTTCAGAGGCCTTGGCGGAGTATGCGGGCACGGTATAATTATCATTCAATCCCTGATCATCGCCGGCTTCAATAAGGAGCGTCTTGTGGCCGTGAAGTGCAAGTCGGGCCGCGAGAGGGCCGCCGCCAGCACCGGATCCAACAACAACATATTCGTAGCCAGTCAATTCCACCGCAGCGCTCAGGCCCGCTGACAAGGCAGCTAAGCTCAAAAGCCGAGAGAAAAGCATATCGAGATGCCTGTTTGTAAATGAATGTGGTGGTTCAAATAACCATAGGAAAAGGAGTGGACGGGTATGAAGACGAAGCGTCCAACAACTGAATCCTGAATCTGGACGGAACCATCGGAATTAATATGTACCCACTAATAGCATGGGAGAACAGAAGAGATTATCAACTGCATGACCTGGTGGGGCTTGGTGCGGAAGTGCTTAGAGGTGAGGTTGCAGTCTCACAGGCTGAATGGCATTTCCAAGCGAAATGAAAACCCAGATCGGATCCAGCAGACACCCATTCTGTGCATGCAGGTCCACCATGAACCCTAGTCAAAGGTCATGGCGAACCACAAAGCTTGAGTGCAGCGATGATCGGCCCCTTTTCAGTTGGAGCTGGCGGGCTAGTCAATCGCTAGTCAATAGCCACGCGGGGACTCTGCGCTCAGACAGCAACTTTTCAATGTCAGCCGAGGTTGGTGCAGGAAGCTGGATGCTGATGCAATGGAATACTATATGCAATATGTACGTTCGGATTTCAACAAACACGAGTTTTGCTTTTCTTCTTGTTGTGGTTTGTATTCCTCAGAGATTTATTTGCCGGTGGAGGTGATGACCCACTGTTGGACGCAAGATCTTGCATTCCAAGGTTGTGATCTCATTCAGTGATGTGAACTGAGATAAACTCCAGCGAGAAAAGGGAGACAGTACGAGAATACGATTCTATGTACTCCGGACTCCGTATTACTATAATAGTATTATACGGTTTGAGATATTCAGGCCCAGTATCTATTGATTATCACATGAAACTATTTTTAAAGTTGTGTCGTGAAAAATGCCGTGTCGATCTCCCAAGAATGCGGGTCACAAAGACACGGCATATTAGCCACATGGTTTCAATTCGCATTTTTGCATGAATGGTTTCCGTAAGGATATCGTAAGGATATCGTGGCTGTCTTCTGCTACTCTTCTGCTCTCGCTCCCATCGATAATAATAGCTTATCAATCTTGCCGGGTATAAACACTAGTCAGTCTTCTTGCTAGAACCC